GAGCTCCTTGAGGTTCTCCACAGTGAAATCTGATTGGTGAAGGAGAGCGGCAGAAACAGACAAGTTGGTAACCGCAAAAGGCAGTGACCAACAGAGTCGTCAGTGACTGAACAAATATAGCGTTTATTTTTCATACTTACGGAACCAAAAATGAAAGACGTATTATTCGTTGAATGTTTTAGCAGTACCAATCAGGGCGGGAGGAGCGGGGAGGGAAGGTGGGGGGTGGGGGCTTGGGGGGTTTGTGAAGGGATGCACATAGAAAGGTACTGAGGCGCCTAGAAGAAAGGCAGCTGAAACGCCCTTGGTGCTTTATTTACAAGGTGAAAGTGGGAGGAAGCCCGGTCTCACCTCCCTTGGTGGCGTCAAGCTGCGCCTGCAGCAGCGCCTGCGAGGTGTTGCGCACGGCGATGCGCACGGCAACATGCACACGGTCAAGCCCTCCGTGCCTGCACGACCCAACCATGCCACATCAGTCTCACCTCCCTTGGTGGCGTCGAGCTGCGCCTGCAGCAGCGCCTGCGAGGTGTTGCGCACGGCGATGCGCACGGCAACATGCACACGGTCAAGCCCTCCGTGCCTGCACGACCCAACCATGCCACATCAGTCTCACCTCCCTTGGTGGCGTCGAGCTGCGCCTGCAGCAGCGCCTGCGAGGTGTTGCGCACGGCGATGCGCACGGCCACATGCACACGGTCAAGCCCTCCGTGCCTGCACGATCCTACCATGCCACATCAGTCTCACCTCCCTTGGTGGCGTCGAGCTGCGCCTGCAACAGCGCCTGCAAGGTGTTGCGCACGGCGATGCGCACGGCAACATGCACACGGTCAAGCCCTCCGTGCCTGCACGATCCTACCATGCCACATCAGTCTCACCTCCCTTGGTGGCGTCGAGCTGCGCCTGCAGCAGCGCCTGCGAGTTGTTGCGCACAGCAATGTCGACCTGCGCGTCGCTGACTTTGAAGATGCGCTTCCACGGCAGCAGGAACTTGGACTTCTCGCCAAACACCAGGTTCGACACGTACACCAGCTTCTGGAACGCCTGCGGTCGAAGGGATTGTGCGTGGGGAGGGAGAGAGGAAGGAGAGGAGTTAGGAGCCTGAAAACCAGATACACGGTAGCAGGAACTTGGACTTCTCGCCAAACACCAGGTTGGACACGTACACCAGCTTCTGAAACGCCTGCAGTCGCATGGAAGAGGCAGTGAGAGGGAGGAAGGGAGTGACGGAGGAGAGAGAGGAGAGAAGGGGGAGCGGAATGGGGAGGAGGGGGAATTAGGCGCATAGACTGCAGCAGGAAATTGGATTCGCAAAACACTAGCTACTGAAGGGCAGTGATCATGATGAAGCGAGGACGATGGGAACGGGAAGGGGGTTAGGGGAAGGGAAGAGGCGTGGGCAGGCGCGACCGAAGCTCTGAAGGTGATGCTGGAACATAGTTTAATGCTTAAACCCCGAACCCTCACATGCCTCATCCATCTGAATCTAAACTTGAAGTATCAATCATCCCATAAGTGAACCTTCACCACAAGCGAGTACTCACGTACAATCACATGTCAACCACCTCTCCGCGATGCCACCTACTCGCCACCTACCATCCACCCGCTAACAAGCCTACGAGCGTACCGCTTCCAGTCCTACAAGGCCACTTGCTCCTCCGCAAAGCCTCTCGCTCCTTCGCCCACCCCTCGTTCCTCCGCCCACCTCTCAATCCTTCGCCTGTCTATCAACCCTTCGCCCGCCTCGCAATCCTTCGCCCATCTCGAAATCCTTCGCCCACCTCGCGACCCTTCGCCTACCTGTCGCTCCTCGAAGGCGGCCTCCTTGTCGCCCGTCTCCAGCCTCTGGCGGAAAATGCGTCGCCCCACCTGCAGACACCATGCACCCACGCGCATACATTCTCACACGCATGTACACACACACGCACAAATGCATACATGCACACGCACACATGCGCACATGCACACGCACACATGCATACATGCACACGCACACACACGCACCATGCACACGGTAACATGGAAACACACACGCACATGTTCACACACAAGCGCACGGGCCTTGAGTCTAAACACACGCACGAGCGGCTATCGGCGTGCGATGCCGTGGCTGTACTTGATGCATGCGCAGAGCACCGTTGGATTGCCACGAACAGTGATGTTAGCTGGATAAGAACAACGTCGGCTCGATATGCTGTTAGCTCGATCTGAATAGTGCTGTTAGATCGATATGAGCAGCGGTGTGAGCTCGTTAACTTGATACGAACAATGTTAGCAGCTCGACATAAACAGTGCAGGCGGCATACCTCGTTATAGACAGTTGATATATAATCAGTAAGAGAACAGCAATGTACTCGGTATACGCAGTCGCGTACCTCGATATGAGCGGCAGCAGCATCCTCGTCCTCGAGGCCCATCGAAGCCTTAAAGCGGGAAATCAGATCCGACTCGTCGCCCCTCAGCGGCTCGTTGCCGGGCGGAATCACGGACGAAACAAATCTGGAGCGCCGGGAGAGGGGGAGGGAAAGAGAAGTGAGGGCCGGAACGCGTCTCAGTGAATGAAAAATCACACAACATGGGCCCCAGAAACCTCCGTATTAGTACAATTTGTTCCCGTGAGTCTCAATTTGTGATGTTGTGAGAAAAAACGGACAAGGGGAAGGGAAGGAGGGGGTCAGCCAAGTGGGGAAAAGGTGGGAAGGAGTGAGGAAAGGGGATGCTTACTTTTCGTAAAGATCCTTCATTTCCGCCCGGTACCTCTCGTCCTCCAGGCTCACGCCATACCTGCAAACACACGGAGACGAACAAAGCAACGAAGTGTGAAATGTTGAGAAATGTTTACAACGATTCATAGAAACCATGTACAGTAAATGGACATTGTTTCGCAATAAAAGGTACGACGGATTGGATAAAAACAGAAAAGACGCTTCAAATCCCAGCTCACTTATTTGCGATATCCGCAGCCTCGCCTCGTCTCAGTTGAAGCGGATCCGATAAACGCACAAGCGTGTTGTGCAAATCCGCCGCAGCGACCTCCTTACTAGCAGAGTTCACCACGTGCGCGGCTCCCGCGCCAAGCGCGCCGAGCACCACGGCACCAGCGACCTGTCCCACAGGCGGCTGAAACTTGCTGCCGGCCGCGAACCCCACGCCGGCAGAACCAACGATAATCGCGCCGCAAACGGCGTATCTAACCGGCGTCGGCATGCTCTTAACGACGCTGGGAACGCCGGAGAGTTCCACCTCCCGGCCGAAAACGCTTCCGCCGGAGCTCCTGCTGGGAGTAGCATCGGCCTGCTCTGCTGCTGCTGCACGCACTAGGGTTTTGCTCGACGCGCTGCTCCATTGCTGAGCTGGCAACGACGTGGCGGAAAAGCTCTGGCGGAAAGGTGTTTGCGTGGCACGAAGGCCTTGAAAGCTTGGAAGCGGCCGCGTTGTGCTTCCTTTTAGGAGGAGCGACTCCATGCCTGTCAACTGCCCTTCCAATAGAAGCTAAAAGAGACGGTCAAGGAACGGAATATTCTTTAGCCTGTTAGGGAACTACAGAGTACCGTAGCGTGACTTATCGGAGTGATACCGTTCCCAACAGCAACCAGGTGATGTTCGCTAGGCGAAACTAGGAGAGAGGCGGAGAAATGAGCAATGAACCAGATAAAAAGGTTGTGAAATTACAATTCCTTGCTGGGTGAACAGCTAGTACGGTGCGAAACGATTTAGTGCGTGGTAAAAACCATACAGTATGGTGGAAAGGCACAAAGCTTCCTGCCTTCGGATTCTCCCGGCTGCTTACTGCCTAGTCAAATTTCTCCTGGCCACTCGCTACGGTGATGACAGAAGGATACTCGTTTCAAGCTGGTTCCTCGAGTTCATACAATCGCAATCGCCAAGGAGGCGCTATCCTCACCAACTTTACTGGAGCCCGAATCCCTGGATGCCATGTCATGGATGGGGAGGTGTCGGAGGAACTGTCAGAAGCTGCCACGTGGATGATGAGACAACGCAGCTGTGGGTGGACTGCTTCAATACGCGCTATCAGTGCTTTTTGTATTGTACTGTAATTGTCCGTGATCAGCACCAGACGTTCTATACGACTTCCTTTACTCTATCAACGGCTGAATGTTGATGGGAGGCCGTTGTGTAGTGGCACGCGCAAATATTTGGCGCAAGCGTAGAGGGAAGCTGGCACGCCGCCGCAACCACATCGAATCGCCCCCACGCTGAGATTGTCACGCAGGTCCCATCCCATCTGGACAGCGGCCCACACAAAACACTCCGGCGGGGAGTTTGCTGGTTTGGCGCGGAAATGGGGGGGCACTTTTCAGCTTGTTGAGAGCCCCTTGGGATGGGATGGATCGGCATTTGGCAACTCTCTGGGCTCCTGGAAAATTGCTCGCTGCCTGCCAGCCCTCCATGTTTTACCATCCATGCTCGTGGGCATACCCCTTCATGCATCGTATGAACTTCGAACGTTGGCCTCGAAGTAGCCATTCTTCCTCATTTCTTCTTTGTGAGCCTTTCTAAGCTAGTAGTTGGTGAAATAGGCTTGTCCGGCAGCAAATACGGGGTGGTTTTCTCCAGCCTCGTCTCCTAGACCAACTACCAGCGCATTGCGAGCAGCTATTGCTTGTTCTCGCGTTTGTCCTATTGTATCTCATCTAGTGCTTGCCGAGTCGAATTACACTGCTCTCGATGGTTTTTTAATAATTCAGGCCAGCAGCGAAATGGCGGTGACTGGCAACAAGCGAGGCCATGCTGGCAACATCACCTTCGCGAATGTCGACGGCGCGAGGAAGAAGAAATGCGTCGACATTCACTCGCTGCTTACCGTCACGAAACCGTTGTCTGCTCGGGCTTTAAGCCACGTAGCCAAGAAACAGACAGATCTTAGGAACTCGTCAGGCAGCATTCCCGTGAAATTAAGCGAAATTCGCAACGGGAATGGCGCCGGACGCGGAATCGCACAGACACGACTAGCTATAGAGAGAGGAGGGCTTGGCGACAAGATGACATGGACATTCAAGCCCGCTTCAGAGGCACGTGAGAGGGCGAGTAGGAGCAACCGTGGATCCGCAAACGACGCCGGAGAACCGCGAGTGGTGGATCTTGCCGAAGACGACGACGAGCTGTACGAAGATGCGGACGATGTTACTGAGTGTCACGGCCTGGATGCGATCAGAGAAGACAGATCGTCGCAGGACGACGAGGAGGACAGCGACGATGAAAACGAGGAGAACAGCGACGAGGGGGGCTCTGACGATGAGAACGAGGGGGTTGGGGAGGAGGTGGTGGTGGTGGAAGGAAAGGTGCGAGAGGTGAAGCAGCAACTTCACAGAAGCGGCCGCTCTGAGGCGCCTGCAGACGCTGGGCTGGACGATTTGAAGTGCCACGTGTGCGACCGGGAAGACGGCGAAGACGGAATGCTTGTGTGCGACGGACGTGGGTGTAACCGTGGTTACCACCTCTGGTGCCTGCGACCAATCCTCGTCGCCGTGCCCCTCGGCCAGTGGTACTGCCCAGACTGCCGCCGCCCAGCCAAAATCAGAGGTACGGGTTCCGAACCGAAGCCAGAGGTACGGCACTGACCTTCTCTTCATCGTACACTGAGTAACCCTTCTACTAGTAACTCGCCCGTATCACACACTCGTCTACTATTTATCTTGCACGCTCTCGAATCCCGCTAAGTCGCAGTCTCACACACCCATTCCTCTCAACCCTTCCCCACCCCTCTCCCTCCTCTACTCACTCCCTGACTTCCCCCTCTCCCGCCGCTGCGCCTCCCCAAAACCTTTCCCCGCGGTCCCAGAATTCCCCCTGGTGCAGAGCTCAATCGTCGACTTTTTCCGCATTCAGCGCCCCCCTGGCCTCACACCTGAGAAAACACCTGCCGCGGCCGGCGGAAGCGCCGCCAAACCTGATGTAACCCCTGCTAATGAGGTACGCGGAAAGAAACCTGTCGTCGCGGGGAGCAGCGAGGGAGATAGCAGCGGGCAGAGCAGCGGAGTTACCACACGGCGAACGGAGCACAGCCGACAAGCATCAAGCGGCGTCGTATTGGGTGCTGGTGATGCGGCGGCCGGCGGTGGTAGGAGTAGGAGCAGGAGCAGCGCAGATGCTGACTGTAGGAGCGTAGGAGCTAGTCAGACTCGCAGCGTAGATGCTGCTATGATTAGCATAGGCGGTAGCTCTAGAAACGTAGGTGCTAACTCTAAAGACTTAGGTGCGAGTAACCCTAGTAACACAGGCGCTTCTGCTAGTAGCGGTTTGGGCGCCTGCAGTGGCAGTTTGTGCAGAACGAAGCGCAACAGCACCGCCAGCAGAAACGCAACGGCTGGTGGCGGCAGTAATAACGGCGGGAGTGGAAACGAGAGCATGGTAACAGACACTAGCGGTTCTAGGTTAACTTCTAATTCAGGCACCGGCAGCATCGCTTCCCACGCCAGCAACAGCGGCGGGAAAAGGAGAGTCCCGAGCAGTGGCAGCAGCGGCAGGAGGAAGAGGCAGACCCGAGTGAAGCTGAGTAGAAAGCTGTTCCCCCATCGGCCTGTCCCGGATCCTGAGAGACGCCTGGAGCAGCTTAGATCCCTAGCCACCGCTCTGACAGCTATTGGGGCGCGGTTCGTGGATGGGCTGGAATACCCCTTTAAAGCCGTGCCTAGGGGGATGAACGAGCCCGGGAGGGAGGTGGGGGGAATGCAGGTGCTGAGCCGGGAGAACGTGGGTGTTTTGGAGCGGTGCAAAGAGATGTGGAGGGACGGAGCGCCTCCACCGCTGATTGTCAAGCACGACCCTTGCCAAGGGTAAGTCGTCTCTCATTTGTAGGTCTAGGGTGCACAATAAGCATTCTATACATCCCTTCCCCACACCTCACCTGCTTACTACACACTCCATCCCACACCTCACCTCTGTTCCCACTCCCCACTTCCTTCCATTGTTGGCAGCTTTGTAGTGGAAGCGGATGCGCCTATAGCGGATCGCACGATCGTCACGGAGTATGGCGGGGTGGTTGACAGCATGGCGCGGAGGCGGCACGATCCGTGCGATGCCATGATGGGGTTGCTGTTCACGGGGCGGGATAAGACGGATCTCGTCATCTGCCCGGATGAGGCGGCAAACTTTGCACGGTTCATCTCGGGAATCAACAACCACACCAAGTGAGTTGGGTGCAAGTGGACGATGACACCGGTACGGGTCTGATCAAATGTTTGGTTCATACCACTAACCAGCATCCCAGGGCAAACCAACTTTGTGCAGTTTATATTTGGCCCTGACAAATTCAGATTGTGCAAATGCATTACCGAAATTCCCTGTTGTCGGTGTTTGGGTCTGCGGTCTTCATTCCAATACCCTTGTGTCTACTGCCCCTCGAAGCCCGCCCTTCAAGCACAGTCCTTTGCTGTTGTCCCTCTTTCCCTCATTATCGTCAACCTGTTTGACCCCTCCCCCTTTTTCCCCGTGAATGAGTGCCCTCCCCATTGTGAATGAGTGCCCTCCCCATTGTGAATGAGGAGGCCTGGTCTGCTCACTGCTTTCAAGAAAAGCATCACTCTCGCTCTTGCCCTCACTTGGGTCCTCCCTTTGTCCCCTCCTGCATTTCATGTCCCCTATCCCACTCCTCCCTCTTCCTCCAGGGAGGGTCGCAGGAAGATCAATCTGCGCTGTGTGCGCTTCAGTGTGAATGGGGAGGCCCGGGCGCTGCTGATTGCCACGAGGCGGATTGCCAAGGGCGAGAGGCTTTACTACGATTACAACCGACTCGTGCATGAGTATCCCACCATGCACTTCGAGTGAGACGGTGCATGCATATCTGAGAAATTTGATGACCGTACAACATACTGTAACATTGGCGTACGCAGCATGAATGTATCCCACTATCCACTTTGAATGAAACGGTGCACGTGTGCCCAAGCAGTGTCATTATACGGTAGTGAATCGGCGGTGGCTGTTGCATGATAAATATCCAATTCTGCACGTTGAACGTGGCTGGTGGCATACGTACTACCAGTATGCTTTGACTGATGAGACACCACCTGTGGTACGGTATCTCAAGTATCTCCGCCGGTATCGATATACCGTAGCCCAGAATGTGGGAAGAGAATTCAATGCAGCAGTTGGCTTCTTCTTCAGATATTGGAGGAACTATATGATACATGGTATATGCAGTACAATGAATGGCAATGCATATCTATGTACAAGTAAAGGGTGACATACATAAACTCATAGGTGACCGTGTGGTGGCATGCTCTGGTTCATCTCACTGGCTTCCAGTTCTCGCACTCGTGCCTGCAGAGTTACAGATAATCATTTCAACCACAATGTGGCAAGGCAAGCAATGCAACCTCGTGAAGACCATGTGGGAATGAGTTGCATGCGAGAGAGCAATAGGCACTGCCCCTACCGTATTACACTTGTATTGTATAAGATTACTTGTGCGTAGCTGTACTCACCTCCATGCTCCTTATATACTGTGCTGCAGTGCTGATAATGGAGCCAAAGTCTTGCTGCCCCCCGAGGATGCCAGCTGGCAGGACGGCCCTCAGTGATTGAAGCGACTCACTGCAGCACACACATTGGGAATGCGGACCAGACAAGTCAGAACACCAAAACCAAATGAGTCATAAGATACTCAGATATGAACCGGGAAGAAGACGAGAAGCCGGAAAGGGTTCCAATGAGGTTGTAGCAAGGGGAGCCTTTCAGGAACCCTGGGACAAAAGAGATGCCTTCCCATTATAGTGCATGCCCTTGGCGGGTGATACACACAGCCAGCCACTTACGCCATCTGTCTCCTCCTCTCTCTGTCCCTTGCAGCGCGGGGGTGCAGCGACCTCCTGCCTGCGCTCCCCGCAGCACTCGGGTCGGCCCCTTCGCTCCCTGACTTGGATGCTGTCGGTTGAGGTGTCTCACGCAGCAACCTCCGCCCCACATTCCCCAAGCCCCCCCGGTCGCTCCTTTCGTCCCCGACTTGGATTCTGTGGTTCGAGATGTCTCATGCAGCAACCTCCTATCAGCATTCCCCACTGCGGTTGTGTGTCCTCCTGGGAGTCCTGTGCTGGCAGCAGCCACGGGCGAGCTTGTAGCAGCGCCACCCTTGCTTGTAGCAGCATCATGCGTGCTTGTAGCAGCACCACCCATGGTTGTAGCAGCAGCCCCCATGCTTGTAGCAGCAACATCCATGCTTGTAGCAGAAGCAACATGCGTACGTGTAGCACCACCACCTGTGCTCGCACCGGCAACATCGGAGCAATCAGCTGGAAAAGCAGCCGGTAATATTGCTGCAGAAACAGGGAGTCTCGGTGTACCAAAAGTAGCACCAGCAGCAGCAGCAGCGCCAGCGACACTTGTAACCGGACCAATGGCATCGCCATTGCCATGTCTGGCAAAAAAGGGACCAGGAACAAACGCAGTAGTTCTCGCAGCAGGAGGCGGTGGACGAGCAGCGAGAGTGACAGAACCCTGACGACAAGAGTCAGGGAAAAAGGTGCCGGCTTCATTGTCCGGCAGAGGCAAGGGAGTTTCGTCCATCAATGCGGCCAGCAGCACCTGCTGTATTTGTGCTTGGCTTAGCAATCCATTTGTTCCTCCCCCCGCCCCTTCCAACTTCACTGTATCTGGCTGCAAAGAATCAAGCGGTCTTGTAGTTGCACTGTACAAATTATCCTCGTTACTGGGTAGTTGCACCAGAAGTGCAGGCACAAGCTGGTTCGGCCGTGGGAGCACTTTTGGCTGCTCCATCTGCTGGCTTGGCTTTGGGTTTGGACTCGTCCGCAGTATTGGCTGCCTCATCAATAGCTCTGGCTGCTGTACATTTGTGTCATTTGAAATTTTGGACCAACGAACCCAATCTGCACCTTTTCCACCGTCCGATGAACTCCATTTCGTCCTTTTGCTCATCTCAGTGTTACTGCCCCTGATATCATCTTCCCGGTTGTGCTTCGCCAGCGTTCGCACGAGCAGAGGGCGGGTTTCCAGCAGCTGAGCCTTTGGGTACGAGTTACCAAGCTGGTGGTAGCGTTTCGCCAGATCGCCAAGCAGCTGACCTTGTTCCTGCTGCTCGTGCTTGTGCTGCTGCTGCTGCTGCTTCTGCTGCTGCTGGTGCAACATTTGTTCTTGCGACTGCTTGGTTACCAGCTCCCGATTGCCGTCGCCGAAACAGCCCGCGACTTCCGCCGCGCTTCGCAGACCCGCTTTATCCATGAGGTCACGTCGGTCTGGAGCTGATTGCAGGATTGCGTTCAGCTCGTCCGTTACCGTCTTCAGTTCGTCGGTCATTGACGACCTTATTGTTCCTTGACGTCCAAATCCGGCGGCGCTAGACGAGCCGCTTTCATCGGCGCAAACCGCGGCATAGCGATTATCCCTCGCCGGACTGCCAGTGGAAGCTGGATCTTCGCAACCTCGCGCTCCTAAACCTATCGAGCCCCATCTGGGACGCATTTCCTGTCTTTCTCGGGAACCCGTGTGCGACGGCCTCGTGGAAAATTGCTGTGAACCGCGAAATCCTCCGCTAATTCCGTCTAAGATATTCGCAGCCATGGCGAAACGACCTGACGCGTTTTTGGATTTTTCTGCAGCAGCGAGTTCCTCCTTGGCCAGAGAATCACTATCCGAACCCATTGTGCTGGCAGCAGCTTCGACAAGAACATGCGGCAACAGCGGGGGGAAAGATAGATGCTTGGTACTACTAGTAGTGGAATTTGTTATAGCGGCCATGAGCAAGAACCTTGACCTCTATTGCGAGCTCCAGTGATACTTGAACAGCAGCGAAATTCATCTCTCCTCTCACCCCGCCTTCCTCGCTTGTAAAGCTGTCATCGTGACGTGTTGAGGCCCTTGACACGCCGCAATTTTGCTTTTCTCATCAATGTTGAAGCTGCTACGAAAGTGGTGATTATGCAGCCAAATCCAGAGGCTGGATTGCGATGTAAAATGAAGCTCACGAGCAGCAAGTGCGGGCTGAACGCTTATCAGCTCCGCAGCCAATCAGAGGCTCCAGATCAAACCAGCCCAACATTAATGGAAAACAACGAAGGGATCATCGATTCGATATTTAACTTCTAAATTGTAAGTAATTGTTTCTCTTGACCGCGAATACTTCTCTAGTCTATCTCGCTTACTGGGTAGAAAATAAGTTTTGGGTTACTATTCGACCCCCAAACCATGGTTCATTTTGTTTGTTTCTGTTTTTTTTACCGTTAGTCATGCGACATTGATCAGCGTGGAAAACCGTGCGACTGGAAGTTGAAGCAAGCGCGGTCCAAATCTACGTAAATGCCAAACTCCAGAAACTAGTAGCAAAACAACCACTCTTCATGCAATTTTCCTGAACGGGACTAAAAGTATCGCGTTTTGCCTGGGGTTCGAAGGTTTTGCCACATAGTCCGCGCGCGGCGATGTTGATCCGTCGGACTATAAACGAGAACATCTGTATGTTGCAAGCAAGGAAACAAGACAAGACCGACAAACACCCGTCGTGCGGATGAACAAAAATTCTGCTCCTAATTTGTCCTTGCGCGAACCGCTTCCTCGCACACGCCCTTGCGACTGCCAGGCTGGCGCCGACAAAAGCGAGGGCTCGTCTTAACGCCTTTCGTCGCGGAGGAAGCAGCTTTCTTTGGCCGATTTCGTCGCCTAGTAGGGCCCACTACTGACGCCCTGGCCGGCCGCTGATGCTCCAACACAGAATCTTCAAGATGCTGCAAGCTGATGTGGTAACTCATCGTCGTGGCAATGCTGGATTGGTCTTAGCTACCAGCCAGAGTGTAACGACACTACAGCACAGAAACCCCATGTTTGCGGTGTCGTTACACCATAGCCTCCTATTTTGTAGGACTATGGTGTTTGCGGTGATGTGGAGTGGAGTGGACCGACCGACCTATTGGTGTTGAATAAGTGGGGGTGAACAGTGCTACAAAGGCATGCTCAGAACGACTGTGGCCAATACTCATAGCGGACTTCCGAGAAGGTGATCAGTATGGAAAAGTCCAGCAATCGGCAGCAAGTTACCCTACAGCATGGGCGGTGGTGGTGGGCATGAGAGAAGCAATGCACTCTGACAACCAAGCACCGAGCAGCACCGTGCAGAAGCGGTGCGCAATGTAGAAAACCAACACTGTACGGAATATGGTGGGTAGCCCCGCGTGGAGAAGAAATGTGGCTGATGCGAGCAGCATTTCGAGAGTTCAGGCGTAGAATCTTGCCAGGTGCGGGAAACATAGAGATGTCAGATGCTCCCACCCACGTTATTCCGCGGTCAACAAATGTAGCTCGTTGTTTGATCACCTGAGCACCTTGGCTTGTAAAACAATTCCCCCCTAACAAGTGCTGAGCTCAACAATTCTCCCAGTCTCCCAGGTTTTTTCTACACCAGGCCCTGCAATTTCGGAAGTGATTGCTCCCACTTATTGAAGTGGAACAGGTTCCTGCTCTACAACCCGTATTTAGGATTCCATACCATAACTGACCGATTTGATCACGAAATCTTGTTTATGTTCAGGCAAAGCTGCTGCTGATGGCCCCTCCACCAGCACTGAGGGCGCCAAGCCAAACGTCTGAAAACAGACAGGTGCGAAACAATGCACTGTGCGGAACTGGACTGGAGACACATTTCGCCAAAGGCTTCGCATGGGTGTTTGCGACGCCGTCATCAAGCATGACCCCAACTATCCGAATACCATGGAGCACACCCAGTAGAAATTGATTCGCATAACGTATGGGTACGTTTCGCGGTGTACACTTGGTAGAGTCTGAGAGTGTTATATTTCTCAAACTGTTCACCCCATTTCAAAATCCGGGTCTGAGTTGGCTGCTTGATAGCAAATTCGACTTCCACTCGGCAAGTGCGCGGAAATGGCGGTTACCGAAGGGCCTCCAGACGAGGCGATAAGTGATTCCGCTTTGTCTCATCAGGCTACGAAACTTCCGCGATCCATTCTTCTGGAAATATTCCAACGCCTACCAGCTGAAGGGCCTGGCGGAATAATCTGCGCCATGCTCACGTGCAGGTGCGCCCACCTCCCCCGCCCTCTCCCCTGCTCCTCCCCACCCCCCCCTCCCGTCCCCCCCCCCCCCCCCCCCCCCCGCCCCCCCCCCCCCCCAAGGCGGATTTTTCCCCACATGCTCCCCGTAGGCGCGATTTTTTCCCTCTACCCTCCGCTTCCGCCTCTCGTTCCTGCCCTACCCCCACTTGCTCCCTCCCCGAGGCCCCCTTGCTCAATTCACCGCCCCTGCCCGCGATTCCCGCTTCCGCCTCTTCTCTGTCTTCCCCGCCTTCCGCCGATTCCCCCATGCGCAGGGACTGGCGGGATGCGGTGGTGGCGGAGGAGCGGGATGCGGGGGGCGCAGGGGGAGAGGCGTTCTGGCGGAAGGTGTTTGAGCGGACGTTTGGGGAAAGGGCTGCGCACTGGAGCAGGGCGGAACAGCCACGCGGAGAGGGGAAAGGAGGGGAAGTGCGGGAGGGGAAAGGGGAGGGGGAAGGGGCAGGGGAAGGGGAAAGGGAGGGAGTGAGTGAGAGCGGTGTGTGGAGAGGAGGTTTAGAGAGAGAGTGGAGGTGGGGAGGAATTGGAGAGTGGGTAAGTGCGATGTTTGGGGGATTCATGGGGGGAGAGGGGAAGCATGGGGGAAGGGGGGAACGGGAGCGCAGGAGCATCACCATCAACACCATCGGCACCAGTAACAGCAGCAGCACCAGCAGCAGAAGCACCAGCAGCACCAGCAGCACCACCTGTTACCATTTCAGTGATGAAAGTGGACGACACGCTTCTCCTCCTGGGCACATCTCACGGCCACCTGCAGGTGTGGCACCTCCCCTCCCACTCCCTCCTCCCCTCCCTCCACCACCCCCTCCCCCTCCCACTCTCCCGCCTCACTCTCTCTGAGAGCCTGGGGGACCCCCCCCTGGGTCCTGATTCATGTTCTCGAGCTGTCACTGCAGATGCTTGTAACGAGGATCGCTGGTGTGCTTGTAACGAGGATATCTGGTGTGCTTGTAACGAGGATGGGTCGAGGCTGGTGGCGAGTGCGGCAGAGGACGGATCGGTGTGTGTGTGGAGCCTGCCCCGCTGGCCCACAAGGGGGGATGGTAGCTCAACGCCACAAGCGCTACAAGCAGGGGCAAATGTAAGAGAAGCAGGGTCGGAAGTGGTACCAGCAGGGTCGGAAGTGGTACCAGCAGGGTCGGAAGTGGTACCAGCAGGGTCGGAAGTGGTACCAGCAGGGTCGGAAGTGGTACCAGCAGGGTCGGAAGTGGTACCAGCAGGGTCGGAAGTGGTACCAGCAGGGTCGGAAGTGGTACCAGCAGGGTCGGAGGTGGTACCAGCAGGGTTCCAAGTGGTGCAAGAAGGTTCAGCTGAGGCACTGCTAGCAGGAAGCACTTCAGAGCGCCGAGGATTCGGAGGGACGTGCGTTGCCATCGTGCCTTGTGCAGCCCCCTGGTGCTCGCTCTGGTTCGTGCAGGGGGCGATGGGCGAGCAGCAGCTGTGGCAGGACCTGGAGAGGGTGGGAAGGGGCGAGGGGAATACGGAGGGAGGAGAGGGAGGAGCGGGAGGGGAGGGAGGGGAGGGCGAGGAGGGAGAGGGGGAGCAGGTGCGGTGGAGGCCGCGGAAAGGCAAGCGAGGGCCACGGGAGTGGTGGGAGGGTGGGGTTGTTACCGAGCGTCGCACGTGCAAGGGAGAGACGCCATGCCCTCGGCCTCGGTATTTGCTGGTGGAGGGGCGGGATGGGGGCACAGACATATTCTCATCTTACAGCATGCGCCTGTGGGACTTGGGCTCTGCTGGCTGTTCGTCTTTTATATTCAGCAGAATTCAATGCATTCATCGCAGTCAACGCAGTCAACATAGTCAAAGCAGTCACCAACGCATGCCCAAGCACAGGCCAAGCTGGAGTGTGTATACAATCAGGCTTTAGCCTTCGATCCCCAGACAGGGGTTGTTGCTGCATCCGTGCCTCACTTCCACCCCCCCATAGCATCAATCCTCTCTGCTAGTGACACGACCTTGGTGGTCATGGGGAGCATTCCTGTGTGGCCGCGCACAGACCAGCAGCACCAGGGCGCCGCACCTAATGCTGCTGCTGCTACTGGTGTTGCATCCAGTGTAGCAATTAGGGAAGAGCGCTCAGAGGAGTTTCTTCAGGCGGAGGCTGACTTGTTGCACGAGGCTGAGGGAGCATCTGGCATGGGAGGAGAATGTCCCCGCCATTGCATCATTCGTTTGCAGCACCTTCGCTCCAGTCACACCCTAGTGGATGTTTAACCCCGTTTAGTGAAATTTGAAAATGTCACAGATGTCGCTTTCAGCCACTCGGAGCGGTACAATTGGCGGCTTCTGATCGGGTCTACTTTTGGGGATATCCTCCTTTATAACTTTGAGAGTGGAGGAGGACAGGATGGGGCGGCAGGGAGTAGGGATAAAGGTGCAACGAGGGGAGGAATGGCGGGACAGGGAGGAGGAGGAAGTGGAGGAAGTGGAGGAAGTGGAGGAGTGAAGGGAGGAGGCAGAGGGTTGAAGAGAAGAGGAGGTAGCATTTGAGAGCCGTCGATTTCCTTAACCATCAGCCAGTGGGAGCGGGTTTTGGAATCCTCCCTTAACGAACGGATTTTTTGCGTCACTGTATGTGCCTACTGTACACTCTTATCGTTCTCATATAATGTTCATACCTAATGTTCAATGCATAATTACTGTTCATGTATGATGTTCAACAGTTTTCTGCACATCCCCCACTCTCACATCCCCCACTCTCACCTCCCCCACTCTCACCTCCCCCACTCTCACCTCCCCCACTCTCACCTCCCCCACTCTCACCTCCCCACAGACCGTACAAGGTGGCTTCCCTGGAGTCTTCGCGCGCCTGTGGGACGTGGATGCTTCTGCTGTCGCTGCCCTGCTCTCCCAGGTGCGGCCTACACTCCCAGGTGCGCCCTACACTCCCACACTCCCAGGTGCGCCCTACACTCCTGCTCTCCCACATGCACCCTCCTCCCTCACGTGCGTATCCTCCCCTAACAGGTGTGCCCTCCCCCCCTACCTGCGCCCTCCCTGCCACAGATGCGCCCTCCCCCGAACAGGTGCGCCCCCTCCCCAACAGGTGTGTTCTCCCCCCAACAAGTGCTCCCTCCCCCCCCAGGTGCGACCTCCATTCACAGGGCTTGTTCACTTTGCCTCGCAGCATCCATCTTCCTTCCCTGACGTTGCAGGGAGTTTTTGAGAATTCTCAAAAACACCTCGCAGCATCCATCTTCCTTCCCTTTACTCCCGCATTGCATTGTTCCCTTCCCTCCTCCAGGCCAGGCTCATCCCCCATTCACCGAGATACTCTAAACGGACTATCAGCAGCCCTGCATCACCCCCTCCTCCTCTGTCACCGCTCTCTTACTCGCAGTTCTTGCTTGCACTCCCACATTGTTCCCTTCCCTCCTGCAGGCCCATCCCCCATTCACCGAGATTCTCCACCTGGACTCCCAGCAGCTCCCAGCAGCCCCCTCCCCCCTTCCCCCCATCCTTCTCCCCCCTGTTCCTCCAGGCCTGTCCCCCATTCACCGACATTCTCCATCTGGACTCCCAGCAGCCCTGCATCGCCCCTTACTCTGCCACTGCTGTCGTGCTGCGAGCTGATGGACTCGTTGCCCTCTGGACCGGCATCCAATGGCCTGATCACACGGTTACATCCCACCGCGTTACATCTAACGGCGTTTCATCCTATGTTCCACAATACTCTTAGCATGTTTTTCGTTTTCAACCATTTCAAGGTTCCCATCTGCCCCGACACCGTCGGGGCTGTCCGCGTTTGCAAGTATTGCGCCATCGAGTTCAAGGGTGGTGCGTTTCGATGCGCTCAGAACACAACCGTTCTTCGCTTCGCCGTGCCCCAATCATCCGCCTTCAGCAATCCAGCCGTCACCATTTTCCCTCAGAAGGTTGCTGCTGATGGGGACTACGCCTACCGCCACGGCGGCACCATGTATTTCGGCTGGTCCGGGGTCAACCCCACCCCCCGTACCCCACAGGAACTGCAATTTGTACAAAACACCACAATGGGAGCCTTTGCTATAACGGGTACAAGTGCTCTAGAGATTCTAGACCTTCAAGTGCATTCCACCTGCTTGCAACCCCCTTCTCCCAGGAATTTACGTTTCAGTAAACCAATTTGGGGAGACACCGGGCTACTTTGGGGCGAGCATATAGTGAGTGCTTTGTGAGGCGCCTCAAAAACCGTTTTAGCAAACCTGTTGGGGAGACACCGGGGCGAGCTTATAGTGATTGTTTCGTCTCTCAAACGCACATCGAACACAGGTTTTTGCAGGTGGGATAAGCATTGCTGGCTTTATGGGGTGAGCCTACACCCTCCCCCATCAGCTCCCCATCCTTTTCCCATCATCTTCGTCCCCATCTCTCCCCTCTTCCCCTCGTCTTCCCCTTCTCTCCCCTCACCTAGCCCCCTCATTCCCCTCCCACTCCACTTCTCTCCTCCCCCTTCCTGCGCCTTCCTGTCCCACTACCTCCTCCCCTGCCCTTCCTCCCCAACCAGTGCAATCGCCAAGCCACAGCTCCAAAGGCCAGAGAATGCCACCATTCTCCGCCTCGTCGTCCCTTACACTGCGAGCGTTCTTAGCCCATCCTTCACCATCTTCCCTCAGAAGGTCGCAGCAGACGGGGCCTACGACTACCGTCACGGCGGCACCATGTACTTCGGCTGGACTGCTGTCAACCCCACCCCCGGAGCTCCTAACGAAACCGTGCTTGTCGCCAACTTTACCACAATGGGGGCCTTTGCTATAACGGGTACAAGCGCCCTGGGGACCTCTGAAGCCGAGACTGTGGTTGAGCCACACTGCGCTGCCGTCAACACTCCCCCGTACTTTGTTCCCGGGCCTGTAGAGCAGAAACCCGGACCTGTTCCCTTGGCTTGGGCGATGAACACCACGATGAGACCCATTGGCCCGGGATATGTAGCTGCAAGAAGCGTGGTGGTGTTTCCAAGGAGGAGGCAGATGTGGATCAGCTTTATGTCGGCCTTTGGCAAGGACATGAGTGCTTCTGCTGTGGTCGCTCGCCTTCGCTTGTCCTTGAGGCTCGAGCGCCAGTGGCGCCCGTTCCGGGTGTTTCTGGAGCGGTTCAAAGCGGTGGGGGTGGGCGGAGGGAACAGCCTCATTCAGCCGAACATCGCTCTCAACAGGTGGGAGAGAGGGGAAGAAGGGGTGGAGCGGCAGTGGGGGAGAGAGGGGGGGTGGAGATGCAGGGAGAAGGGAGGGGGGTTGGAGGGGCAAGGAGGGAGAAGGAAGCGATTGCATGAGCACTTGAGATGCAATTCAGAATGCAGAATGCAGAATGCAGAATGCAGAATGCAGAATGCGGCTGTCTTGCACTAAAAAAAAATCCCCAGCAGCGCATCAAGACTGTCTTACCATCTCCTCACTCCTTCCCCCTGGCACAGCGTGGGCATGATAGCAGCATTAATCAGCCCGTCTTCTTTCTCTCTTGCCCATTCCCACACTCCCCTGGCGCAGGCAAGGCGTGGGCATCATGGCAGCATCACTGACAGGGCGTTCCTTCTACCCCTCAGCTGCCTATGCCACTCTCAACGCCAATGTGGATGTCGGCCGCATCAATGTTGTTGGTGCGGGGAAAGCGCCTCTCGATGACTACTTTGGTGAGTCCGCTTTGTGGCGCGTGGTATTTTATGCACCTCAAAAATTGCCTCTCGACGGCTCTTTGGTGAGTCCGCTTCCTGGCGTGTGGTTGTTGCGCGCTTTGGTATTTTAGTTTGTAAGACAAGCTCTGTTGGCTGGGAAAATTCCGGGCTGAGAAAACCTACCTCCCTTAGGTCTGTTGGCAACGTTTAACGTCGGGATGCAGTGCAGAGGCTGCATTTGAGGCACCTCATAACGTGAGACAGATTTTGAGGCGCCTCAAAGAACACACCCCCCACCCCTCTCTTTCCCGCCCCCGAACCCTTTCAGAAATTTACTCTCTTCTCCCCCAGGGTACCTGAGTGACAGGATGCTGTTTTCAAACTACATGGCGGCAACAGTGGATGAGGAGGGCAATGCGTGGGCAGCAGTGCAGTATGTGGCGGGGCAGCCGCGCACCGAGTGGAGCAACTGGGGCACCTTTGTGTTCAAAGTCACCCTGCACGAGGGGGAGGTGGGGGGTGGGGGGAATGGGGGGGATGGGGTGAACGGGGATAATGGTGGGAATGGGGATACCAGTGGGAATGGGGATGACGGGGGGAATGGGGATACCAGTGGGAATGGGGATGACGGGGGGAATGGGGATACCAGTGGGAATGGGGATGACGGGGGGAATGGGGATACCAGTGGGAATGGGGATGACGGGGGGAATGGGGATACCAGTGGGAATGGGGATGACGGGGGGAATGGGGATACCAGTGGGAATGGGGATGACGGGGGGAATGGGGATACCAGTGGGAATGGGGATGACGGGGGGAATGGGGATCATGAGGGGAAGTAGAAAGTTGAGAAGGGGGAGAAAAATGGGGTTGGAGTGAAGAACGGGTGGGATGGGAATGGGGGCTGGAATGGCACGTGCCGGGATAACAGAGGGACTGAGATAATGAGGGGATTTGTGTGACCGGGGGCTAGCAGGAATGCGGGAAATGGGGAGAACGGGGTTAAGGGGGAGTTTAAGGGGAAATGAAAGAAGTCGAGGGATGGCGGGGGGAATAAGGAGAACGGGGGCCAGGGGGAATAGGGGGGCAACGGTTGTAGCAGCAGCAGTGATAGTGGCAGTGACAATGGCGGCCGCACCTGAGACAAATTAAAAAGCGACTTCACTGCATCAGTTGTGGTGGCCGGTCATGGGATGGGAGTGAGCGAGCATGCGGTTGGCATCTAATGTGTTGCTATCTCTGCAGCACAGTTACCTACCTTGCAACTCCCGCGTAGCATCAAACCACATGCCATGACACTCTCACATGCTATGCCGCTGGATCTCTGCATGCACTGTCTATTATTTGATTAAAGCCCGAGTCTAGAATGGCAAAGTTTCAACACTACTGAAGTTGAAATTAGGTTGACGAAAGGTGGCGTCTGCTGCTCATGTGCGAACGGTGCAGTCTCCCTAGATGTGCATTGAGTTCGCCTGTAGGGCAGAAGTAGCCTTCCACTAAAAGCTGCCTAAAAGTGCAATAACATTCAGGACAGCTATGCAGTGCATGGTACGGTACCACTAATTCACAGGCACCGATTCACAAGAAACATAACAATTCAACGGTACCTTATGTGAAAGAAATGGCAGGCATGTTGGCATGCCAATAAGAACCTACAACATGCAAATATACACTCTTCAATTACCAGCCTTTCTGAATATGCCCAACCCACGGTTAGGCTTTGCAAACTGCCCGCGGGCAGCACCGTATATAAATCTCTCTGTCTCAACCGTCGCATAGAATGCCGCAGGCGACTTGCTTATATCAGCAAATACCTCCTTATAAGTAGTTCCGTCTGTAGTAGTCAACGCTGCTGCATTCCTCCACGAACCTTTGAAAACATACACGTACGGATTCCGGTCCGGCCGATCCAAACCAAACCCAGGCCTCGCCATTTTCGCTATAATGACCATGTCAGTAACGTTCTGCCACGTGGCATCAGATGAGAGGTCAATAAGGACGTCACCCGTGGCGCCCTTGGCGGCTGTGTTGATGGAGATGGAGGAAGGGAGCTCGGGCTGGGAGAGTTCAAGTCGCGCTGAGAATGTGATGGTTCCGTTGCTGGAGGAGGGAGGCAAGGGGAAGGCGTGAGGGAGCGCAGAGGGAGGGAGAACGGAGGCGAGAAAGAGGGGAGAGGGAGGGAGAGGGAAGCGAGGGGACAGAGTGAAAGGAGAAGAGCGGTGGGCGCGGGAAGCGGTGATCCGGCTGCATTTAAGCGTCCATCCCTCGTCAATTAGTTGTCCATCACTAACTAAGCACCGAATTCAAGGAATCGCGACCACTGCTGTGGGGCAAACGACAGGAATCGCTTAAATCTATGCTGTATTCGAATGAAACCAGAGCCAGTGATTTTTGAGTCGATTGAAAGAAGCGCAAGATACGGCACAAATTACTAGAATCTCGGTTGTACCTAAGTGAAACCAGAGTCAGTGTGCCAATCGCGTTTCGGGCACCCGCGCTGGCGCCCATATCGTCCACCACGAATTTTCCTTGTAGCTTCGCTTGCACCGAGCCTGCGCGCCGAACCACGTCGTGAAAGGATATCGCGATGCGCGTTACACTCGCTTGCGAAAACAGCATTGCTTGATACAGGTCTTCCAACGCGCATAATCATACTGAAGAGACCCATTGTGCAAAGCAGTATCGCTGTGCGAAGGATGCGACATAGGGAAGGTTGCGACCAGGAAAATTGACGCACATGATATTCACGAAAACGGAAAATGCACTCACCGAGAACGCGGGTTCGGCCGCCAAAGAAGCCAAGCAGTTTGCCGCCCTTGCCCTTCCCTGCTCCCTTGCTGGCCCCGCCTTTTTTAGCATTCCCACTGCCTTTCCCCTTCCCGCCGCCTCCTCCGCCCCCTTTCGCTAAGGAGCCTGCAGAAATGAGAGGATGTATAAGCGCAACGAGATGAGAGCCAGAGAGCACGAGCAGCGGTAGTCGCAGACTCATTTTCAGTACCATACGCGAGTAGCGTTCAGGCATTGTTTCAGGTACCTGAAAGCAGGAGGAGAAGGACGATGCCTAACAGCGTCCATCTCGAGATAGCCATGGTGGAATTCCGCATTCCGGAGACCGCAGGTTCAGGAGACCAGTGATTCAGAGATTCTGAAGTTGACTTAGGGCAATTTTTCAAAGAACGTTATTGATGAGCTTCTGGAGGCGAATTCTGCGGGGGATGGGAAATTCTGGTGGAGATGGGATGGGTTGGGGTTGGGGGAGAAAAGCGATAAATCCCCCGAATCGCGTTGGATGCGTCATTTCGCGCGCTCCGCATTTTCTTTTGGCGGAAAATCAGCGGATGGATTCGCGGATAGGTTTGTGGAGGAGGGGCGGGTATCACTAATTCGCGAAACATAAGTGGGATTTCGCATTCCCGGTCGTGCGTTGCCTGGTTCCTCGCATGTCGCCTTCCATGTCGGTGGCTCGCATTTGTTGTGCCCGCCCCTCACATCTGTCGACACGAGTCGCCGCCATCTCCTGAGGTGGGATGAGGATCGTGCATGCGAATTGACGAAAAGTTGGGGGGACAAGAGGCGACGCAAGTTTGCCAGGGCAAGTGCGAATGCAGGCTCCCATGTAACTGGTTCGTCGAGCATTAGCCGTCAGAGTTGAAGGACGCATGAAGCAAAAATTATGTAATGTGATTTTCTGACGAGTATGTTCTACAAACGGGTAAATCCTCTGTAATAGACTCAAAATCAGTTTATAGAAAGTGCTGAGAGCAAACTGACTTTGACAAGTTATTTATTGGATCTTCGCTCCAATGCTTCCAAACTCAAGCACGCCTGATTTGCAGGACACTACAATTTCCGGACTAAGTTCCGGAGATAGTTCAAAGCGCAAGAAAATAGCTAATAAACCATTCAAAGAAAGCACCCTGTCCAAATTACTTCACCGAGATGATTTTGATCACAGCCGCATTCCCGATGCGATGAAGAGCAACCACCGACTCCCCTTCACGGCAGAACCCCCTCTGCTTGGCCGCTCTCAACGCCGCAGAGATAAGCTCATCAGTCGTATCTGAATCCGTGGCTCTGGCAGCCCCCTCGGCCAGCAACGGGACAAGACCACGGCACACAAGCGCGTGCCTAGCAGGAGACTCGTCACTAATGGACCACGTGAGGTCGTCCGACGTCATAACGGGGACGGCTACAGAGAGGATGGGCATGGGCGGGCGGTACTTGGCCACTAGCTTGGCGGTGGAGCCTCCCCTGGTGAGCACAATGATCAGCACCGCACGCGCCTGGGGGAACGGTTGCATGGGTTGGGGATGATGGTGAAGTGGGTGGAGAATAGTGTGTTTTCGAAGTGAGTCACAAATTGGCACTTGACATAACAGAGCTGAGTATAAAATCTCAGGGAACGGGGGGAGGGAGAAGGGGGGGAAGGGGAGCAGGGGGAAAGGGGGAGGATCTGGAAGGGAGAAGGCAAAAAAAAGGGAGGGTGGAAAGGAATAGGAGGATAGTGGCATTTGACGGGCGGGGAAAAGCAGGGAATACAATTCACCTTGTTGGCAGTGCGCACAGCGGACGAAGCGAGACTCTCCAGCGGGCTCATGGGCATGGGAGCTTCAGCCCATGATGGTCTTGAAGATGGAGTGGTAGTCCAGCGATGCCTCTGCCTCACCGCCTCCACTGCCCACACACCCTTTTTAAGGCGCCTGAACAACACAACATGAAACACGGCTCACCTTATTGGCGGTGCGCACAGCAGAAGACGCCAGACTCTCCAGGGGGCTCATGGGCATGGCAGCCTCGGCCATGATGGTCTTGAAGATGGAGTGATAGTCCAGCGACGCCTCTGCCTCCCGGCAGATGCGTGCCATCACGGTGACGGCCTCCACGGGCCATGACCCCGCGGCCGTCTCCCCCGACAGCATGACGGCGTCGGTGCCGTCCAGCACTGCATTCGCCACGTCCGTCGCCTCCGCACGCGTGGGGCGGGGGGACTTGGTCATGGATTCAAGCATCTGTGTGGCCGTCACCACCGGCTTGCCTGGAGACGAGGGGAGAGAGTGGGTTGGGGAGAGGGGGTTGGGAAGAGTGGGGACGTGAGGTGGTGCATATGAGTGGCTCGCATGGGGCGCAGGGACTTGGTCATGGACTCGAGCATCTGCGTCGCTGCCACCACGGGCTTGCCTGGAGAGGTAGAGAGTGCGCAGCAAGAAAGTGGTGTAGGGGGGAGTCGGGGGTAGGTGGGATCGGGGACGTGGTGCATGTGATGTGAGCGGCTCGTGTGAGGCAGGGCGATTTGGTCATGGACTCGAGCAGCTGTGTGGCTCTCACCTTTGCCTTGCCCGGATGGAGGAAGGAGAGCAGAGGGTGAAGGGTGGAGGTTGGGGTTTGAGGAAGGGATGCTGGTTATGGATTGCCTTGGTAGAAGCATGTGCGTGCTTATTATTTCCACCTTTCCCGTTCTCCTCATCTGACGTCCTGCCACTACAATGACCGTCCCCTTGACAATGCCCCATGCCACAAGCCCCACCCGCTACAAGCCCTGCCTCACCTGCGGCGTTGCACTTGTGGATCATTATCTTCTGTGCGAGAAAGAACTTCTTGATGGGGATCTCCAAAATTTACACTACACACCCTTTAACGTACGCTTCACTACAAGCATATCGCTCACCTGCAGCGTTGCACTTGTGGATCATCATCTTCTGCGCGAGAAAGATTTTCTCGATGGGGATTTCCATGCCCAGGTCGCCTCGAGCCACCATGATGCCGTCTGACTCGCGCAGAATGTCGTCAAAGTTCACCAGCCCCTCCTGGTTCTCCACCTGCTCAGGGGGGAGGAAGGGGAATCAAAGACGCAACACACAGGGTGGCAAAGGACAGAGTATTACATAATGAATTGACCATGATGCCGTCTGACTCGCGCAGAATGTCATCAAAGTTCACCAGTCCCTTCTGGTTCTCCACCTGTTGTTCGGGAGGAACCAAGGGGAATAAGAGATGCAACACACGGGGTAACAAACGCACTAAGTACTATACCCAGATTCCACATAATGCTTGCCACTCATGCAGAAGGTCATCAGAGCTGACCAGCCCCTCCTGGTTCCCCAGCTGTCAGGGATGTCGAGAGCACACAAGGTGCCATGGGAATAAATACTTACAAAAAGGTCCCCCATTCTGCCATTTCGTTTTTGCAGAATGCCATGACACTCACATCCCATCCATCCAATCCTGCATGTCTATAGTGAACGTTTTGCAATGAAATTGTGTTCCAGTACATCCCAACTCGGACTCATGTACAGAACACCTGTGCGTTTCATCTCACCTTGGAGATGATCTGGATGGACTTGCTGAACTTGGGTCCCAGCAGCTTGCGGATGATCCCAAGGTCCGACCCCTTGCGCACGAAGGAAGCAGCAATGAAGTCGACGCGGTTGGGCACGCCCCACTGCATGATGTCCTCCTCGTCCTTGCTCGTGATGGTGGGCAGGTCCACTATCACTCCCGGCAGGTTCACGTTCTTGCGCTCGCCCAGCACTGCCGTGTTCTCACACCGACACTGCACCGTGCTGCCAGCCACATGTGGGGGATGGGGGGACGAGAGCGGAAGTGATGTGGATAAGGGGACACCAGCACCGCACCATGCTGCCAATAGTTGAAACAGGGAGGGGGAGGGAAGGGGGATGGCGGCAGAAGGGAACCGCACAGCGGAGAAGCGTGACCACCTCACATTCTTCCGCTCGCCCTGCACTACCCCAGTAGCAGCACCGAATTCCCGCCCTTCCTGCGTCTGGCACCAGCCTCTCAGCCTTCCTTGGGGATACATAATCACGCTGAGCCTGGCGGGATGGGCCCGTCGGCGATCTCAATTTGTCCTTCCAGCTTCACGCCTATTGAAGCGCCTCAAAACAATAGTTGAGGCAATCATTACCACGACTGGTACCAACCTCTCACCCTCTCTTACCTGAACGCGATGGACCCGTCCCATCCGCACACAAAACCAATTCCCCCCGCTCAACCTCTCCTGAGGCATCCCAAAAGAAACTTCGGAAATCGGGGCAACCTATGAAGCGCCTAAATATCATCCATTATCCCCCACAAGTAGCACCGGCTTCTCACCCTGCCGTGGGGTTGCACGAGATCACGCTGAGCGTGATTGACCCGTCGGCGCAGAGAATCTGTCCGCCGGGCTTGACGTCGCTGGGAAGGCTCTTGTAGCTCATGGCGATGGTGGTCTCGTCGCCCAGCGCCTCGTAGTCCGTCGTTATCGTCACCTCGTTCCCCTTCACCAGCTGCACCGGCTTGCTGTCCTTCAGGAACCCCGTGCGGATCTCCGGACCCTGGGAGAGCGGAAAGAGAGGGAGGGGATGCGGGGTGGGGGTGGACGGGGTAACAAGGGGTGGGGGGTGTCTTTTAATTAGCCTTGAAATTGACGACGGACCCAGGAGTCCAGGCAGGCTGAGGCTCTTGTAGCTCATGGCGATGGTGGTCTCGTCGCCCAGCGCGTCGTAGTCCGTCGTTATCGTCACCTCGTTCCCCTTCACCAGCTGGCGTCCTTCAGGAACCCCGTGAATATCTCCGGACCCTGGTAAGGTGGAAGGGACGAAGGGGAGGGCGGGAAATGGGGGGGTTGGATGGAATGGATGGGAAACAAGAGACAATAAATCTGGAATTAAGTATAATGTTCCAAGGACCCTGAAGTGGGGGTGGACGGAGTCGGGGATGCGAATGGGGTTGGGGGGGATAGGGTTCGCGCGTGGTCATGTTCGCATAGCTGTGCGGTTCTGGTGGGCCCCGTGCGCAGCTATACGAGCCTCCGCTCTTGCGCAAGCTCACCGGAGGCCTGAATGTCGCAGACAGAATGCTATTGGAAGGGGGCCTGTGGAAATGACATTTGTCGAGAGCGATGGCGATTGATATGTAGCACTCTGCGCCGAGCCGAGGAAGGCAATTGCTGCCGGGAGTATAAGGCTATATAAGAATTTTATAGAACATGGCCACTGCTGGATAAAGCCAATAGAAAGCCGGATAGTATACCAATAAATGTTCAGATGTGAGAAAAAAATCGATGAATATATGCTGCTGAAACACATGATGAAGGAATCAAACAGGTGACCTTTGAAAAAGGGTCGCTATCGATACATAAGCATTAATAACCTAACAACGTTTTAATTTACCTTGGTATCCAGCAGCACGGCGCACATGATGCCGGTATTGGCGGACGCTGTGCGAAGATTGTCCAGGGTCTCCTGATGGTAGTCGTGCGAACCGTGGGAGAAATTAAAGCGCGCGACGCTCATTCCCGCGCGAAGCAGGTTCTCCAGGATAGGGACTTCTCGGGATTTCGGCCCAAGAGTGCAGATAATCTTAGTCTTGGCGACGGCATGCTCGTCTGAGGTCAGAAGCTCGTCGATCTGCATCCCAACCATCTTGACGGTCGGTTGAGATTTCGCTGATTAGGTCGATACGATACGATGCTCTCTGGACCTAGGACGAGAATGAACAGGCTCTGAAACAAACTAAACCCGGCGACAAGGAGCAATTGCTGCACACTGCTACGTTATCCGGATAATTCAGGACTTTATAGCAGTGCGAAGAAATAAACCGATCAGCTGCTTCAGCGGGATCGGCACAGAATCACCGAGATAAGAGCCACACAAGTGACACTCCCAAGGCGGCTGCTGCTGGGATGCTGAATCAGAAGACCACTGTCAAGAGAGCCACAGCTTCCTAAATCAGAAATCGAGCAGATCAGGCGTGTCACTTCTTCGTTGGGTACCAACGGTTGAGTACGATGCTGTGCTCCTTAAAGCGGTACGATTCCTTCACCAAATTCAACCGCACCTTACCTGTCATGAAAACCCCTCCAGCCAGTGCATCTAGTGGAGGAGCTGCCTCTCCGCGACTGTGACTGACGGATGAGGTTCGGACATTGACACTCGGAATGATTCCGCGAACGAGGTACGGCTTTGTTGTGATTGCACACACAGCCACAAATCCCACAAGTGGTCTGGTTCGGGAAGATCAGAAGGTGAGCCTGTTTGCCCAAAGATAGGCTGATTTGGTTGAGGCTCGGCAGAAGTGACTCTCGAAAGATGATTGGCCTGACGACAACCTCGAGTCGTACGTGTGGCGGAGTGGCTTCCGCAGACTTCCTGGCCAGCTGGGGGTTTAGTTAGAGGGTTTCTGGCCTGCCTCGGTTTCGCATCTTCACACCACATCGTGTTACACAGTCGATGCTGGGGCTAGCGAAGCACGCGAGGACATAAAGTTACACAATTTCGGAATCGCAGATAAAGCAATGTTTGTCCATCCAGTATAGGACACGTGGATTTAATACCACCCAATGAGATTGGAATAGGGATCTAACTCGATAACACTACGCCACGTACGACATTCACATCGCAGATGCGAGTTCGTTACAGTAACAGGTGAGGATACGAAGTTGGCACTAACGAGGTTATTGCGAAGTTACCCTGCTCGAACGGTTTGCCGGCGCCGAGCGAAGAATTTACAGCACCATTGTTGGCGAGGCGACATAGACCGACTGTCGGCAACCGGAAACGGGAGCTACATTGTGGTGGCTTTGACGTCGCGACAATCTGAACGAGTGGCCTGCGAGCTTCGCATCCTTCTGCGAAGCTAGTTTCCATCCAAAGGTAACGTGTCACCGTCAACAAATCGCCCACTCGCGGACGGTGGGGGTCCCATGTTGTTGTGTACAGCACAGCTTCATGCGGCGCGGGCTTTCAACAGCCCGACTCGGGATAGAAATTGCTCCATTTGAGAACATCTATAAATTTGGAACCACCACACTTTCCAGTCATCACCAAACACAGCAGAGCATTCATTCCCGATCAATACTAGTTACCAACTTTCTGCAAGCTTCCTAGCTCTTGTCACCAAGCATAGCCCTGCAAGCCTCACTTAAACTTCCCCAAAACGTCTCGAACGAGTATCTTAACTATGGGTTTCAGCAAAACCGCCCTGTCTGTCGTCCTTCTATCTCTACTTGCCATTTCGCAAGTCGCCTGCCAGAAACCCAACAACAACAGCGCCAAGTACAAGTTCCCGCCCAAGATTGCAGGCGCAGTAGAGGCGGTTCTTCTGGGCGTCAATATCGTCAACCAGACCGGCCAAGTTACCGGCGACGTCAGCTCTGCTGGACGCGTCAGCCTCGCCCTCATCAAAACCAACACCTCTACTTTCGACATCCGTTACAATGTAACCATCCAGGTTTCTTCCCCAGAGATCCCAACCACGGTTACCATCAACAGCGGGGCCGCCAAGACCTCAGGCGCTGTCGTGCTCGAACTCTCACCTTCTGCCACGTGGATTAACGTCACTGGTACCGTGGGAGCCATCGCGACAGGGAACGCCTGGGGGCAGGGTGCAAGGAGGTCCGGGATCGGCGCCAAGCCTGCTTCCGTGCCTGTCTACACCTACAGCTTCAATGGCACGTGGCAGAACGTGAGTGGTCTGACAACAGCCAATGGAAAGAGCTACAAGGCAGTGTTCGAGGCTTCTGCCAAGCCTAAGAACTTCTATTCTGTTGTTTCCTCTGCTAGCCTGTCTGCGGGGTCTGCCCGAGGGCAGTTTGCCAAGGTTCCCCTGGGCTGGGGTGTATGGAAGAACTGGTAGACTAGAATGTAGAAGAGGCAGTTGTGTGCTGGCATTGTACAGTCAGGAAGCTGTTGAGAAAAGATTGCTTTAGTAATACAGATGTATGTTGTCTGTTTGCCATGCATTTCACAATTGAACCAGTGACTTCAGTAACCCATTCCCCCATGGCAGCATGCCATGCGCCCTCTGGCTCAATCTAGGATTTGCACCACAGAGCCATACTAGTACCAGGCCAAGGGCAACCCTTCTGTGCACTGCGAATGGCATAGCACGTCCTAAGGATGAAAGAGTGAGCGGTGGGATGGGATGGGAAGGTAGGAGTGCAGAGTGCACATTTTCTACAACCCTATCCACTTCTTGGAATAGCAGCCGCTGACAGCGGTCTACTGAGCCCCATCTCCAATCCCCCCCACTGGGGAAAAGAACCAGCACCTGTCCATAGAGTGACATGAGAGGTGAAAAGGCTTTCAGCCTTCATCCCTCATCTTCCTCTGCCTCCTGCGATGGACAGAAGAGGTGGGGGAAATGCGAATGGTTGTTAGATGGAATGGCTGGTGATGACGACACCCACGAGAAGACAGTTTCACTTATCCACCATACTATATATCGCACTCACCCACTCCACTCACCCCATGAATATTGACAACCTCCAAACAAGGAAAGCTCATCTTAGCAGGCTTGAAGCTCACTTTGAAAAAAACAAACAAGCAAACAACAAACGAACCTTCAACATGAAACGTGATGCACGGGCAACTCACCTCCTCCCCATCGCCATCTTCATCGTCGTCCTCCTCCCCTTCCTCCCCCTCACCCCCCTCCTCATCATCCTCATCCTCATCTCCCTCAAAATCCTCCCCTTCCTGCAACGCCATGGCACGAGGGAGAGAGCATAATCAGCAAGGGAGGAACCACAGTGAGCAGTAATGCTTCTAATTCTGCACAGAAGAGGATTATCTTCCCCACCCACGGAGCTGACGCGAAATTATTGCCATACAACAGGTGGCGTGGGGGAAGGTAAGAGGGGGGGGGGGGAAGGGTTGGAGTTAGCATGTGAGAATATCACACTCCCACATAACAACCAGTGCAACTGATGTTCTGATACACCTCAAGAGCTCTTCGTTCCTCACTCATACACCCTTCCCTCCCCATTCATCCTCCCCAAACATCCTCCCCATTCATCCTCCCCATTCATCCTCCCCATTCATCCTCCCCATTCATCCTCCCCATTCATCCTCCCCATTCCCCCGCCCCCTCCACCCCCGCCCTCCCACCTGCCCTCCCTCCCCACATGCAGGTAGTGCTGCAGCGGGGTGGCCCACACATCGTCCTCGATCAGCTCCGCCACCTGCCACCCTTCCCTCCCCATTCACCGCAATGCCTCCCCAGTCACCCTCCACCCGCCCCCTCATCGCACATCCGCCCCCTCATCGCACATCCGCCCCCTCATCGCACATCCGCCCCCTCATCGCACATCCGCCCCCTCATCGCACATCCGCCCCCTCATCGCACATCCGCCCCCTCATCGCACATCCGCCCCCTCATCGCACATCCGCCCCCTCATCGCACATCCGCCCCCTCATCGCACATCCGCCCCCTCATCGCACATCCGCCCCCTCATCGCACATCGGCCCCCTCATCGCACATCCGCCCCCTCATCGCACATCCGCCCCCTCATCGCACATCCGCCCCCTCATCGCACATCCGCCCCCTCATCGCACATCCGCCCCCTCATCGCACCTGCAGGTAGTGATTCAGCGCGTTGACCCACACATCGTCCTTGATCAGCTCTGCCACCTGCCACAGCGGAGGAGAGGCACAGCGGAGGAGAGGCACAGCGGAGGAGAGGCACAGCGGAGAAGAGGCACAGCGGAGAAGAGGCACAGCGGAGGAGAGGCACAGCGGAGAAGAGGCACAGCGGAGAAGAGGCACAGCGGAGAAGAGGCACAGCGGAGAAGAGGCACAGCGGGGAAGAGGCACAGCGGAGAAGAGGCACAGCGGAGGAGAGGCACAGCGGAGGAGAGGCACAGCGGCACATTCGTGTGGAAGAGACAGGGAGGCAGAGAGGCAGAGGGGCAGAGCGGCAGAGCGACAGAGCGGAGCGGCACAGAGCAGTGAGAACGTTTATTTCTTTCCTTCCAGGTGCCACGAGAAAATAGTTGGACTGCCATGGAGCAGTGAGGAAGAGTGATGGGCCGATTGGCAGGGAGTGGGGCCGGGGAAAAATCCCCATCATCCTTCATATCTATCACTGTCGCTATAACTCATATGATCCCCCCTCCCACCGCTCTGACTGACATGATCCCCCCCCTCCCACCGCTCTGACTGACATCATCCCCCCTCCCACCGCTCTGACTCACATCATCCCCCCTCCCACCGCTCTGACTCACATCATCCCCCCTCCCACCGCTCTGACTCACATCATCCCCCCTCCCACCGCTCTGACTCACATCATCCCCCCTCCCACCGCTCTGACTCACATCATCCCCCCTCCCACCGCTCTGACTCACATCATCCCCCCTCCCACCGCTCTGACTCACATGATCCCCCCCCTCCCACCGCTCTGACTGACATGATCCCCCCCCTCCCACCGCTCTGACTGACATGATCCCCCCCCTCCCACCGCTCTGACTGACATGATCCCCCCTCTCCCACCGCTCTGACTGACATGATCCCCCCCCTCCCACCGCTCTGACTGACATGATCCCCCCCCTCCCACCGCTCTGACTGACATGATCCCCCCCCTCCCACCGCTCTGACTCACATCATCGGGTGGTGAGGTGCCCTGGGTGGCTTCGTCCACTTCAAACCACTTGAAGAAGCTGCAGCACAGCAGGCCAGGGGGAAATGGGAGTGGGATTCCGGGAAGAGGGAGGGAATCAATGTGCCTGTTCCGTACCACTTCATTCAAAACCCTGGAAGAAAGAAAAGCTGCGGGCGAGGGGCACAGCAGGAGGAGGAGGGGAGACGAGAGGAGTGAAAGAGTTCATATAAAACTACGTCACGGGAAGACGCTGCAGGAGAGGGAGGGGGGCACAGACACTGGGGGTCGGGGCGAAGAGGGTGGGGGCAGCACTGTAGCACTTGTGGTTTTCTGCCCTTTTCAGCCAACAACATGCTTTCTAACAAGAGTACAACACAGAGATTGAAAGCGACTGAGAGCGGCGAATGAGAGAGGCAGCTCGGCTCTCAGGTAAGTGACAAAGCAGCTCACCTCTCCTGCTCCTCCAGTTGTCTCTTCTTGCCTGCCTTGTCCTGCTTCGGCTTTGGTGCCGTCAGGTCCTAGAGAGCAGCACACGCGAGAGAGGGGCAGGAGGGTGGGAGAGAGGGCGGACGATGCGAGAGGGGCGGATGATGGGAGAGGGGCGGATGATGGGTGAGGGGCGGATGATGGGAGAGGGGCGGATGATGGGTGAGGGGCGGATGATGGGAGAGGGGCGGATGATGGGTGAGGGGCGGATGATGGGAGAGGGGCGGATGATGGGTGAGGGGCGGATGATGGGAGAGGGGCGGATGATGGGTGAGGGGCGGATGATGGGAGAGGGGACAGAATAGGGAGAGGGAGTGGACGAAGAGGGATGTAAGGTGAAGGGCATAGATGTTCAGGATGGGTGAAGACAAGAGGGGAAGGGAAGCGAGTTGGAGGTTTTGGGGAGGGGGGATAAAGGCGAGGGATCAAAGAGAGTGGATCAAGGCAACATCAACCTTGTTAAGAATATGACTGACACTTATCCCACCATGTCCATTAGAAACAAGACCATGCACACACAGCACCAATCCCGCTCGTCTCACCATGCCCTCCTCCCACTCGTCTCACCATGCCCTCCTCCCACTCGTCTCACCATGCCCTCCTCCCACTCGTCTCACCATGCCCTCCTCCCACTCGTCTCACCATGCCCTCCTCCCACTCGTCTCACCATGCCCTCCTCCCACTCGTCTCACCATGCCCTCCTCCCACTCGTCTCACCATGCCCTCCTCCCACTCGTCTCACCATGCCCTCCTCCCACTCGTCTCACCATGCCCTCCTCCCACTCGTCTCACCATGCCCTCCTCCCACTCGTCTCACCATGCCCTCCTCCCACTCGTCTCACCATGCCCTCCTCCCACTCGTCTCACCATGCCCTCCTCCCACTCGTCTCACCATGCCCTCCTCCCACTCGTCTCACCATGCCCTCCTCCCACTCGTCTCACCATGCCCTCCTCCCACTCGTCTCACCATGCCCTCCTCCCACTCGTCTCACCATGCCCTCCTCCCACTCGATCTTGGTGCCCTCCACGTTGGCAGTGCCCTCCTCCGTGTATTTGTAGCTCTTGGTCAGCTCCTTATTCGAAAAGTATGGGTTCTCCGCGAATGTCTGTCATTCCAGCGAGACAGGCGGGGGTTGGAAGGAAATGACAAGATGAATCCCAATCGCCTGGGGTCCACTCCACGTTGGCAGTGCCCTCCTCCGTGTATTTGTAGCTCTTGGTCAGCTCCTTATTTGAGAAGTATGGGTTCTCCGCGAATGTCTGCCAGTCCAACCGAACAGGGGTGACGAATTCGATGTGGATGATAGAGAGAAAGGCAATAAATCACATCACTTTTAGATGTACAGTTAAAAAAACAAAAATATCAAACATGCATTCTTTAGAGGCGAATCAATTACACCTGGATGCCGGTTCCCCTTAACGAGGTTTAGGGCTTTATGGAGGGACAATCACGTCGGGGGCAAAACCTACCCTAGACACATGAACCCTCTGCTTCAAAGCCTGACAAGCTGACACGTAGATTACCAGTAAGCGAGAAGAATGGGTGGATGATGGGAGAAGCTAAAGTACTAACCGGTGAGATCCTAAGGGTTTGCCAGAACGTACGAAGGTGATGCTGTAACCCAACTTGATGTCTTTATAGTCCTCCACGTCTAACCCCCTCAGATACTCCAACACCTGCACGGGTGGCACACAGGAGAGGAGGGACGGATGGAGCATAGGGAGAGGGGGGGAGTGCAGGAAGGAGGGTGGCGTGGCACAAAGGTGATGCTGTAACCCGACTTGATGTCTTTATAATCCTTTACGTCTAACCCCCTCATATACTCCAACACCTGCAGGATAGCGCGCAGGAGAGGAGGGAGCGGGGAGAGCATGGAAATTCGGAGGGTGGGTTGAGTGTAACAAGGGGGGAGACTGTAGTACGGGGGGGTTGGGGAAGTGAGGGAGCCGTACGAATGACATGGTGACTGGTATGGGAGGACGAAGGAAGGAGAGAATGGAAAAGCGAAATCTGACGGCCAAGAACTTGACGGAGCGAAGTAGACATTGAGCGTACTCAGGGGAAGTGCGAGGCACAAGAACCGGGAGGCATTCAAGAGTTCCAGTGAGCATATTACTACTGTTTTCCCTCACCTGTCTGTCCTCTTCTGTGAAAAACGCGTGAAGAAGACCGTGATTGAGAAGCTGCGATCAACAACAAAAAAAAGGTTGACACAGACACAATGCGCGAAATAGTCAGTGGGGAAGAACGGCGGAACGGGAACGTCGAAAACGTAACAGCACCGACGAAAGGAGAGACCAGAAGGGTGGAAAAACACGCTTGGCCGACTCAACATACTGAGTCGACTTAGAAGAGCAACCGCGTACCACTGTCATCCAGAAGTCGTTAACTTCCGATACTACTTGCTGGCGTCGCTCGTAAATGGGCCGCTTTAGCTTGTTGTACTTCTGTTCTACTTCCAACACCTTGTCGCTCGCCTCTTCATTGACCTAAGACGAGCGAGAACGAAGAAGAGGGTATGAGGAGAGTACGATGAGGAGTGGAAGGAATAGTAGACTTAGTCTCTAGCTTGTTGTACTTCTGTTCTACTTCCAACACCTTGTCGCTCGCCTCCTCGTTGACCTAAGACGAGCGAGAACGAAGAGAAAATGCCACCGAGGTTAGAACGGAGAGAACGAGCAGGAAAGAGGGAATGGAGGGAGAGAAGGGGTTGAAGTCTATGGTGTTAGCGGTGGTGGAAAAGGCTATGGAGGAATGGTAGAGGCGGAAATCAGGCTCGGGGGGTTCTGACGAGAGCAGAATCATGTGCCTCCGTGCTGTCGAAAATGCGAAAGTTAAAGGACGGAATCCGTCGGAATCTTAACGTAGTCTGCACCTTGTCTAGTTCGTCTTGGATCGCCGTCAACTGCTTTAACGCCTCGTCAATCTGCGCTGCGTCCGCCATTCCTCCTGACTCTTGAGGCAGCGAATCGAAGACACGACGATGCGGGATCGAGACCCAAAAAACAACGAGCAACTGCTTTCAACAGGCAAGCGTCTCGAAACTACTGGGGGGGCGTATTGCACGAAGAGGATTAAGTAGCAAACCCTAGCGGCTAAAGGCGAGAGAAGGGATGATCAGGTGATCAAATGATCAAAAGAGAAGCAGAATATAGACGGTGTTATTCCTAAATTCCACTCGACACTGACAAGGAATTTAGGGATCTTACTGTACGAGCCGCAAGCTCAGGGTTCTACGAGAACCCTCTGGGATGGGATTCGAAATGTTTCAGCAAACTGAGAGACTGTATTGGTTTGGGTTTCGTAGAAAAACGCAGTGTATCAGAAATTTAACTTCATCGGATTCGGCGATATCGCGGTTTCTCATGTTGATTTCTGCTCACAAGAGTTGCAGGTTCCGTAAACGTCAAGCTCACTACTGCCATCTTTCTGTGGTTCTAGAATACTTCAACTCACGATAAGACGCGGTTTTCTGCCAGTCTTTTTGACCTTATAGATGCAAATAGGCGGTGAGGTCCGCTTTTAGTTCGACCCGTAAATCTCCCTTTTCACCGCTGTCGCGGACGCGTGACCTTACGTAGAGTCCTGACGTCTCTTAGCGGCAATACCGAGGAATGGCGGAGGAGAAGGAGTTGAAGACGTGGGTGTCGGATCAGCTGTATCAAATCCTCGGCTACTCCGAGTCCAGCCTCGTTACCTTCGTTATCGCGTTAGGTGCGTCGCTTATAGCGAATCCAATCGAATTCTGGTGATAGGTAGTGAATATTCTGCAGAGCGTGTGAATATGGTCGCGACTCGCTATTCGTTCAAGCTAGAAACTAATTCCAGTGTTCCATTCCAAATTTCACGCCTCTAGAATGCTTCCTTAGTCAAAGGTGGTCACATCACGAGTTTCTGAAGTGGTTTTTGCCTTACTTCCTGTCCCTCTCGTGCCACGTGTCCTCTCCACAGCTAAGAGATCGTCCAGCGTGAGCGCTCTCACATCCAGCCTCTCGTCCAATGGCCTTCCGGCGTCGCCTGCCACGTCAGCCTTCGCCAGCCAGCTGGCCTCGAGAATACCGAGCGCCAAGAAAGGCCCTTCAGTAGGTCCTGCTTATGATAGGGTTGCGGCTGGGAGGATAAGAAGCACTTGTAGGACCTACCTAGTAGCGGGTGGGGTAAGAAGCACTTGTAGGACCTACCTAGTAGCGGGTGGGGTAAGAAGTACTTGTAGGACCTACCTAGTATTGGGTGGGGAGGTTGGGAAGCACTTGGGCAATCTGCGGTAGGTTATGTATGGATGCTCTCCCGCATTAGCATTCTTAGCAATTTAGACTCTCGTTAGAACCTTGCACTCAGATTCGCCCTCCCCCCCTGTGTCGTGACCCGTTCTCCCTGCATTCTCTCGCCTATCTTATCGTTGGCTGCAATCTGTGGCAGGCATACAAGACGGAAGAGAAAGCAGCCATAGAGTTTGCTCGCCGGCAGCAGCAGTACGCTCTGCTAGACGCGGATGATGACGAGGAGGAGGAGGAGCGGGAGAGGGAGAGGCAGAGGGGGAGGGAACGGGAGGAGAGGGAGAGGAAGGAGGAAGAGAGGGAGAGGGATGGGCGAGGGGGGCCGGGGGTGGGGGAGGGAGGGAAGGAGGGGAAGAAGAGGAGGCAGTTGAGGAGGAGGAGAGATGAGATGGACGGCGGGGATGATGCGGATGATGATGCCACTGCTCAGGTGAGGTGGTAGTGACTGTTGACTTCCTGCACTCGTTTCCCGTGTTCGTAGTCTCATCTACTCATGTTCCCTATGTTGCAGCCACCTTTTATTTGCTTCTGTTCACCTGTTCATGCCGCTTTCCCACTTACTCGCTCCGGTTTCTCTTCCTCATGCCGCTGCCCTCCCCCTTCCCCAGGCCCTAGCAGAGTATCAGTGCAAGAAAGGCCGACAAGGCGAGCACATCTGATTTCTCCAGCTCATTCTCTTCACTTCCTCCTGCCCCTTTTTCACTTCCTCCCCCACCAGGCCCTGGCAGAGTATCAGCGCAAGAAAGGTCGGCAAGGCGAGCACAGGAGCGGGCGAAGGAAGGGAGAGGCAGAGGAGGAGGAGGATGAAGAGGTAGGGAGGGGAGCTGGAGTGATGAAGTGGGTGGGATAGGACGGTTAGGGTGCATTGAACGCTCTTCTTTGTAGGGAGCGTCGCATAAGGGGTTAGGAGGCTTTGAGCGTGGAGCTGCAAAAGGTGAAGTGGGTGGGATAGGACGGTTAGGATGCGTTGAACGCTCTTCTTTGTATTGTAGGCGCCCCTACAGAGAGGCGCCCCTACAGAGAGGCGCCCCTACAGAGAGGCGCCCCTACAGAGAGGCGCCCCTACAGAGAGGCGTCCCTACAGAGAGGCGTCCCTACAGAGAGGCGTCCCTACAGAGAGGCGTCCCTACAGAGAGGCGTCCCTACAGAGAGGCGTCCCTACAGAGAGGCGTCCCTACAGAGAGGCGTCCCTACAGAGAGGCGTCCCTACAGAGAGGCGCCGCTACAGAGAGGCGTCCCTACAGAGAGGCGCCCCTACAGAGAGGCGGCCATACAGAGAGGCGCCCCTACAGATGTGTATTGCCTTGTTCTCTCATGGGTTGTGATCTGTGTTTTTATTTTTTTTTTTTTTATCTGTTGGGTGCTGCTGGGTGCTTGACAGGTGGCATTGGAGAGGCAGAGGGAGGCGGAGAGGGAGCGGGATCAGCTGGAGAGGGAGGAGTTTGAGGAGCGCCTCAAGCAGCGAGATGAGGAGCGCACCAAGGTGGGCCCTTATTCCCCTGCCTCTCTCTTTCATTTCTTGTTTTTGCCTTGCTGTTTCGCCCAAATGAGTCGAGTTGCGAGGTGACTCAAAGCTGGAGAGGGAGGAGTTTGAGGAGCGCCTCAAGCAGCGAGATGAGGAGCGCACCAAGGTGGGCCCTTATTCCCCTGCCTCTCTCTTTCATTTCTTGTTTTTGCCTTGCTGTTTCGCCCAAATGAGTCGAGTTGCGAGGTGACTCAAAGCTGGAGAGGGAGGAGTTTGAGGAGCGCCTCAAGCAGCGCGATGAGGAGCGCACCAAGGTGGGGTTGACCCCCACCTTGTTTTTGCTCCTCTGTCTTCTCTCGTCAATATCTGGCTGCTTCGGCGTCCCTTCATCCCCCTTCGTCCCTGCTTCATTCCCCTCGAATCTTTCCCATTTCACTTCCCCTTGCCCCCTTCGTCCCTCTCCTGCCCCCATCATCATCCTCTCCCCTCATCTCCTCTCGCCCTTCCGTGTAAGCTTCATCAATTGTCTTCTTCCTTCCATTGTATTCCTCCCCTCCACATGCCTCCACACCCCTCCACATCCCATTTTTCTGCTCGCAGAAGCTAGAGCCGAAGCTCTCCAAGAAGGAGCAAGGTCAGTCACGTGGTGCCACGTGTCACACTCTCCACGTCACCGTCCACACACGTCATCTGCCACACGTCACACTTCACATGCCATTGCATGTGTGCCACCGTCACCACTGCTTGTCCCTCAATCTATCTCTCTTTTTTTTTTTTTTTTTTTTTTTCCTCCGCTATCATTCCTGCCCAATGACGCTCTTCCTTCCCCTCCTGCTGCTCCTCGTCCACCCTTCCCGTCCCTCTCCCTCTCGCCTCTGTTTTGGTCACATCTCTGCCTTTAAACTCTGCATACTGTCACTCTCCTGCCTTTCAACTCTCCGTTCTGTCACAGATCCACCCTCCCTTTCTCCTTCGCCCCCGCTTCCCGAATCTCCCCTGCCTGTTCTTCCATCTCCTTCGCTTCCTCTGCCTGCTCTTCCCCTCCCTTCTCTCCCCTTGCCTGCCATACTGTATAATGTCGTGCGTGCACAACCCATCAGAGGCGCTAAGGAGGAGGGAGGAGGCGGAGCAGCAGCGGGAGCTGATGCCGAGCCTGAGGGAGATCTCACGGCAGGAGTATCTGTCCAAGCGAGAAGCCAAGAAGCTGCAGGAGCTCGAGTAAGCGCTTCCTGCTCTATGTGCCAAATTCCTTGTCTCCTCTCTGCTTTGCCTGTCCGCAATAATTGTATTGCAGGGATGAGCTGGTGGACGAAGCAACGTCTCGACGATTTATAATCCCCGTCACAAGTTTCTTTGCTCACTGGCTGTGCGTATCTGCAATGTGACTGTATCGCAGGGATGAGTTGGTGGACGAGGAGTATTTGTTTTCCGACGTGAAGCTGACGGAGAGGGAGCAGGCGGAGCAGCGGTACAAGCGCAAGGTGCTGGTGCTGGCGAAGCAGCAAGTGGAGGACGTGGGGAAGGTGCTCGAGGTGAGCCTACCTTGCATGCATAAGCTCATGCATTGTGAACACGTGACCATCACCACATGCACCATCATCACATGCACCATCATCACATCCACCATCACCACATGCACCATCATCGCATGCACCATCATCGCATGCACCATCATCACATGCACCATCATCGCATGCACCATCATCGCATGCACCATCATCACATGCACCATCATCACATGCACCATCATCACATGCACCATCATCACATGCACCATCATCACATGCACCATCATCACACGCACCATCATCACATGCACCATCACATGCACCGTCATCGCATGCACTGTCATCGCATGCACCATCATCGCATGCACCATCATCACACGCACCATCATCACATGCACCATCATCGCATGCACCATCATCGCATGCACCATCATCGCATGCACCATCATCACACGCACCATCATCACATGCACCATCATCACATGCACCATCATCACATGCACCATCATCACACGCACCATCATCACATGCACCATCATCACACGCACCATCATCACATGCACCATCATCACATGCACCTCCTATAATACAAGCGCAAGGTGCTGGCGCTGGCCAAGCAGCAGGCGGAGGACGTGGGGAAGGTGCTCGAGGTGAGTGCACATGCGATATCCATGCGCCTTCCGCTGCATTACTGCGTGCATCACCTGCCAGAGGCATAAGACAAGGAATATCGGGTGCAGCAGGTCAAGGCAGCGACGCATGAAGCACATGCTGATGTCTCGGCCTCATGCTTTCCCTTTCATGCTCTGCCAACCTCTGCCCATCCCTCTCTCCCTGCTTGACTCACCGTGGCAGTACCACCTGCCAGAGGCGTATGACAAGGAGGAGAAGGTGCAGCAGGACAAGAGATTCGCCGTGGCCATGAAACGATACCAGTGAGTGCGGTAGAGAGGGGTGTAGGTGTGCAGGGAGAGGGTGTGGTGGGTGGAGAGGGGTGTGGGTGTGAGTGGAGGGGTGGGAGAGTGTGGAAGGGTGTGGGTGTGAGTGCAGCGGTGGGAGAGTGTGAGCGTGTGCATGGAGGGGTGCAAATGTGCGTGCACGGAGGAGTGTGGGTGTGTGTGCAGAGGAGAGGACTGCACAGGCACTGTTTGTTTTCTCCGTTCATTCTTGTCACCCATCGCCCCTCTTTCCCTCTACCCATGCCACATTGTGTGGGCAGGGATGTGGAGGGCGATGACAAGGTGACTCCACGTGCAGAGCAGGAGGCGTGGGAGAATCATCAAATAGGTAGGTAGGGGATGGATCGCTGTGGTGTGGCAGGCCGATTATCAATGACGCTGCAACCAAATGGACTGAAGTGCGAGGACGAGTTTGAGGAACGAATCGACTTTGAAGCATTCTAAAGCACATCGTGTTCAATCTTCCATGCATACATCATATCACACGCCTTGTCGCATGCACGCACCATGTCTCATGGGTTTGTAGCAGGCAAGGCGACAGTCAAATATGGGTCTAAGGATCGCAAGGTGGAGGCAGAGCAGTACGAGTAGTGAACATGCATGAATCAGAATCCTATGTTCGATGCGTCATGTCGCATCCACCATGTCATGTCGCATCCACCATGTCTTGTCGCATCCACCATGTCATGTCGCATCCACCATGTCTTGTCGCATCCACCATGTCATGTCGCATCCACCATGTCTTGTCGCATCCACCATGTCTTGTTGCATCCACCATGTCTTGTCGCATCCACCATGTCTTGTCGCATCCACCACGTCTTGTCGCATCCACCATGTCTTGTCGCATCCACCATGTCTTGTCGCATCCACCATGTCATGTCGCATCCACCATGTCTTGTCGCATCCACCATGTCTTGTCGCATCCATCATGTCTTGTCGCATCCACCATGTCATGTCGCATCCACCATGTCTTGTCGCATCCACCATGTCTTGTCGCATCCACCATGTCTTGTCGCATCCACCATGTCTTGTCGCATCCACCATGTCTTGTCGCATCCACCATGTCTTGTCGCATCCACCATGTCTTGTCGCATCCACCATGTCTTGTCGCATCCACCATGTCTTGTCGCATCCACCATGTCATGTCGCATCCACCATGTCATGTCGCATCCACCATGTCTTGTCGCATCCACCATGTCTTGTCGCATCCACCATGTCTTGTCGCATCCACCATGTCTTGTCGCATCCACCATGTCTTGTCGCATCCACCATGTCTTGTCGTCGCATCCACCATGTCTTGTCGCATCCACCATGTCTTGTCGCATCCACCATGTCTTGTCGCATCCACCATGTCCTGTGCATCGTGTGTGGCAGGCAAGGCAACGGTGAACTTTGGGTCCAAGGACCGTAAGGTGGACTCAGAGCAGTACGAGTATGTGTTTGAGGATCAGATCGACTTCATTAAAGATACCATCATGGCGGGAGATGACAGGGTGAGTACCCCTTTGTATATTGGAGAGACAGGGTGAGTACCCCAGGACAGCTTGCAGTGACAGTGTGGGTACAGTGCTGTTCATTGGATGGCCTACGTGTGTTTGCCTTCGCTTTGTTTACGTGTGATTCTGTGGTGGAAACTAGCTCACTTATCTTTGTGTGCCAATTGGATATTCTTTTTATATTTATATGTATGTGGTGGGATTGGGTGCAGGAAGGTTCAGAGGACGAGGAGGAGAGGGAGCGGCAGGTGGAGGTATCGAAGGCCAAGTCAGCGTTTGACAAGATACAGGCGGAGAGGAAGAATTTGCCCATGTACCGCTACAGGGAGGAGCTGCTGCAAGCTATCAACGACCACCAGGTGGGTACTGGGGGGGTTGGGATACGCCTCACCAATTACCAAGCACCCATGGGTTGTGAGACGGCTCACATGATACAGGCAGAGAGGAAGAACCTGCCCATGTACCACTATAGGGAGGAGCTGCTGCAAGCCATAAACGACCACCAGGTAGGCACTGTTGGGGTTGGGAGGTGTCTCAGCAATTACGAGGCACTCATGGCTTGTGAGGCGACTCACACGATACAGGCGGAGAGGAAGAACCTCCCCATGTACCGATACAGGGAGGAGCTGCTGCAAGCCATAAACGACCACCAGGTGGGTACTACTGCTGATGATGGTTGGGAGGCGCTCAAAGAGCAGCGGCCATGCATTCAGTTCGTGCAGAAAATGGAAACGTAAAAGTCGCTCTATAGGCGTTTGTCTCACGATTCTGTAATATGACTGTGGATTTGACCTGCTCCTGTGGGTTGTGTGTGTGCTGCATGCTGTGTGACGTGTGGTGCATGCGGTGTGGTGTGCGTGCGGTGCGGTGTGGTGTGGTGTGGTGCGGTGTGGTGTGGTGTGGTGTGCGTGCTGTGTGGTGTCTTCTGTGCGATTTGTGTGAGTGCAGGTGCTGGTGATTGTAGGGGAGACGGGGTCGGGCAAGACGACTCAGATCCCGCAGTATTTGTATGAAGAGGGATACGGCAAGCGTGGCAAGGTGAGCGGTGGGGAACGGTGGGTTACGGTGGGGCACGGTGGGGCACGGTGGGGCAAGGTGGGATGGGGCAAGGTGAAGGGTCGGGAAAGACGACTCAGATCCCACAGTATCTGTCCGAACGGGATACGGCAAGCGCGGCAAGGTGAGGGGTGGGGGGAGAAGAGGAGGTGGGACAAGATGAGGGGTGGGGAAAGGTGAGGCAAGATGAGGCGAAGGTGGGGAATGGTGAGGCAAGGTGTGGAAAGGTGAGGCCAGGTGAGAGCTTGGACAGGAGGTGGGATGCAAGTTGAACCCTGTCTAGCAAACCTGGTTATACATTTTTTTACTCATCCTTGCCTGCCTGTCCCGCCCGCAGATCGTCATCCTTGCCTGCCTGTCCCGCCCGCAGATCGTCATCCTTGCCTGCCTGTCCCGCCCGCAGATCGGGTGCACACAGCCGTAGAGGGTAGCAGCGATGGGTGTGGCATCAAGGGTGGCCCAGGAGGTGGGGGGCAAGCTGAACATTTTTCATTGGCGCTGCTCACAACTAGTCTCCTCTTCTATTTCACACCCACCCCTTCAGATTGGGTGCACCCAACCCAGGAGAGTAGCAGCCATGAGCGTGGCTGCACGCGTCGCCCAGGAGGTGGGGTGCAAGCTGGGGCACGAGGTGGGCTACTCCATTCGCTTTGAGGACTGCACGTCCGACAAGACCATTCTCAAATACATGACCGACGGCATGCTCCTCCGAGAATTCCTCAGCGAACCAGACCTTGCGAGCTACTCCGTCATGATGGTGGACGAGGCACACGAGCGGACGCTTCACACGGACGTGCTGTTTGGGCTCGTGAAGGACATTGCAAGGTTTCGGCCGGATCTGAAGCTGCTGATATCGAGCGCGACCCTCGACGCAGAGAAGTTCAGCGAGTATTTCGACTTTGCGCCGATTTTCCGGATTCCCGGGAGGAGGTATCCCGTGGATATACACTACACGAAGGCGCCTGAGGCGGATTATTTAGATGCGGCGGTGGTAACCGTGTTACAGATCCATGTAACGCAGCCGGCAGGAGACGTGCTGGTGTTCCTGACCGGGCAGGAGGAGATTGAGGCAGCAGAGGAGATTCTCAGGCATAGGACCAAGGGGCTGGGGACGAAGATTGCCGAAATGATCATCTGCCCGATTTACGCGAACCTGCCCACGGACATGCAGGCGAAGATTTTCGAGAAGACGCCCGAGGGAGCCCGGAAGGTGGTTCTGGCGACCAACATCGCAGAAACTTCCCTCACGATCGACGGGATCAAATACGTGATCGACCCGGGGTTTGTGAAGCAGAAGAGCTACAACCCGCGCACCGGCATGGAGTCGCTTATCGTCACCCCCGTGTCGAAAGCACAGGCGAACCAGCGGGCGGGGCGGGCGGGTAGAACTTCCCCCGGGAAATGCTTTCGGCTGTACACAGCATGGTCGTATGCGAATGAGTTGGAGGATAATACCGTGCCGGAGATTCAGAGGACAAACCTCGGGAATGTGGTGCTGATGCTCAAGTCTCTTGGGATAAATGATCTCTTGAATTTCGACTTCATGGACCCGCCCCCTGCGGAGACGCTGCTGCGGGCGCTGGAGATGCTGTACGCGCTGGGGGCACTGAATGACCGCGGGGAGCTGACCAAGCTGGGCAGGAAGATGGCAGAGTTTCCTCTCGACCCGCAGATGTCGAAGCTTCTCGTCGCCTCCGATAAGTACCTGTGAGTGGGTGGTCCTTTGGAATGCTGGTGGTTTTGCCTCGAGTGGGGATTGCAAGTCAAAAGGAACTGTCTCCGTGCTCTGGTTCTTCTCTGGTCCCATCTGTGCTGCTGCGGGCGCTGGAGATGCTGTATGCGCTGGGGGCACTGAATGACCGCGGGGAGCTGACGAAGCTCGGGAGGAAGATGGCGGAATTTCCGCTGGACCCTCAAATGACGAAGCTGCTTGTGGCTTCCGATAAGTACCTGTGAGTGGGTGGGCTGCTTGAGGCATGGCTTGAGTTGTGAGTGCTGGTGGGTTTGCCCTGGTGACCTGGTCCCATCCACCCGGCCCCTGCGGAGACACTGCTGCGCGCTGAAGATGCAGTATGCGCGGGGGACACGCATCGACCGCGGGGAGCTGGGCACTCACCTATCAGTCCCACCTATCAGTCCCACCTATATGTCCCCCCTATCAGTCCCGCCTATCAGTCCCCCCTATCAGTCCCGCCTATCAGTACCACCTATCAGTCCCACCTATCAGTCCCACCTATCAGTCCCACCTATCAGTCCCCCCTATCAGTCCCACCTATCAGTCCCACCTATCAGTCCCCCCTATCAGTCCCACCTATAAGTCCCCCCTATCAGTCCCGCCTATCAGTCCCCCCTATCAGTCCCGCCTATCAATCCCACCTATCAGTCCCACCTATCAGTCCTCCCTATCAGTCCCACCTATGAGTCCCGCCTATCAGTCCCGCCTATCAGTCCCCCCTATCAGTCCCACCTATCAGTCCCACCTATCAGTCCCACCTATCAGTCCCACCTATCAGTCCCGCCTATCAGTCCCCCCTATCAGTCCCGCCTATCAGTACCACCTATCAGTCCCACCTATCAGTCCCACCTATCAGTCCCACCTATCAGTCCCCCCTATCAGTCCCACCTATCAGTCCCACCTATCAGTCCCACCTATCAGTCCCACCTATCAGTCCCGCCTATCAGTCCCGCCTATCAGTCCCCCCTATCAGTCCCACCTATCAGTCCCCCCTATCAGTCCCCCCTATCAGTCCCACCTATCAGTCCCACCTATCAGTCCCACCTATCAGTCCCCCCTATCAGTCCCGCCTATCAGTCCCACCTATCAGTCCCACCTATCAGTCCCACCTATCAGTCCCACATATCAGTCCCGCCTATCAGTCCCACCTATCAGTCCCACCTATCAGTCCTTTCTATCAGTCCCACCTATCAGTCCCGCCTATCAGTCCCGCCTCCCCCCTATCAGTCCCACCTATCAGTGCCATCTATCAGTCCCCCCTATCAGTGCCCCCTATCAGTCCCCCCTATCAGTCCCACCTATCAGTCCCGCCTATCAGTCCCACCTATCAGTCCCACCTATCAGTCCCACCTATCAGTCCCACCTATCAGTCCCACCTATCAGTCCCACCTATCAGTCCCCCCAATCAGTCCCGCCTATCAGTCCCGCCTATCAGTCCCGCCTATCAGTCCCGCCTATCAGTCCCCCCTATCAGTCCCACCTATCAGTCCCATCTATCAGTCCCCCCTATCAGTGCCCCCTATCAGTCCCCCCTATCAGTCCCACCTATCAGTCCCACCTATCAGTCCCACCTATCAGTCCCACCTCCGAGGAAGCAGCCACCATATGCGCCATGCTCTTAGTTTGCAATGCCGTGTTTTACCAGCCAAAGGGCAAGCATGTGCATGCAGACAACGCACGCATGAAGACTTCCGCACACCAAACTTCATCCTCTCCTCGCTTCCCAACCTTGTCCCTCATCCCCATTACCCGTCCAGTTGTTCCGAGGAAGCAGCCACCATGTGCGCGATGCTGTCAGTCGGCAATGCCGTCTTCTACTGCCCAAAGGACAAGCAGGTGCATGCAGACAACGCACGCATGAACTTTCACACACCTAACCCCTCTCCCGTGTCTCCCTCTGTTTTTCTCTGTCCCCTGTCGCCCATGCCCCCCCACACTACCCCACCAGCTGTTCCGAGGAAGCGGCCACCATATGCGCCATGCTATCGGTGGGCAACGCTGTCTTCTACCGCCCCAAGGACAAGCAGGTGCACGCAGACAATGCACGCATGAACTTCCACACGGGCAACGTGGGCGACCACATAGCGCTGCTGAGGGTGTACGAGCAGTGGGCCGAGACGAGCTTCTCCTCCCAGTTCTGCTACGAGAACTACATTCAGGTGAGTGTGACGCAAGAAGTAGATGGCATGAAGAATATGGCATGAAGAAAATGGCATGAAGGTGACACGAGTTGCGACGGACCAGCTCGCATCCCGATAGATGCCATGAACATCTTATGGGGTTGTTGCTCACAACAGAGCTGCTTCCTGCCCATGTGCTCACGAACAGTGTGTTGACAGCTGCTCGCCGTACCGTAATCTTCCATATGTCTCAACCAACCCCTCAACAGGTCACTGTACTCAGCTCATGAGGCTGTTGCCCGATGGGACCTCCTCTCTATATCCACCTCCCTGCCTTTCCTCTCCACCCCCCTCCTCTTCCCCCATCCCTATCCATCCTCCCACCAGGTGCGAAGCATGAAGATGGCACGGGATGTGCGCGATCAGCTGATGGGGCTGCTGGAGCGAGTGGAGATTGAACCCAGCAGCAGCAGTGGTGACCTGGATGCAATCAAGAAAGCCATTACCGCTGGTGAGAGGGTGTGGTGTGGTCGTGAAAGAGTGAGCTAGAGTGGAAATTGAACCCAGCAGCAGTAGCAGTGGTGACCTGGACGCAATCAAGAAGGCCATTACCGCTGGTGAGAGGGAGGGAGTGTGATCGTGGAAGGGTGAGCTTAGAGTGGAGATCGAACCCAGCAGCAGCAGCAGCAGCGGTGACCTCGATGCCATCAAGAAAGCCATCACTGCTGGTGAGAGCGAGTGCGAGTGTGATTATGTGAACTTGCGTTGCTGAATGCACCTGGATGTTTAAGCAGGCCATATGAGAGGTGCAACTCCAGTTCAATTCTCCCGTCTTTCTCTCCCTGCTCCCTTCTCCCTTCTCCTTCCTTCCTCCCTGGCAGGTTACTTCTACCACACGGCCCGCCTTCAGAAGAATCGCACGTACCGCACCGTGAAGAACCCCCAGACGGTGCACATCCACCCGAGCTCGGGGCTAGCGCAGGTGCTGCCGCGGTGGGTGGTATACCACGAGCTGGTGTACACGAGCAAGGAGTTCATGCGCCAGGTCGTGGAGATCAAGCCTGAGTGGCTTGTGGAGATTGCACCGCACTACTACAAGCTGAAGGACGTGGAAGATTGTGAGTGTGTGTGTGTGTGGAGTGGAAGAAAGAAGGGGTGTTTAGGCATTTGGAGAAGAGTAAAGGTGTGATGATGTGTGCAGAGTGGCAGACAAGGTGTGGGGTGGGTGGTATATCACGAGCAAGGAGTTCATGCGACAGGTCGTGGAGATTAAGCCTTAATGGCTCGTGGAGATTGCACCGCAGTACAAGAAGCTTAAAGACGCGGAAGATTGTGAGTGAGTGAGTGTGTGTGTGTGTGTGTGCGTGCGTGCATGCGTGTGTGCGTGCGTGCGTGCGTGCGTGTGTGCGTGTGTGCGTGTGTGCGTGCGTGCGTGCATGCGTGCGTGCGTGCGTGCGTGCGTGCGTGCGTGCGTGCGTGTGTGTGTGTGAGTGTGTGAAGCTAGGTGTGAGTGTGTGAACTAGGTTGGGTAGGTGCAAGGTCCAGGGCGCTCCCATTGCCTCCTCTCACTTGCTCATCTCAGCTCCAATCCTCCTATGTTTTCTCCTTATGTTCCCATTTTCTCTCGACTCCCCATCCTCTCGGCTCCTCTTTGTGGATCCAGCCGGGGCACACAAGATGCCCAAGGTGGTGGGCAAGGCAGCCGAGAAGTAGCCACGGGCCAACCGACATTTGGTGGGTGCGTGGCAGCAGAACAGAGCGGACGAATCCAAAAGTACGTGCTTTGCAACAGCATGGTACAGTGCGATGAGCACATTGGGGAGTGGGAAATACAGTGGGTTGAGTACGCTCAATGGCGTGTTTGTTCCAAAGGCATCCGTGCACAAGTAAATTCACGCATGCACGCATGGTCTGCAGGTTCATGGGCCATGCCCATGCATTCTTACAACATTCAGGTGTGCCCTGTGTAAGGCATGTACAGTTTTGAGGAACATCTTGAATGGTGTAGCTGTGTCTGCATAACAGTGGCAGCTCCAGCAATGGGTCACCAACCATGCCCAAGCCAAGTACCCCTAGCCCTCCTCTCCCACCTTCCCATCCATGCAGTTCTCCACACCTTCCGCCCCCCAAATTCACATATATTGGTTGAGTAAACCGTGTTAGGGCGTATCCCTGGCTGGTGGCAGGGCAACTGTTCTGCGTTGACCTGGTGGCAACTTTCCCAAAAACACAGGGGGGCGGAAAATGGGCATTCCACCAACTCAACGTGAAAAGTTGCCCTGCCACCAGCCAGGGATACACCCTTATAGAACACGTTCATTTGTACCTCTGCTAGAGCCTGTGGCTTTGGGTTGGCAAAATAAAGACGTGGAGCGGGTGCATCAAGGCGACCCTGGCCGGGGCATGCCGGGGCGCCCCAGCTCGCCCCAGGGCATGCGTCTCTGCCCATGAAAAAAAATCAAGTATCCTTTCAAGTGTTGGAACCTACCTTCACCAACCTGATCGCCACAAGAATTTCTTGATTGACACCCCCCAAAGGAAAAAGTCGCAATCAACCAACTCCTTCGCCAAAAACCCCGCGTGATAATCTTGACAGGTAACCAACAGTTCGAAAATCGCAAGCCTTTGGTGCGTGCATCATCCCATCCCAGCACGGCCCAACGCCTGGTTCCCTTCCCGTGTGTGTGTGAGGTGTTCCGGGCGACGTCCTAAAATGGATTTGGTGAGTACACTGGCCACATCAACTTTCCCTCGAGGGACGGTTTCGGTTTCGCCTCATCTAAAGTTCTTATATTTCACACACAAAGGCGACTGAAAGTTTCTAGTACGCCGCCCACAACTTCATTTCGCCAGCTCGCGCTGGTTTTCGAGTTCCGTGTATTTCAATGCCAACATTCCCAGTCACAGAGTGTTCTTGGTCCCTGGTGCAGCGTGCGACTGAGACTTCGTGACGCGTTGCAGCATTGTTACTAGCGCCAAGGTGATGGTTGTTTTAGAGACCAAACGGATAGGTGCACAGAATGAAACACAAAGCGCCTCACGCAAACAGCGAATTTAATCCCACGTTCGATCAGCATCAGCAGCCTACTAGGAATAATCGACGAGTTCATGCTGGAAGACGAGGTCCCTGATAACCTTAAAGGCTTGAGCAGATTCAACAGGGTCTTCGAAGAGGCCGATCAGAAGAAGAGAGCCAGTCTTCATGATAACGCAACCACCAAACTGCAAGGAGCTTAAATTCGCGTTAGGGCACAACATTCAAGAAAAAAAAGAGCGAAGGATATGCAAGTCCACGGCGTAATATTGGTACTGTAGTGTCTTGTCTTACCCTACTTCTGCCAAAAAAAGTTCCACTTTGAATGCTTTTCCCCATATAATTGTCCTTTCCCAAAGTTATCTTCTCACTTGCAAGATTCCTGCCAATATCTTCAATCTGCCCTCCAGGCACCTGTACAAGTTTGTAGAAGAAATAGTTTACACTCTAATCATAATATCCTAAAAAAAAGGCAAACTTTGAGAGAACATAGCTTGAATAGTCAGGAAGCACTGTGCTACACCTATCCTTCCTACACAAATTACCGTCTTACTTCTGGGAAACTTGCGCTCTTAGCATATAGGAAGCCATCATGTAGATTATAAATAGCAGCCCCTTTCAGTTTCCCTCCATCTGGAAGGTCGGACATAAGATGTTCATCGACATAAGTCTGCCACGGGATCATCGTGGCTGAGGATGGAACCTAGGACTCGTGAGATAATTTCGAAAAATGGCATTCCCAAAAGTGGGAAATATGGTGCTCCGAATGCAACAATGGCCCTGTTCGATAGCACTTTGGGCCCCCTCGATGCAACCATTTGGTTTGGCTCTGTCGCCCAAATGGTTCAGCGTCGCGACAAAATGCAAGTGGTTTAGCCGCGCCGACAGTAAAATTATTGCGACCGTCCCACTGCCAGCTCAATCAACCAAATACAACGGCCAACATGGCCGAAAACCACCACCTCAACGGCCCATAATACCCGCCAAGTTTTTGCAGTAGCGCGGGAAACCTTGGGGGTCGCAGGGGGGTCGTTCGCGCTGGCGGGAGTTTTTTCACATCGCATGGGGTCGCAAACCGTTTCCCGCCACACCAACAAGGTTACCTCAATGGTTTTCGGGCGTGGTCACCCTCGCTATCGAACATGGCCAATGAGAAAGTCCGGTGGTATATCCAGTCCAGAACCCTTCTCCCCCTTCCCCTCTGAACAATACCAGCTCCTGACCTCAGTCGTTGTCAAGCCGTCCCCCAAATCAAACGTCAAGAAGCCAAAGCTTTTCACACCAAAGCACGGCTGAACTGTCCACCCCAAACCAAACATCCAAACATCAAGAAACCACAGCTTTTCACACCGAACGTCAAGAGGGCTGTCGATTGGTTTTGGGGTACCCTGACGAATTTGGGGGTCCCGCGTAGCAGGATGTTGAGCCGAAACTCGGCCCTTTGGGCTTCAGGGCTAGTACAATTCCAGGCCCCCATGAAGAACCCGAGCCTAAATCCTCGTGAAAAAATCCTCGTGTACACTTTGGCTGGCGAATTGGCGAGGGTACCTGGCATTGCTGGCTGGTGAGTGCGGGATTAGGGGGAGGGGGGGAGGGTGGTGATTGTATTGTATCACAACTCGCAAGGTAACTAAAAAAAAGAAAACATATTCACACGCATAAAAATATGCATCTCAGATTGTATCAATTACAAACAAGAACTTTCTTTTTTAGCGTGAATGTGAAATGTTGGACTCATATAGAAGACTGCCAGTTTGCTAAATGTCACAAAAATTGCATTAAAAGCCAGGCATGCATTTTGTATTGTACAGTCATCGCCCGGATATAAGACGGTGTTGAATAGTAGACAGGGGTTTGTCTACTATACGGGTGTCTCTTATAAACAGGCTAGCCTTTTTATACGACACCTATTTGTGTGTACGAGATAAGAATATGTGTCTTATAATCGAAACTGCAATGTATTATAGTGAGAATTGAAATACCGCGTACATTTTTACCCTTGCGACACGCGAATTCTGCCACGTGCTGACTCACGTACTACCAGATTTGCCTCTGCAAGTATTCGGGATGACGTGGCGTCCCGAACAATGGTTGCCGAAGTGGCACCTTCGCAACTTCCACACTCTTAATGAGAAACTCTTTTCAAGATGCGTGAAAATATTTCTAAGTAGTTTAAAAAACTTTCCATTTATAAGACTTATAAGACACCCAAAACCTCCCCAAATACAAGATAACCCAAGCATTTTTTTTAGTGTATGAGATAAGACATATATGTCTTATATCCGGGCGATGACGGTAAGTGGCAACAAGTAGATGCATAGTTGCATGGATGCTACGGTATGTAGGCCATTGGGCAAGCCTCTTGTGTTACATTCTGTTCAGCCCGTACAGAGCATGTACAGCCATGTCTTGAGGAACATCTCAGATGGTCCAGCCACGTCCTTATAACAGCAGCTGCAGCACCGGATGACCAACCCTGCTCAAGCCACCAGCTAGCTAACCGTCCTCCCCCACCTTCCCATCCATGCAGTTTGCCACCCCTTCTGCCGCCCGAATCCTGACGATATCCGTGGAGAACGTCGAGTAAACCGTGCCATAGAACACGTGAGCCCGCGCACAGATGTACTTCTCTGCCAGTGCCCGCACCACCCCCTTGCCTCCCCCCTCGGGTAGGCTCTGCTCTAGAGCCAATAGAGCTCGCCCCCAGGGCTCGTTGTGTGTGTCGGCCCATGCGAAGCGGCTCTCATGCAACGTCACCAGCCTGGTGGCGTTGCTGGCTGCATGGGGTGAGGGGGTGAGGGCAAGGGAACGGGGCAGATAGGATAAACTCATGGTTATGTGCGATGTAGATTCATGAGACTCATTGTGTGAGCATGTGCGAGAGCATGGCGACCTCTGCATCAGTGCCATCAGAGGCGAGCAACACGGTGTGCAGGTCGGCAGCAGCAGCGCGCATTTGCCCAGCAATCTCATAACCCCACACTGAGACACATTATTACCTGTGATCAGTTGTGTCAGCATGGCGACCTCTGCATCAGTGCCGTCAGACGCGAGCAGCACCGTGTGCAGTTTGGCAGCAGCGTCAAATGTATGACAAACCAACTGCAAGTTGTGAGCCCATGCACAGGCTGCAGCACCTGACGGTCCCATATTGAGACACTTCATTACCTGTGAGCATGTGCGAGAGCATGGACACTTCAGCTTCAGTGCCATCAGAAGCGAGCAGCACAGTGTGCAGGCTGGCAGCAGCGGCGCGGGAGAGAATGAACGTCCCAACTGCTTCTATGGGCAGGAACACATGCCGCTTGTAGCTCTGCTTCTTTAGATGCCCCGAGAAATCGCCCCTGATTCGTATATTGGAGGAAGAAATAGGGGTGATAATGGTGGCGGTGTGGGGGGTTAAGGAGGTGAGTGCAGCAGCTACCTTATCACTCGCCCCTGAGGTGCACAACTCTGGAAAGACGAGGCTCGAGACGAGGGGCGGTGTAGCACTGCCTCTAGCAGCCACTCCCCCACCTCATGAGGTGCACAGCTGTGGACTCACCGCCTGAGGTGCACGGCCATGAAGGGAGATGGCAGGTGCGTTGTGATACAGCATGCGGGCGCCACAGGGACTGTGATGTGATGATGGGCAGTACAGCACTGACTGACTCAGCACCCACTCACGCACCGCCTGAGGTGCACAGCTGTGGACTCACCGCCTGAGGTGCACAGCTGTGGACTCACCGCCTGAGGTGCACGGCCATGAAGGGAGATGGCAGGTGCGTTGCAATAAAGCCATCCACGAACTCCATCACAGCAGCGTGCGGCCGCCACAGGTTGCTGCAGTCCGGAGGGACGGTCACGAGTGGCAGTGCTGATTCCAACAGCCAGTCATGGCCAATCACAGACGTTCCCGCCAAATCCCCGAAGGTGAGGATGTGGCCGGCAGGCAGACTGGGCTCCTCATCATTGCTGTCAGAGGTGGTGGTGCCGACTGTAGCAGCTGATGGTGGTGCTTCTGAAACTCCCGCTGCTGCCACAGATGCAGGTGGTGGTGCTACTGCTGAAGCAGCAGGAGGTGGTGCTGTCACTTCAGCTGCTGCTGCTGCTGGTGGTGCTGCTGCTGGCGCTGCTGTAGATGGTGTAACCAAGGCTGCAGCAGGTGATGCAGATGGTGCCGCAGCAGCTGGGTCAAGGGTTGCTGCTGCAGCTGCTGCTGTTGCGTCTGATGATTCTGCTATAGCCGATGCTTGGCTAGCCAAACCCGGTGCTGCCTGAGATGCTGCAGCAGCACCTTCGTCTATTTGTGTGCCCTGCCCCTCTGCACCACTTCCCACCTCATTCAGTCTTCTCCGTGCCGCTGCTCCCTCCCCGCCACTGACTCCTGCTGCCGCACCCACAGCTTCACTTGCACCTGCTGTTGCTGATGCCTCCCCTCCCACTGCTCCGCTCCCTCCTACTTGCTCCTTGCCTTGCTCACCCCCTGAAGAGTCAGTCTGACTCTCTCGCTCCTCCGCTCCTCCTACCTCCCCCGCCTCCGCCCTCTCCTCCTCCCCCTCCACCACCTCTACAGCTTCTAGAAGCTTCTCCAACCGGACCTTCCCCATCCTATCCACCAGGCTCTGATTCACAGCTATCGGGCGGCCTTTCTTGTCCGCTAGCTTGATCCCAGGCACCTCTCGCAGCAGCACTCGCAGCGTCCACTCGTGATTACACGTGGGCTTGAGACAAACCAGGTGTGCCACGTAAGCATGGTCGGAGTGGGAGCGGGAGAGGTAGTCTGGTAGCAGGAGTGTGGTGAGGGGGCCGTAGGAGGGGGCGAGGCAGGTATGTAGTCTGGGGAGATTAAAGACGGCGGTCCAGGGCCAGATTAGGTTGAGGCCGGTGTGCTGGGCGACGGCGAGTGGAGGGATGAGCAGTGTGCGGTTTAAGAGGACGGCGAAGATGAAGTAGGTCATTATGCACTCCTGCTGCTCTGCGGGGCGGGGGCGACGGGGGTGTGGGGAGGGCCGAGGGGAGGGAAGGAGGGGAAGGGAAGAGAGAGGCGATTTTTTAGTTGAGTCAGGAGACGGCGAGGGGGTGGATTAGCAGCGTGCAGTTTAAGAGGACTGCGAAGATGAAGTAGGTCATTATGCACTCCTGCTGCTCTGCGGACGCGGGAGAAGGGGAGGGAAAAGGGTGGATGGAAGGTAGCTTTGAGATGCCTCACATGTGGAGAGGGATGGGGAGAGGGATGGGGAGAGGGATGGGGAGAGGGATGGGGAGAGAGATGTGGAGAGGGATGGGGAGAGGGAGGTTGAAAGAGGGGGGAAAGAGGGAGGGGGTAAAGTGGGAGGGGGTTAAGGAGGGAGGGGGAAATGGGAGGACATAGAGGAGAGGTAGAGAAAGGAAAGGAGAGGTTCTGGGTGGGGTGGAGCCGAACGAGAGATGACTCACTTTTCCATACCTGATTGGCCAGTCTCCGTTCCTCTGGCACCTAATTGGTCAGTCTCCTTTCCCCGGTACCTGATTGGTCAGTCGTCCAGTGGTGCAGAGCGCCAGGAGGTATTTCCCCTTCCGCGGACGCCAACCCCCCACCAGCTTGCGTTGACTCGCAACGGCTTCCATGGGGATTATCTTATTCACCATCGTGCCGTTCGGCCCCTCACACTCCTTCGGCTTCCGTAGCGAAAACAGGAGCTTTCGCCGCTCCGTGGTTACATCTTCGCGAGTAGCGACGGAGGTGGTGGGGTTTTCGCGAGGCGCTGGGCGTGGTATGAGAAGCAGGATGAGAAGCAATGGCGAGACAAGGAGCAGCGAATGCAGTGACACTGACGAATGATGACTGAAAGTGCGACTCCATGTTGATGCGGTGGAAGCTATTTTCGTGCCCGATTTCACGGAAATTACCGGCATTGATTTCGATAACGTGAGCGAGTACCCGCAACAGGCAGATCTATCCCACAGGAAGCCGACTATTTCCCCGCTTTCATCAACCCAGCGTTGTGGAAAACATTCTACCTTCGCTAGGAGGGGAAGGTAGAGATTGGGAACCAAACGCGTTACAGTCATCTCCATCAAAATTGTACCTTGTAATTTCGATAGTTCAAGACTATATTAATATAGTGGAGGATGTGATTCGACACTCCCGAGGCAGCCTGGAGAGGTTCGCGCCAAACCGAAATCTACCTGGGAGACTCAATTGCGACCCAATTTCCGAAGGCGGAGCTTCGGGAATTCCAGGGTTTTTTTCAAAACGGTACCTCCAATCGAGCAAGCCGTTGGAGCAAAATGTGCTGAAACCTGAAATCCATGCATTATCATGCCAAGATATGGTATTTTCAAGGATTCTCTCGGACGCTACTGTCTACGAGGCTGTCAGACAGACGGACTGGTCTTTGTGATAGTTCTTCCAGTGATGCGGGCTCTGAGAGGTTAGACAGACTGACGCAGGACACTAGGATTCACGAGTGTTACCAATACCCATCATCGCTCTGTCTGTCACCAGAGCACCAGTAGCATACGGTGTCTAATCCGCCTTGCCAACAATCCCGTTGTCCAAGATAAGAATTATTCTCTATCTTCCATTCTCCAGGCTTCTGGCTTGAAGATTCGTGCTCTCATGGCGTCATTATCATAAGGCGTCGTTGTCGCGGAAATTTCAGGCCGGTCGCTAGGTAGCCTGGTCGCAAAGCGTCGCAGTTATCGCAGAGCTTCGCTGAGTGTCGCAGAGCCATGGAGGACGGCTTAATCTCGCCGTTACTTCGCTCGGACAGTCGCATGGGTCCCATCCTCCCGTCTCATCACGCTCCCTGCGATGACAGCACGTCGCACGTGTCGCATCATCCCGTGCGGCTAGCATCGCTTGACGTTTTCCGCGGAATCAGCATCGTCGTGAGTACGCCAATCTGGCCTCAAATCGACTCAACGATCACCACTCACACCTGCGGGCTCGTCGCGTCGTTCCGGGCAATCTCCAGCACCACTTACTCGCAATCACATTCCAAGCCATGTCGAGCATCCCAACCCCACGCCAATGTCGACAGCATTGCGAAGCTCCATCATTGAAATCCATGTTTCCAATGCTTCGCACAGTCATTGGCTGTCTGGCTGTCGCATTCCAACTCAAACTCCGTCAAATCCCCACAGCGTTTTCGCAGGTTATGTTCTTGGGGGTGGGAGTGTCCCCCTGGGACGGGCTGCAGCTGAGAGACCTTATCGCTTCCAACTTCCTCTCCTTCTCCTCGCCTCCCTGCAGGTCATGATAGTGGCGCTGGACGTGGGTCAGGAGGAGCCATGGGTGGGAGTGTTCCCCTGGGACGGGCTGCAGCTAGGCGACCTCATCGTTCGCTTCTTGAGACGTTTCAAGGGTCCCCTCTTCCTCCCTGCAGGCAATGATAGTGGCGCTGGACGTGGGTCAGGAAGTGCCGTGGGTGGGAGTGTCTCCCTGGGACGGGCTACAGCTGGGAGACTTCGTCGCTCCGTTCTTCCTCTTCGCCTCGGGCGCTGCAGCGGCGCTCACCTTCAGAGCCGTGCACAGCCGCACTGCGGCCGTGCATAGGATTCTCGGACGTGCCTGCTGCCTCTTTCTCCTCGGCCTCTTCCTTGAAGGTTGCCACTCTCCCCCTCCCTTTGCCTACCATCAACAACAAACTTTCTTGACTTGTTTCTCGAACATTGCCAGCGTGTCTCTGCCTGCTTTGGATATCAGCCAACCGTATCGCTCGCACGTCACTTGTGGCTTTCACCTGTTTGCACTCTCCTTCTCACTCACCCAGGTTTTCTTCCCCGTCCTCTCAGTCATACCCCTTCCCTCTCACTCACAACTTTCTCCTCTCACTCTCGGACACCATTCATCACCACACCTCGACTTTCTCCTTGCCTCTCCCTCCACCTTCCCGGCACCTTCCAGGTGGCTTCCTGCACAGAACAGGGGACCTGAGTTTTGGCATCAGTCTGACGCGCATGCGCATCTGCGGCACGCTGCAGCGCATAGCTGTGGCCTACACAGTGGTAGCACTGGCGCAGGTGCTGCTATCCGCGCCCAAGGATAGCCACACAGAGGGATATGGAGAGGGGCTATCCGGCTTGTTATCCTTCTCCCTCCTCACCTGGTCAGTCCGTTCTCAGGTTCAATCCAATGCATGATTCCCTGGAATCATGAAGTACCACGAGATTTTCTGGTTTTGCATTCCTCTCTTAGCTGCAATTTGTCCCGCCCTAAGCCGTTTTCCTCCCTCCCATGTTTCGCCTCCCTCTCATCATCCCTACATCGACGCATGAAACACCCCCCTCCAGGCAGGCGTCGCTCATGCTAGCTGCAATCTACCTCGCCCTCACCTTCCTCCTTCCCTCCCATGTTACACCATTCATACCTTACATGGGCGCATGAAACACCCCCCTCCAGGCAGGCATCGCTCATGCTAGCTGCAATCTACCTCGCCCTCACCTTCCTCCTCTTCGTGCCTGACTGGACCTTCACTCCCCCCACCTCCTCCGCCTCCCTCTCTGCTGTCAACTCGACCTTCCTTCCCCGCGCTGCGTCAGCTGTCAGCAGCCCGTCTCAAGACCTGCTGGTCAGTGAATGGTTGCAAGAGGGAATGCCCACACTGAATTGGAAAGTAGAATGCAACTGGAAGATAGAATGAGTTTGGCAAATAACTTGCGTTCGGAAAATAGCATGCCCCCTGTCAAGCGCATGCCACAGTTGCATCGCAACCGCGGTCGTCAGTAAAAACACCCATCTCTGTCTTCTCCCGTCCTGCCATAACCCATCTAACGTCACTGAATCCCGTTCTCTCGGCCAGCTCACCTCGTTTCGTCAAACTCCACTTCCCTACCTTCCCACCTACATCCTCCTTCGCGCTTCATCAAAGTGTGCCTGCCTGCCTGCCTGCCACTCCGTGCCTTACTGTCCACCATTCTCCATGCCCATCAGGTGGTGTGCTCTCGCACTGGAGACCTCTCCCCTGCCTGCAGTGCTGCGGGCTACATCGACCGACTGCTGCTCACCACCAATCACCTCCTCGCCTTGCCTCCCTACACCCAATTGCCTGTAAGCTTTCCGCACATGACCAGGCACTTCAAACATGTGCCTGTCTTTGTGTACGTTTGTGTACCAGTGTAGCTTCTTCTCGCCCATTCTACATGCCTGAAGCCTCGCTACCTCTCCCATCCTCGCCCCAGCACGCAGAATCTTTGTCCCATCTCTGCCTCGTCCGTTTCGACTTTGCCTTCTCGTCCCTGCTGCAGGAGTGCGGTGTTTCCTCCACTCTCGTTTCGCCGCCCTCACTCCTCGCCCTACCATCCTCTGGCGACCAGGCACCCCCTGTGTGGTGCTCTGCACCGTTTGAGCCCGTGGGGCTGCTCAGGTGAGAGCAGGGCATGAAGGAGACATTTGTGGGTTGGGGTCGGGCATGCGGAGGGTTGGGGTGGTGGGGCTCGGCGTGTGAGGGTGGGGGTGTTTTTCCCTCTTCCACCCTTTTCACACTCCAACTCCTCATTTCTTACCTTCTCCTTCCCCTGCTCCCAGTAGACCTGGCGCCTCTGAACAAGTCTATTCGTGTCCACTCACTCCTCTCTCCGCCTTCCCTCTCCCCTGCTCTTCTAACCAGCACATTGGGTGCCACACTCACAGCCTTCATGGGCTTGCACCTGGGCCACATCATCACCAGCTTCCAGGTAACCACGCTCCCAGTCAATACCCATTCGGCCATCTCCCCTCCCATTGCACTCTCCTTTTCACTAACTTCTCTCGCGTCTAGACTAGCCTTCTCGTCTCTCTATGTGTCCTGCTTCTAATCTCGCCTTCCTCCCAAATCATCTCCTCTCTCATCCATGTCTTCTGTTTCTTCCCTTCTCTTCCCTTTCTCTCCCGTTCACCCCCTCTCCGGTGTTCCATGGTCCACCACAGAGCCATGCAGCGCGCATCATCAACTGCCTTTTCTTCTCTGCTCTCCTCGTGGCGGCCGGTTTCCTCCTCCAGTTCCCTTTCTCTTTCTCCCTCCACCACGCCATCCCCCATGCGAACATCCCCGAGTGGCTTGACATATCCTACCCTGGTACAGTTGCATTTCGTTTGTTTCATGTTTCTCCGCACAGTGCTTCCGTTGCAGCAACCTATCACCCCCAAAACGACAATTAACACCCTTGTTTATTCTCTCCTGCTGTGTTCTTGTCCCCCCGTTCCTCAGGTCTGCCTTTCAATGCTCAGCTGTACTCGCTAAGCTATGTCCTCATAACAGCAGGAGCTGCCGCACTCCTTTTCGCCCTCATCTACCTTTTTGTAAGCACCCTCCCATCACCAACGAGCTCAAACATATGTGATTTGATGTAGTAGCTCTGTCTGGCAAACGTATGTTCACATCAATCCTTCCCAAATCACAGTCGCACATTCTTTTCTGTTGCTTCTCCTGTCCCCTGCACGCATCTCTCCCAGGTGGACGCGGCGGGAGTGTGCTTCTACACGCTCTTTGAATGGATGGGCCGCAACTCCCTCTTCCTCTTCCTCGCCTGCGCCACTCCGCTCCTCTCCTCCATCGCTGCTGGCTTCTACTGGGAGAACCCACATGAAAACCTTGTGAGTTTGTACCTCTTCCCACCTCCCTCCTGCACACACTCTATGAACCATCCATCATTCCCATAGCTCTCTCAACATTCCCTTTCCCGCCCCACACACGTCTGCTTCCCCATCCCTTATCTGTTTCATCCCTGTTTGTGGTCTCCCCCGCTATCGATGCGTGTATTGGTCCAGGTGTCGCTTCTACATAATCTGCTGCTATGGATGGGCCACGACTCCAAAACGGCAGCAATCGTAACGGCTGGTTCCAAAGCACTGTTTTGGTCACTTGTTGCTGGCTTGATGTCATGGCAAGGATTTTACTGGCGTGTATAAATTTCGCTTCGCCCAAAAATCTGTCTTAACTTACTATGTGAGATATTGTCTGATTACCCACATCAAAGCAGTGCTGGTTTTATCACAAAAAAACATTTTTTCAATCATCTCCTGGGTAATCTAATTGCCCTGACTCTCAAAACAATTTCATTACTCCGACATCCACAAATATTGTCGAACGCCTTCTCCGACATCTCCGAGTTTTTACCGCGTACAATACCCGCCTTATGCTGCTTTCTGCTCTGCTGCTTTGTCAGCTGACATAGGTATTGCCGCATTCCACGATCAGGCACGCGCTGTTTCTATCACCCTCCTCAGATAGCTACGATTCAAGCAAAGCACAGAAGTTCGTCACCTCCCGTTTCTCCCCGTATTACTGCGACCTCATTTGACGGTGGCTCTCGACTGCTTTTCAAACTGATTCCAGCTTCGAAAGCCGTAAATTCCTTTTTTTCCCCGTTATCTCTGACGTGGGAAAGTGTAGTCTGCAAAGGACGTGGCAAGCTCCTCGCAGGTTCGTCTTCTAAGGCCTAGCGGTTTCCTTCTTACTGACGAGTTCAAAGCATCGTTTGTGTGTTTTTTTTTTAATCACGGGTTCGTGCTGTCGTTTTACCGACATCGTACTCGGATCTAGCGGACAGTCACACGCAATGTCGCGTTTCTTTGGTCCCCCGTGCTCATTGATCACAGGCTGATTCTTTCCTGACCGTGCGAGCCTGATCTAAGTTTCCTCAGTCGGCCTAGCGAGGGTTACGCAGTTACCAGCATGGCAGCGTTCCTCGTCATCACGCTCATTTTCTTCGCGCTCGGCTTCCTAGGCTGCGTGCTCGTTAGGGTTCTCTACGATAAAGGCCCGTCAACGAACCTGTGCGTTCACCCAACCCCGTCCACTTTCGCTCCCGTTATTGTCACATGTTTCATTCCCTTCACAGGCGTTTCTGCTCTCCTATGATCTCTATCAGCTTCTTGACACGCTAACATTTTCGTCTCACCATTCCTGCTCTCATCCCTTTCCCTCTCGTTCTTTTCATTCTCCTGCCCTTGGCCTCGTCTGCTCGCGAGCCAGGCTGCATGTCACGCTGGTCATCACCGCAACCATCTGCTGCTGGCTCTCGTGAGTGCTCTCAAACCAGTAGTGTAGCGAGTTGACATTTGATTCCGCTCGAATTTCATTTGCTGCTGGCTCTCGTGAGTGCTCTCAAGCCAGTAGTATCAACGCGTTTTCTCTCGGCTCTCTGAGCCCTCTCTTTCTACCGCTTGACGATTCTCACATTGCTAGTTTCACGCAGCTCACATCGTCCCTCCCTTAGTCGTGTTCTTAACAACGTCCCAGCCTGCTTATGCTCCCCACACCATTTCCGCCCTCCCTCCATGTCTCTCATCATGCCTGATTCATGTGTCTCACGCCTAATTCATGTGTCCCATGCCTGAATTATGTGTCTCATGCCTAAATCACGTTTCTGAGTCCCATGCGGCCAGGTGGCATGTTTGAGTGTGTGTCATGTGCCTGGATAACGTATTGTAGTCCTCTTATCAGCAAATTCCCTTATCGTCTGTATTCATGCGTCATATTTGCATAATCCTGCATCTCCTGTATCTCTGTCTTATTGAGCATCTGATTTTATGTGCTTGAACCTGAATGTGACAGGTGGGCGATTGTGTACATGGCACAGATGCATCCCCTTGTGGTGCCTATACTCAAGGCCGAAGGAGAATAAGCATTTGGGGATTACCATACTGGCAACGTGGAACTTTTTCATGGTTTAGTAGCACTGGGATACACAAGCAGGAAGTAGAAGCAGCAGTGTTGGAACTACCCAGCATCAATCTCATCATCCTTTCTCATTATATGGATGACTCAATATTAGCAACATATGGTAGCTGGCTGTACCACTTTCTACAGGAGAAAACACTCAAAGTCCACCATTTGTGCAATAGTGTATTGAGCAGTGTTTATCAAAATTAATAACCATATGTACCGTACATTAGGAAACCACCGTAGTTTGTAAATCTAACAAAGCAGCAAAAAAAATGCACAATGCCTTCTCCAATGCCTTACAGTAACGCTGTATTGGAAGCACGGTATCATGATGGTCTGACGGGGTTTTTTTATCAGTGTAATTTACTCTGTTTCTCTGAAAATCAGAGTGGTTTTTGGGGGGTCACTCTGTACCTCCTGGGTAATTTTTTTGAGAGTTACTTGTTCTCTGATCAGTCAGGGTTTTTGTCTAAGTTCACTCCGGAGCGCCAATGTTACTTTCCCGGATAGTGAGATTACTCTGTACGGGGGATACATGTACCCCCGAACCCCCACGTTCCCCCTTATCCCCTCGTTGCCGGTTTTGACCGGAGCGCAGGGGATATCAGTCTTGGATCGCTCGTGTGTTGGCACTACCTGAGGTTTTGATTGGCCGGAATTGCATATTTCGTGCCAGCGCACGCATCTGGCCACCCACCAGATACATCGCTGGCTTTGCGTACCCCATCAGCAATGAACAACTCCTACTTTCGGGCATGACACGGCAGCTTCCTTTGGTGCGATGGTTTCGTGCGCGGCGCGCACATTCACACATGTTGCTCGGCTGACAGACGGGGTCACCACCAAACCCCATCCTGTCCTCCCATTATGTTTCTTCCCACTGCACTGCTCTTCAACGTTTCAGTATAGCGAGTGTATAGTGGGCTTCTCCAGCCACAGCCCCTCCTCCTGCACCTTTTTTGTGCCGTCAATACCATGGATACTAGCGACGCCGAGGGAGACGCGGCTGATGCCGACGACAGGCCGACATGTAGCACACCCCCTGCGACTGGGCTTCAGTTCCTCCGCTCTGTGCGTGAAGATTACGTTCGCGATGAAGAGGCGCTGGGCGATGGCGGTACCGAATGGATGCGACGTCCACGCAAGGAATCTGGCGACATGGAAGATGCGAACGACGATTGGTGTCCATCTCCGCGCCCGATGAATGACGCTGCTGAGTCAGACGGTGTTGAGGAGTGGATCGCCTCGCCGCGAAACGAGGTTGCTGCAGAGCCGGCTGCAACGGTTGCAACGGAGGTTGTCGATGCGGCCACTACTGAGTCGACTGGTTCAGTCGCTGTGAAGAAGCGACGATTAACGCAGCAGGTTTTGCAGTGGGGAACACCGCCGCCGAAGCCTGTTGCTCCACCTCCCCGTCCTGCCCCACCCCCCATTCGTCCCCTTTCAGACGAGGAGAAGAAGGAGAAGGCCTATCTGAAGGCGCAGAAGAGCTACACGTCTGATTGGCTACCGAAGTTTGACTGGCTGATTCTGGACAGGACCCCTGAGGGTGACCCGTGTCTGCGCTGCAGTGTCTGCACGGAGCACGGGAAGGACAACACGCGTTACGGTCGCAATGGCGCTGGCGGTCGTGATCTGCAAATCGGGTCGATGCGGTGGCACGAGAACAGCGCGAAGCACGAGGACGCGATGAACAAGCAGGCGAACCTTCTGCAGAAGATCGCCGACCAGAAGAAGATTGAAGACTTCGGGAAGGGAGATCCAGAAGGCTGTCGTGTCGCGGTACTCATGCGAGCCATGCGATTTGTGTGCCGTACCGATACACCCATCCACATGTACCCACAGATCGTGCAGCTTCTCGCAGAGGAGGGGGTCGCCAACATACCGCGACAGAGCTATGGAGTGTACATCACACAGTGGTTTGTTCTTGTCTCTGTTGTTCTTGAAGCAACCGTTTATGTTTATGTATGCTAATGCGTTGTGCTATGTGTCTGCGCAGGTACGGTTTCTCCGAGATGGCCAGGGCTCTCACCTTGTATCTGACCAGAGAACAATTGCGCCACCTCCACGCCTCGCCCTTCATCGGCATCATGTGCGACGAGAGTACCGATCGAACCCGTGGCAAACACATGATTGTGTTTGTCACGTTCCTCAAGAACAGCGTGGTTGTAACCGAGTTCATCGCGTTACTTACCGTCCAGCAATGTGATGCGGCATCGCTCATGAACGCACTGCTCCAGCATCTCGAGACGGTGGGCATCGACTTGCAGAAGATTTCAGGAATGTCCACGGACGGCGCGGCGGTGATGATCGGGGGCACGTCCGGCCTCGTCACACGACTGCGAGTCCACGTTCCCCACCTTGTCGGCTGCCACTGCATTGCGCATCGGTACGTTTGTCTTGCCTGCGAAATAGAGTGTCTGGTTTAACGTTATTTTGTGTTTCCAACTTATTCATGTAACAATCTTATTCATTGTTTCCAACTTTTGCTTGCAGCGAAGCACTTGCTGTGAAGGAGACTGCCGGTGACGAGCAGTTCAAAGATTTTGGGATGGTAGACAAGGCCATCCGTGCAGTTGGCAAGATCATGGGGAGATCCACGCCGTGGTACGAGAGGTTCAAAGAGCTCCAACTCGTGATCCACAGCACCAACCTCGAGCACCAGGGACTGTTCGACGTGCGCTGGCTCTCCCGTGCCGATGCTGTCAACCGTCTTGTCATGATTTTGGGGTCGGCAATCGTGCTGTTCTTGGAGTACAATCACAAGATCGCCGCGGTTGTGAAGACCCTGAAATTTCATTTCTGTTTGTACTTCCTGGCAGACATTTTGGGGGAGTTGAACTCCCTGAATCGTTTCTTCCAACGACGCAAGGTAAATGGGGCCTAAAAGGCTTGTTGATACACACGTTTAACCGTGTTCATTATTCTTTTTAACGCAGAGACTAACAAAAAAAAATTACCCCGTGTCGGTCCGGCAGGTGGAGGTGACGCAAGTCACAGAGGAGGTCGACCGTGTGGTCTCCCTCATCGAGCACCGCTACATCGACTACGAGGGTGGTTTCGGGGCGGGTCTGAGCACCCACTTGTCTCCATTCATGGCACGTGTCAAGAAAGGGGACAAGAAGGTGAAGGTGGACGGTGTGGACGCTAGCGGCAGACCCGTCAGGCACACCTTCGAGCTCAGCGAGTTGCCGGACAAAAAGCACAAGTTCGGCGGATCCCTGGTAGATTGCGTGAAGATGGGCAAGGCGTTCGCCCGTGAGGTCGTGTACAACCTGAAGCACCGCATGCGAGATCTTCGTCGAATGGGCGGCATGAAGCTGTTCAGGGTGGACAAGTGGCCATCGAATCTGGACACGCGTGCGAGACGATGTGCCACATGGCTCCGTGAGAACTCGCAACTCTTCAGCCACCAGCTGCCAAGTATTTGGAAATCTAATTTCGTTCGTGTTTGTTTGCTTTTCTTCTGAAAATGCCTTATGTAAATGTCTACCGAAAGTTCCCGTACAAAGAAATCCCTGTGCTGTTCGTACTGTGTTGGCAGGATTCGACCTGCGGGCAGCCGAACTAGAACTGAAAACTTTCTGCCACATCATGAGGACGCACCACGAGGACGAGGACTTCTACCAGGCGCTGACGAACATGCTGAGGTCACGCGATTGGCCGCGAACTTACCCCAACATCATGACCCTGTGGCAGGCGTTGGCCGTCCTGCCACTCAGCACCGTCGAATGCGAGCGTGGATTTTCACGCCTGAACATCATCAAGAGCTGGCAGCGCACGACTCTCAACGACACGCGGCTCACTGAACTCATGAGCATCCACATGCTCGACTACAACGTGGAGTGGCAAGATGTCGTGGACATCTGGCGCAAGCACAAGAAGAGGCGGCCGACAAAATCCCCTGCACCCTTCCAACCAGCGGCTGACAAGAACAAGTCTGAGGCCAGTGCGGACGACGAGGAGGAGGCTGACGTGGCAGAGGATGAGTGAGCCGTAGTAGTAGGATAGGATAGGACATTGTGTACAACGTGTCTAGGAATTATATTTGTTAACTATGCAACAGCACAAGAACCAACGCGTACACACACAACAGGGTTAACGATAGAAATTACTCTGAGGTGCCAGGGTTCTTAAACTGACAGCCTGTGTTACACTGGCATTTAAGAGGAAGGCTCGCCAAACACTCTGAATTTCAGAGTACAGCCAAAAACGCCTCTGGAAACCAGTGTACTCTAAAACGAAAAAAAACCCCTGGGTGTGAGTGAAACTGTCCTGGATGAGGACTTATTGTCTTGCCATGCCACCAACATCTGCAGAGAAGTCATCATTCCACAGCAGGCTTGCCATCCCCTTAGCAGCAAATACCGGGCAGGAGCTGGGCAGGGCACAATGCCAGCCACATTGGGCATACGGTACTGTGTCAATGAAAGCCAGTCAGCCATAGCTCAGCCCAGTGCAACAAACCACTTCAGCTTCCCAACCAGACGTACATGCAGTAATCATTCCTCCACAGTAATGCCGGGATCTTTAGCAGAACGAGAGGGAGCAGAGGAGCACTAAGCAACTCCTCACTAGCCACTCTCGTTGAAGCCACTCAACTCAACCCAGCTCAACCCAACCGAACCCAACCCGGGCAGGGCCGTCACTCTTCAACAACCGGTCTACCCTCTGGCTCGTCCACAGGAAACGGCAGGGCTGATCCAGCCACTATCTCCGCCATTGCTCCACAGTACAGCGCATCAAACCCTGGAATGTTTTGATTCAACTCAAGTCACTCTTCCACAGCAGGTCTACCCTCTGGGTCGTCAACAGGGAATGGCAAAGCTGAGCCAGCCACTATTTCCGCCATTGCTCGGCGATACAGCGCATCAAACCCCGGAGTGATTCGACCCTTCTTCACCCCTCCGAACCTCACCCCACCATGCCCGTCCGCAGCCGCTGATCCTCCTCCTGCTGCTGCGGCTGCTGCTGCAGCTGCTGCCACTGCGGCTGACAGTGGGTAAGCAGACGATGGTGGTGATGCGGCTGCTGCTAGTGAAGGGTTGACTTCTGCTCCTGTGGTGGTGGAAAGACATGCTCTGCTGCCCGTCGACTGCTGCTGGCTCGGAAACACCGCTCCCTCCTGCCCTTGCTCCTGAAAGGACACCACAAGAGTAACACCATGCACAAGTCATGTACCCAAGCAGGCATGTGTATAAACATGTGCATACATGTGGATTCACACATGTGAATATACACATGGATACATGTACATACATGTGGATGTACACATGTGAATACATGTGGATACAGGTGCATACAATAGTCAAGACAGCGAAGGCGTCGAGCGTACCCGTTCTGACGCATGCTGTCCAGAATAATGGTCACAGTCATAGTCGTAAACTTACCTACTCGTACTCACACTCACGTGCTGCAGGTGCTCGGCAGTGTACTTGGAGATGTAGAAGTTAGTCTTAGCCCACGTGCCCTGAATGGTCAGCTCGCACTCACTCTCACTCACACCTTTACTCGCACTCACACTCATACTCACTCGGATACACCCACAGTTCACACTCACGTGCTGCAGGTGCTCGGCAATGTATTTGGAAATGCAGAAGTTGGTTTTGGCCCTTGTCCCCTTCTGAATGATCAGCGCGCGATCGTACTGCTCTGCTGCCGCCTCCTCCGTCTCATACACGCCTAAAGACACGTTTCGCCGCCCGAAATACGACCCGATGCGCGCCTCCCACCGCCCCTCCTGCCCTGACACCCCGCGGAATTTGGAGCGACCACGGGAGAAGGCCCTGAGCGCGTGAGGAGGGGGGACGATGGGAGCGGGAGAAGGGCAGGGCAACATGACTGTTAAGGCATCGTCTTAACTCTTGCATTTTTCCTGCACATTGTGTATCAAAGTTGAAAAAAAGAGACACACGAGAGCACTAAGGTTGTAACTTACGAGCTCTCCCTTCTTAGTTTCGCGATGAGCGCCTCGCAGGAGATCCCAAGATACTCCCCAATGCTGTCCGCATAGCTCTCCCTTGGGAAGTTGGTGATTGCCTCTGCTCCCTTGCACGCCAGGGCTGCTATGTCATACGCCCGTGCTGCTTTCTCTTCAGCGTCGTATCCACCTGCGTGAAGTGAGGACAGGGATCGATGTGCGTGAGCACTAAACATAGGAGGGACTTGTGAGTGAGATTGGTACACGCACCCACTCACCCTCACACCTTCTCACCCACTCACCCTCTCACCCTCACCCACTCACCCAGGTAGAGTTGCTTCTTGTTGGTCCATAGCGACGCCTCCCACCGCTTGGTCAGCCTGGAGGGTGAGGTAAATTGAAATAAAAAACGGGAGGATGGACGGCAGAGTGAGGTAGAGCTAGAGCCGGAAGACCAGGCGACAACAGGAAGAGAGCCTATGATGACTCAGGACCGACCTGAGATGACTCAGCACTGACCTGTGATGACTCACGCCCCTGAACCTCGACTTCACAGGGGGATCTCTCTCCCCTTCCGCTCCTCCCACCACCCCTGCTGCTGCCACGCTCACTGCTTCTTTCACCTCCTCCCCTCCCCCCACCCCCCGCTCTCCCCCCTCTCCTCCCCCATCCCCCATGCCGCATATCCCCCCTTCCCCCAGGCCGCACATGCCCTCATCTCCCAATCCTTCTAACTCAATGTTCATGTTCATGACGTCATCTTCTTGCTCTCTCCCCTCCATGACGTCAGAGGGAATGCCACCTGCCTCCATCCCTCCAACCGCCTGTTGGCCCTGATAAGCAGTCGGAATTTGCTGAAAAACAGCTGGATTTTGATGATAAGGAGTCTGCTGCTGATAAGCTGGCAGCTGGTTTTGATAAGCCGGCAGGATAGGCTGATAAGCAGGAAGAACTTGCTGCTGAAAAGCACCCTGATTTTGCTGATAAGCAGCCTGATTTTGCTGATATGCAGCCGGATTCTGCTGATAAGCACCCACATTCTGCTGAGAAGCACCCGAATGCTGCTGATAAGCAGCCCCACCGCCCGACTCCCCTTCGCTGCTACAAGCCCTCAGAGCCGACCCTCTCCCACTTTCCACCTCCACCTCTTTCAACGCCCTCTTCCTCTTCAGGTGCCGCAGACTTCCCTCCTTCCTGCCCGCCTGCTGCCCTCCCCCTCCCTCCCCCCATTGCGCCCCCCCCGCCCCTGCCTCTCCCCCCACTCCCCCCTGCCCTTGCGTGCGGGTTGCTTGCCCCTGCCTGCCAGGTAGCCCCTGGTTGTCTCCCTGCCTAGCTGTCTGTGAGTGTGGGTGATAGTGCCAGTCTGCGCTCCTGCCCTGCTCAACCATCTCTTGCTTCACACCCACCACAAGCCTTGGCACCTGCTGCTGCTGCTGCTGCACCTGCAGAAGCCCTTGCTGCTGTTGCCCATGCAACTGCCCGGGCTGCTGCTGTGATGGTCGGCGGTGCTGCTGCTGCTGAGTCGGCAGCTGGAGCCTCTGGCTCTGCACGTGCTGCTGCTGCTGCTGCTGCTGCTGCTGCTGCTGCTTCTGAATCTGCTGTTGCAAGTCAGCCAACTGTGGGAAATGCGTGGGGGATTGCACATACTGTTGCTGCTGTTGCTGTTGCTGATGCATCTTCACCACCCTCTTTCGCCTCAGCTCATGCGCCTGCAGCTGCTTCTGCTTCCATGCCTCTCCTGCAGCGTCACACTGCACCACACCTGCCGCACCACTCTGCACCACACCCCCTCCACCACTCTGCACCACACCACCATCCTGCACAACACCTCCGGCACCACTCTGCACCGCACCAGGGGGCGTTACTTGCACGCCCAAAGCAAATCCACTGGGGGAAGTCACCCCAGAAGCAACGGTCGGCTGGGAGTATCTGGGAGCCCATTGACCCCCAGCAGTGCCGAGCCTGGGTACTGGTTGAGGCCCAAGGGACTGAAGAGTCGTACCACCACCGCTCCTGCTGGTGCTTTGCAGAGACAGCGCCAGAGACACTGGCCGGGATGCTGCTGCTGCTCCCGCAGCTGCTCCTGTGGCTGCTTGTGGTGGTGCTACTGCCGGTGGTGGTGCAGGTGCGACCATCGGTGCCATTCGCATCTGTGGTTGACTTCCCAGCACTGCCGTTGGCCTTGGCACCAGCACCGCCTGCTGCTGAAAAACCTGCGCCTGTGGCGGCTGCTGCTGCTGCTGCTGGTGATGATGCTGCTGATGCTGCTGCTGCTGCTGCTGCTGCTGCCGCTGCTGTCCCTCTGCTTGCTGCTGCTCGCGTGACGAATGCCCATCCGGTAAAACATTCCACATCCCAACACGCGCCTTGTGTACCCCAGGCTTCACAGGGTAAACAGGTAGTTTACCCACCTCCGGGGCAGCAGAGGCAGCAGGGGGCAGGGCGAAGGGCACCCAGGAGGCGACAGCAGGGGAGTAGACAGGGGGAGGGGGGGGCTGCAAGGGGGAAGGACGCAGAGATGCGCTTGCAGAGGTTTGAGGGGACGGGGTTCGTGCTCCTCGTGACACCTTGCCCGCTCGCCCTTCCCCCCCTCGCCCTCCCTCCCTTCGCTCTCCCTCGCCTCCTGTTTCTCGCCCTCCCCCTTCTCCTCCCCGTTCCCGGCCTTCAGAGGCACCACCTGAGGAAGCACCACTTGCACCAGCACCAGCGCCACCGGTAGCACCACTGGCAGCCGCAGCATCACCAGCAGCAGGCTGGGAGTACGCTCCTGGTGCGACGGTAACAACAGGACCCCCTGTACCCATGCCATGTTGCCCGCGCTGCCCGTGCACCCCACGAGAGCCTGAGAGCCGCTGGGAGGTGTGGCCAAGGGGAGAAGGCACGACCATGGGGAGGGGCCTTGGTGGGGGCAGGCGCGTAGGCGGGGATTGCGCATGCGGCGGGGGGCGTATGTACTGCTGCTGCTGGGGCGGGAGAGCGTAGTATTGCTGAGGAGCCATTGGGTAGATCTGATGCTGCTGCGGCAGGGAGAACTGAATCTGCTGCGGCTGCTGATGCTGCTGCATGGGACTAATATGCTGCTGTGTGAGAGGGCTCATTACAAAGAAGCTGCCAATGGGGGGCATTTGGGGCGAGTACACTGGAAACCCCATACAAGCAGGCCCATTAACAGCTGCAGGTGAGCTGCCGGGATGCCAAGGAACAATGGACCCACTCCCACCCGCTGTTGCAGTCCCGCTCGTACCACGTCTGTTCCCCGAATCAGCCCCACCTCTTCCCCCGCCTCCGCCTCCTGCATTCACTCCAATTCCCCCAGACTGCTGAGACTTGGTGCGCTTCGCCCCTGGTTCGTCTGACGTCACGCCCTCCTCACGCGCACCTCTCCCACCCGCCTCACTCCCGCCACTCAATTGTGAAGTCGACTCGAAAACCGGCCCCCCCGCTTCACCATGCTCTTGGTGCTTCCCCGAATGTGACTGTGCCGCAGCCTGCACTTGACGCACATTCGCTGCAGGCTGCAGCAGGGGCGCCTGCGCCGACGCGCGCTCTTCGCCTGCGGACCGGGGCGCATTCCGCTCAAAAGCCGCCGAGCGGGGCGATTCGAAAAGCGGGGAAGCGGGAATCGAGAAGGACGGAGAGATTGCATCGCCGCTCCGCGCCCTACGCGGCTGCGGCCGCACCAAGCCAGCGGAGCCCTTCTCTGGGCTGCTTTCCGCGTATCTACCTTCTGCGCCCTCCCTTTCCGTGCCCGTACGCTCCGCGCGCCTACGTTCCGCGCCCGCCGGTAAAAATGACGGCTGCTGCGCGTGCGCGGGGGATTTCAACGCCTCACCTTCTTCTACCGTTAGCCCCGCTCGTTCAGTCTGCGAAGCTCGTGTATTGTCACCATCGCCCCCATCGCCCCCATTACCCTTGTCACCCTTATCACCCGGGTTCGTATCATGCCGATCCTCGCCGTCTTTAGCGCTGCTCGCCGCCGCAACTCTTCCTGATAGCCTGCTTTCTCCCCCGTCCTCTTCTCGCGCGCCCTCCTCCTTCTCCACCACTCCCGATCCGTCCTCACCGGTTCCTTCGTCGTTCGACTCCGCGCCTCCACTGTCGAGATTCGACGACGAACGGCTGTTGCCGCTGGAGTTGGGTACGTCAGAATTCGCAATTTGGGTTGCGCCATCCTCGCTATTGTCCGCACGCGTTGTTTGTTTGTTCTCGAGTTCCAGTACACTCACGCGTTCCGTAAGTGTTGAGCCTAACGAGCCAACCACGAACGACCTCCCTCCCGTGGTAACATCAGCTCGCGACAAACGGTCGCCACGATTCGCAAAATCGCTTTCGCGAGGGAACACCTCGCCCGACGCCCCACCAACGTGCTGCTGAGACTCGTGCCCACGCATTTCCGTGCTGGGAAAATCTGTACCACCACCATTCATCTCCCTCTCGCTGCTGGCACGAACCCCAGCACCAGCTGCACTGACAAATTCTCCAGGCGCCTCCTGCGGAGGTGAAAGCGGTGGAGCAGAGCCGTGCGGGGCATTCGAGTCTGCAGCACCAAGAGCCGCCCTCTCCTGCTCTGACCGCACGTCACGCCGGTCGACAAGCCGACGGCCATCGCACCCCACCGCTCTCCATCTCAACACTGACGGACCCGAACCCGCCGCACGGTCGTCTGCATCACCACCAGACCTCTCGCCCCTCTCGTCCTCGTTCTTGTCGTTCTTCTCAGCATTTTCCGCCTGCTCATTCTTCTCTTCCCCTTCAACATCGGGGTCAGCGTTACCGCCGGCACCAGCATCATATCTGCTGCCAACAACAGCAGCAGCGTTACCGCCAGCACCCGCAGCAGCGGTACCACCGGCGCCAGCGGCGGAGACGGCGCGAATGGCGCGCTGCTCCGCGCCCATAATGAGGCACTGCTGCAGCAGCGACCGCCCGCGCATCCCGCCGTATCTCACTCCGCTACCCGGCGAACCGCTATTAACCAATCGCGCCGATCCCGCCGCCCCACTCTCCCGCCTCGCGCCCGCTAAATCAATCGCCTCGTCCTCCCTCCGCGCAGCCTGACCATTTTCCCGCGCAGCGTCTCCCTCCTCCTCCGCCGTTCCCCGCCTGGCTGCCCGCGGTGAACCGGACTGGGGAGCGGCGGAAACCATGGCGGAAGCGGAAACTGCCGGATTTTCTGCGCTGTCGGCGGTTGGTCCGCCAGGCGCTTGCGGCGGGGCGGATTCTGGGGGGACGGATCCGGGGGGCTCTCCCTTGGAAGGCGACATCCTGGAAGGCTGCTGGTGCGCGCCGGGATCCAGGTACGGTAGGGCTGCTGCTGCCACACACGACCCAACCAACAGACACACGAAACGACGTATGAGTCGAATGAATTGCTTGCCTGCTGCCATACACAACTAACGGAGAAATAAAAACGAGAAAATACCTGAAGAAAAATTAGCTGAAATGCTGACACGTCACAGCACTCACCGCTGTAGCCGCGCACGATCGCCGGAAGCCGCGGCGAGAAGGGCGGGAAGTCGCCGAGCTTGTCGAGCGTGTACTTGGTGCTCGCGGGCGGCGATAGCCACAAATTCGGCTCCGCCATGTCGCCCAGCTCCATCGCACACAGTCGCAGCGGCGACGGCGAGCACAGCGGGATCGGCGAGTGGTACGAGAACCCCAGCCCGCCGCGATTGCTGGGCGACGAGGAAGCTAGTCCGCCTCTAGGCGACGGCGTCGGAAACTCCACTTTCACGTGCAGCGGCAACTGACCGCTCGCGATAGTTTCTCGATAACTCTCCATTGTCGCCGTCGACTGTACGGCATCCTGGGACTCTGGTCCCATGATTGCTGGGGGCGTGGCGGTCTCCGGATTGCCTCGAGCTTCCGCGGGCAATCCCCCCTCCTCGTCTCCGTCGCCTCTCATCGATTCGCTTCTAATTGCAGCGTTTTCGGCGCCGGGGATGGCAATCGTTGAAAAGTCGGGTTTCACCTCGGCGGCGGCGGAGTCGTCTGTGTGGTAACTCTGTTGCAGCCGGTAGACCAGCTGCGGGTCGCCCTCCCATAGCTGCGTGCGGCGGCCTCCTCGGCTCGTTCGCTCGCCTCCCCATCCCATCTGCCCGTGAAACCCGCCGGGAAACCCGCCGGTGGGAGTGCAGATGATAAGATCGTCCCACGAGCCTTCTATCATCTCGTCGCCCGCGTTCCCGCCGAACAGATCCCCGGAAACGCCGCGCACGGTGGCGTTGACTCCGTTGACTCCATCGGTTCCCATAAAGCTTCCCTCAATACCCGTTGCCGCGGACACAGGCGCAGCGAAGGATGACGCGCGGAAGAACGAAACCGGCCCTGCGGGCATCATCCCTCCGCCGTGTCCAGATGCGCCCACAATTTGCGCCCCGCCGACAAGTTGCGCCCCGCCCATAAATTGCGCTCCGCCCATGAATTGCGCTCCGCCCATAAATTGCGGCGCCGCCAAGAAATGCGGCGGCTGGATCCACTGGAGCTGGCCGTCCTCGGAAGCGGCGGGGACGAGCGACACCAGCGCTCCGTCCGGAGCTGGCAAGGGAAAACACGCACAAGGCGAAGGAGACAGGTGATATGATCGAATTAGCTAACAACGGGGGTGTCAATCGGAAACCAGAGGTCCAGTAGTGCCATCTAGGCGAATTTTGATACCGGTTTGGCGGCTGAGATGGCCTTGGCCAGCGGAGGACGAGGTAGGATGGTTCGCGGAAAACGGCCAGGTTGGGTTTGCAGGGTTACCATGTAACGGAAGGGGGGGCTGAATCGGCACTCCAGGAACGGTCGTCAGCCCGGACTGCGTCTGCTGCGGCGGCTGCGTGGCAGGCGTCTGCACGGATTTGACTTCCGCCGTTTGCGGCGTTTGCGCCCCGGCAGGAGTGAGAGGGCTGTTGCTGCTCCGCGTCACCACGTGGTGCTCTTGCGCGCGCCGCACGCCGCTCTCTACGTGGCCACGCGCGGGTGATGCTTTCTCAGGCGAGGATGACGCCTTCGTGCTACGTTGCTTTTCCCCAGTCGTGGCGACGTTCCCAAAATTCTCCTCACCACCCATCTTATCGTTCATCCCTTCTTGATCACGCCCCTGATTGTTCTCCCCATCCTCCTCCGCGACGTTTAGAGCCTGCAAATCCTTCTCAAAGTCGCCGTGCTCTGAGTCAAACTCATTTCTTTCTCCCTCGCCACCTTCCCGCAGCATAGCCGCTTCCACTCCTGGAGGTGTCATTGCTTCAGTGCCGCCTCCAGCCGTTGGTTTAGCTGTCGGGGTCTCATCCGTTTCATTCGCCCGTTCATCTGCACGCTCAGCACCATCATTCCCTGACTCGGGCTCAGCAACAGCCCGTTCAACTGTCCTCTCAGAATCGTCGTCAATCTCTTCCGACGAAGTCGAGCGGAATCCGAGCTCCATGAGTGCCTCCGCTGCAGTCGACGCGTGCTCCTGAACTTGGGTGTGCGGCACGGACGCGTCCATTACATGGAGGACCCCTGTCACAGACATACTCGCTGTTCTCAGAAAGGCAAGCGACTATAGAACCTTGAGTCTTCACAGAATCCTTCAATGCACGGTAAAATGAGAGAATGATTCAAAGGCGCGAGAAAATTAAGTAGAGACCAAATTGCAAATCTCCAAAGAATGCTCAAAGGCGCGAGAAATCTACCTCAGCGGTAAGATCCAGAGGATGCCAACCAAAGAACCTTATCCTCCGATATCCACGGCTGTTAGAAGAGGCTCAAGACCGATAAGCAGTGGCCTTTACGATCTCCTTTCCGTAGAGATCCCTGCTGTGCTCCCCTCGATCACGCCGAGATCTGACTCGAGATCGGACTTGTCGAAAAAGAGGCAACCAAGAGACGTCAAGTGAGGAAGAGAAGAGAAAGTAGACTGACGCGCATTGGGAATGACAAACTTCACGAGGAGCACGTGACAGTAGGAGACGTCAGAAACAAGTCTCTGGAAAAGTGCGGAACCCGAGGCTGGTTTGGGCCTACTATGAGTGGTCCTGTGGGGGCCCTGGGTCGACTATTCAGGCTTAGAGAGCAGCAGCAGGAAGGAGCCTCTTTTTGTCAGGATGAGCATCGAGAATAGTGCGGCTTGGGAGCTAGGGATAAGGTGATGTGAGGAGAACCGTGAGAGAGACGCCTGTAATTGAATTCCCCATGGCCCGCCTGTGTCATTTTCGAGGCGCCATGGGGACCTGCTGCTTCGAGAATGCCGTAGCGCCAGGTCTTGAGAGCTGAAGCTTGGGACCACCCGAGCCGCCATGGAAAGGTTCGGCCTTGCCAGGCTTGACACGCAGGAAATAGCAGACTGACACGTGGAAAGCTGCAAATTTCATGGGATTTGCGCTTCCTCTACTTTAAACTCTTTGAATGATATATAATAGGCGTTGATGTTGAATTGGTACAAGCACAATGAGGATGTAATTACAGCCTAAATACAAATCAGTCCTTTCCTAAGTGTGCTCACTCAATACGAACTACATGTTCCTGTATCATAAATATATATTGAAGAAAATACGGGCGTGTAATCATCATTGGTCTTATCGCCCCGTTCAATGTTATCGGGGGCTGATATCTGGGGTGATAAGGTATGAGGGAGGTGTACAATTATTGATTGGAAGCATTTCCACTTACTAATCCTAAACTCGCAGACTTGCCTTCCTCAACTGGTCGTTCTTATAGAGCGTGGGACACAAGTGTAAGGACAAGCGCCATGTCACCTCATTTTTAGCGAATGATACTCGAGGAATTTGCCACGTGATACAGGCTGCTAGAAAACGGACCAATCCCTCACCGTCTCGAAAATTGTTTTCCTGAAGCCACACTGATCCTTTCACAGTCAGAAAGACCCGCTCCAGGTTTGTGATTCTTTTGTTCTGGCTTGGTGTGAACGAGCCCTAGCCTCGGGATCAGTCCGTCACACCTTGAATTGGCTCGTCTGCTCCACCCTCAGTTGATATTCCCAAAAGCTAATTGAAGCTGGCTCGAGCAGGTCTTTAGTGGGTCGCTGCGCTCTTTGCTCCGTCTTTGTCCGCCGCTTCGCTCCTCAGCATAACGTCCTTCGCCTGATCGTATCTCCCGTCCCACCGCACATCCCTTCCCACCGTCCGATCTCCTACCATCCGATCAACGCGTCCTTGCACGCGCACAATCGATATCATCGATCTCGCCCATCTCGCATCTTTTTCCGATCCACTCACTCCTCGCCACCCACAATGGCATCTCTCGTCTCGCGTATCGCGTCGCGGTCCAGATCACACGCCGCGAGGGCCGCGCTTAACGCGTTCAACCTGCAGCCGACTCGAAACGTCACGTACATGCCCAAGCCGGGCGAGGGCGCGACGCGCACTGTTACGCTGCTCCCGGGAGACGGAGCCGGACCGCTGTGCACGAACGCGGTGGAGCAAGTGTTTAAAGCCATCCACGCGCCCGTGGTGTTCGAGACGTACGATCTCAAGGGCACCATGCCCACCGTGCCCAATGAGGTCCTCGACTCGCTCCGCCGAAACAAGGTCAGACTTTTGTTTGAGAAAAAAACAAACAAACAAACAAACAAAATCACATGTCCTCGCATTCCCAGCTTCAATCCCAATAACCTGTGTTCCCGATTCACATACCATCCCCATCTCGCGACTTGTCATGAAATGGCAGTCGGTAAGCGCTTAATGTCTTCTTTCTGTTATTTCATGGGAACGGCCGATCGCCACTTTCGGTGCAGGTGGGGATCAAGGGAGGCGTGCGAACGGCCGTCGCAGGCGGAGTCAGCTCGCTGACGGTGCAGCTGCGAAAGGAGTTCGATCTTTTCGCGCATCTCGCCTACTGCAGTAACTTCCCGGGGCTGAAGACGCGGCACGACAACGTGAACATCGTGGTGATCCGCGAGAACACGGAGGGCGAGTACAGCGGGCTCGAGCACGAGGTCACCCCCGGGGTCGTCGAGAGCCTCAAGGTATGGCACGCGAGGGGACTCTGAGTCAACTCAAAAGTGACCCGCGAGAACACGGAGTGCGAGTACAGCGAACTCGAGCACGAAGTCACCCCCGGGGTTGTCGAGAGCCTCAAGGTATGCCACGTGGCGCTGAAGCGGCTCAGATTATGCGTGCACAAGGCAAACATTCTGAAGTTCGCCGACGGCCAGTCCCTCCTCCCTTTCGTGCCGCCTCTCTCCTCCTCCTTCCCCTCCCGCCTGCTCTCTCCCCCTCGCTCATTCCGCATAGCCCCTCCCCCCTTCCACCTTCCCCCTTACCTCCTCCGGGGTTCCGCCCAGGTGATTACCAAGTTCTGCTCGGAACGCATCGCGAAATACGCGTTCGAGTACGCGTATCTGAACAACCGCAAGACGGTGACGGCGGTGCACAAGGCGAACATCATGAAGCTCGCGGACGGGCAGTTCCTGGAGTCGTGCCGCGAGGTGTCCAAGGCGTACCCGCAGATCAACTACAACGAAGTTATTATTGATAACTGCTGCATGCAGCTCGTTTCCAAGCCCGAACAGTTCGATGTCATGGTGGGTTGGTGGGTTGAAAAGATGAGGTGGTGGAAGGGTGGTGCGTGGGGAAGGGGACTGCAGTGGTGTAGGTGCAGGGGAATGGGGTGGTGTGTACAATGCAGTGGGTGAGTGTCCAAGGCGTACCCGCAGTTCAACTACAACGAGGTCATCATCGACAACTGCTGCATGCAGCTCGTCTCCAAGCCCGAACAGTTTGACGTCATGGTGGGTGCAAGGGAATGGGGGGAGAGATGATGTGGAGGGGGGGAGACTGAGGTGCTGTGTACAATGGAGTGGGTGCAGGGGGGTTGGCTACTGCTGCGTGCAGCTCGCGTTCAAACCGGAGCATGGTTTGGACTTTGACGTGATGGTGCGTGGGGGAAAGGAGGAGGGGGTTGGTGCGTTGGGTGTTTCGGGCAAGTGAAGCAGCGGGAATGAGGTGGTGTGGACGTAGTAATGGGTGCAGGGGGGATGTTAACTGCTGCATGCAGCCCCAGCAGTTGGACTTTATGCTGCGTGCGGGGAGCAAGGGGACAAGCACTGCATGCAGCAGAGGAGGGGGGCAGGCAGGAGGTGCACAGGGGGGACGGACGAGTGCTGAGGGAAATAAGCCCAGGGACAGCCGAGCATGGCGTATTGGTCATGTGTGCAGGGGCGGCAGGGGAGGAGAAGAGGGGGGAAGAAACAGGGAGGGGAGCGGGGGCTACAAGGTGGGCGGCGAGGTGGCAGAGCGGAGAGTGAGGGCTCAGAGTGGCACGTGGAGCTGGCTTGGAGTACTGAATGGATGACTAAATGACCCGTGAACTTAAGCTTATGCCAAACAGTCAGTGGTCGAGTCCAGGTGGGATAGGGAGTGGGTTGAGGAGGGGGTGGGGGGGACCATGAGGATATGGGCAACACAGGGGCTGCATGGCAAGCCGAGAAACTGGGGCCATAGTGGCCTTCAAGGGTGGTTGAGTGTGGCCGATTCTTGGTGGAGTGTCTGGGGGCTTCGAAACTGGCCATTTGCTGGGGGCATTTAATTGAGTGTGTGGGGACAAAGAGGGCACATTTGATCGTTGCCGAGTGCTGGGAGAGAAAGGGTGGTCAGGAAGGGGAGGGTGGGGGAAACAGGGGAGTGAAACGGAAGGGAGGGGGGGGGAGAGGTTTGTGAAATTTGATTCGTTCTGTTTGTCTGGATTGGTTCGGAGCGTATGGGGACGTCATAGTCTGAACATCCATGCTCTCTCATCGTTGTGTGCTCTCCTATCAGTGACTCCGCTCATCTCGTTGCTCTTGCCGTTCCCTTCCACTCCCACACGACCTGCCTTGCATTGCCCCTCCCCATCCAGGTGACTCCCAATCTCTATGGCACGCTCATCTCAAACACAGCTGCAGGCATCGCTGGGGGCACCACTGTCATGCCCGGAGGTATGCTTGCTGCTCAAGTCTCGTTCTCGCTGCCATTGCTCCACAGTACGAGTGTGGTGTGGACTCGTTTGTAAATATGAACGCTTCCTGCTGGCCCTTCACGTCTTGACACCGCCTCATGAAACTCTCATGAAACTGGTACTTAAAGCTAGTTTCCTTTTCCTTGTTACCTTGTGCTTCTGGGATTCTTCCAACAGGGAATGTGGGCTATGAGCATGCCATCTTCGAGCAAGGGGCATCGGCAGGCAACGTGGGGAACGACATCATCAACGCGCAGAAGAAGGCGAATCCAACGGCTCTCCTTCTCTCGGCAGCCATGATGCTGCGGCATCTGCAGTTCCCGTCATTCGCCGACCGGTTGGAGCATGCGATCTACGGAGTGATTGCTGAGGGACTCGTGCGCCCGCCTGCTATGGGAGGGGATTCGACCACGCAAGAATATGTCGATGCGATTATTGCCAAGCTAGATTGAACTGTTGTAGATGATAATACTCTATGTGAAGCTACAGCCTCTTCTAATTAAGAAAGATTCTCCGCCTCCAATGAGAGTGTAATTACTCAAACTACACTGTCTACTTTGTTTGTGTTTGTCTCAACCGTAATACGAAACTTTCCTTGTCTGTAGGGTGTCAGTAATCGAGTGCGTCAATATCGACCTCGGTTTCCTCACCGCGTTGCCTGCACCTTTCTACCTTCATCTCGCCACGGAAATGCATTTCGTTCGCCATTCACCTCTGATACTGGAATCTCCCGATCCTGCTCCTTCGTTTCTAAGGTCGATCGGAAATCTGTTAGAATTTGCTCCCAACACGGCGTCGTAGTCGCCTTGTGATCGCAGTCGTGTCGCCATGAGCAGCATCGGAACTGGGGTGAGGGGCTAGCAGCAAGTGCTCTTGCATTAGCTCGTTTTAGTTCGCGATTGCCGGCATACAGTCAGCCTGATCTCCTCTTCGTGGAATTCTAGACTTGATCTCGCTGATTCTGCGTGGATGGCGACGTGTTAGCCTCGCTTCTGATGTCATAGCCTGGATTTGTTTGTCGACGGCGTCTAGATTCAGTCACTTGAAGTTAGAGAGCTTTTGGCGAAACGGCAGTAGGAGTAGGTAAAACCGTGAAGACGGCTTACGAGGAGCTTCTCCCTTGGGATTGCCGATTTTCATTGCCTCCCCTTCCGTGTCTCCTGCTTTGTCGTCTTGTTTGAATCCCGTACAGTACGATTTGTCCGTCACAACCTATTCGCCTGATGGCCGAATCTTTCAGATCGAGTACGCTGGAAAGGCGGTTGACAATAGCGGGTACGTCACTCTGAATCAACAGGTCATCCTTGCTTGCCGTGTTTCCTCATTCCCCCGTTCTCTCCTTTTCGTCTCTGTTCTCCTCACTTCCTTCTCTCCCCCCTCCTCCACTCTCCCCCTATCTCCTTCCCCTCATGCTTTCCCTAATTTCTCTATTTATCAACATTCGCTTTCCTCCCTGCATAATTTCCCTCCACCATCGACGATTTCCTTCCTTTCTTCCTGGTTTCCCTCCTCCCTCCCCCGTCTCCCCTCCTCCTCTCTCCCGCGTTCCCCTCTGGCAGCACGGCTGTGGGTCTCAGGTGCAAGGACGGCGTTGTGATGGTGAGCCTTATAACGGTGTTAGTCTAATAACGGTGTCAGTTTTGTGACGGGATGAGCTTTATATGAAGGGGTGATAATTACAAGTTATAACGGGGTGAGTCTTACAACGAAGGGGTCACAGTTGGGACTCGTAACCGGTGAAGGTCATGACGGGGTCTGGGGTGCGAGAATGTTGTGTGCAGGTAGCGATTGATTTGCCGCAACACCCGAGTTTTGGGGTAATTCATTCCTTGTACCCTCTTCTACGATCACACCAGGGCGTGGCGTGGTGAGACTGTTAGTGTGGCTTTTGAGAATTCTCAAAGGTGCACGTGCAGGTGCAGGTGCAGGGCAGCAATCGACGCACTTGATGCCTCTCTGCCTCCCTCGCACTGCCACGGTGTTGCCTTGCTTCCGTTTTCTTTCCCTCGCACACCTACTGGGCGTGGAGAAGCTGCTGATGTCCAAGATGCAGGTGCAGGGCAGCAGCCGACGCATCCGCATAGTGGACAAGCACGCTGCCATCCAACACACTGCATGGTTTTTTAGAATTCTCAAAATCCACATAGTGGACTTTTGAGTCGACTCAAAAGTCGCATCCACATAGGACAAGCACGCTGCCATCCAACACACTACATGCCTCCGCTCCCACCCCTCAGCCCCTTGCACTGCCCCGGTCTTGCGTTGCCCAAAGCCCACACACCTCCCAGGGCGTGGAGAGGCTACTGGTATCCAAGGCGCAGGTGCAGGGCAGCAATTAACACACTTCATGCCTCCTCTCCCACCTTTCTGCCCCCCCTCGCATTGCCACACTCCAACCAATCAGGGTGTGGAGAAGCTGCTGGTATCGAAGATGCAGGTGCAGGGCAGCAACCGGCGAATCCACATAGTGGACAAGCACGCTGGCATCGCTGTGGCAGGGCTCGTGGCGGATGGCCGCCAGGTGGTCAACCGCGCCCGCAACGAGGCTGTCAACTACAAGAGGTATGGATGCGTGCAAGGGGTGCATGCAAGGGGTGCAGCATGGGTGTGGGATGGGTGTGGCAGCACTCGGGCACTGCTGTGGCGGATGGCCGCCAGGTGGTCAACTGCGCGCGCAACGAGGCTGTCAACTACAAGAGGTAAGGCATGCTGCTCCTTTCCACTTCCCTGCACCATGCGTGCAAGGCGTGTGTAGGCATGGGTGCATCATGAATGCAGCATGCATGCGTCATGTGTGCATCCTGCATGCAAGGCATGCTGCCCTTTACAATTTCCATGCATGCTTCCACTTGAGAGTTTTGCGACGTTCCAAAAGTCAAACCATATCTCCCCTTGCTTCCCCCCCACTTCCCCGCCCGCCTCCCCCCCCCCCTCCTTTCACTCCCCCAATCCCTCAGTTTTTTCGCGCACATGATTCCACTCAAGGTGCTGGCAGACTGCATGGCGAGCTTTGCGGTTTACTTGAATCACCACGTCATCATGCTCTATTGTTGACAACCCTCTACCCCTCCCTCCGCCCCCCCTTCTTTCCCTCCAGTTTCTTTGCGCATATGATCCCACTCAAGGTGCTGGCAGATCGCATGGCAAGCTACGCGCACTACTTCACGCTCTACTGGTGGACGCGCCCCCTCGGCTCCTCCGTGCTGCTTGCTGGTTATGACCGCGACGGGCCGCAGCTCTACTGCATTGAGCCCTCAGGCGTCACTTATGTAAGCGCCAGATAGTGCCTGAGCTGTTACTTATGTAAGCAAGCGTTGAGGCGCGTTAATACGTTCTTCCTTAGTTCTTCCGTGCTGCTTGCTGGCTATGACCTGGACGGCCCTCAGCTCTACTGCATCGAACCCTCGGGCGTCACTTATGTAAGCGCCAGCTAAGATGGTGCTTATTTCGTGCTTGCTTCTTGTCTCACACCCTTTCGCGTCCGCCCGTTCCATTGTGCCACCATGCAACCAACTACGATGATGTCAACTGTCTCGCCCTTTCCTCCCTCCCCCCGCAACCCTTCCACACACATGGGGTCATGACTGCAGCGGTATCACGGCACTGCAGTGGGCAAGGGAAGGCAAGCTGCAAAGACGTGAGCCCCCTCCCCTTCCCCTTCCCCTTCCCCTCCTCCCCGCATGACCCCCTTTCGCTCCTCCTTTTCTTCCTTTTCTGTTTCGCCCTGCACACATGGTTTCCACCATGCTTCTGTTTCTGTGCACTCACATGCATGTCTCTTGTTTCCAGCTCTCTCCTATTTCATTCACCCGTCTTCCGGCTCCCCTCCCCATTTCCTGCCGCGTCCTTCTTGACGCCCTACTCCCCATATGCTTGACGCCCTTCTCCCCATATGCTTGACGCCCTTCTCCCCATGTGCTTGACGCCCTTCTCCCCATATGCTTGACGCCCTTCTCCCCATATGCTTGACGCCCTTCTCCCCATATGCTTGACGCCCTTCTCCCCATATGCTTGACGCCCTTCTCCCCATATGCTTGACGCCCTTCTCCCCATATGCTTGCTGCCCTGGTATGACCCCTTGGCAGCGAGATAGAGAAGCTGAAGCTATCCGAGATGACGTGTCGAGAGGGGGTGAACGCTGTTGCCAAGATGTGAGCATCTCACACACACACACGCACGCACGCACATGTGTACATGCACACACGCACACACACGCGCACACACACACACACACACACACACACACACACACACACTTTCACTTGCTAACCCCCTCCTTTCCATCCCCTTTACAAGCAGCATCGTTGGAGTGCATGACGAGGCCAAGGACAAGGCGTTTGAGCTGGAGATGGGGTGGTGCTGCGAGGAGTCCAACCGGCAATTCCAGAGAGTACGATCCCTGCAACCCTGCTTTGCAGCACACTTCCGGCCTGCCTTCCCCTGTTGCTCGCATGCTCCTGGGACTTTTGAGTCGACTCAAAAGTCACCTCGACCCAACAACCCTGCTTTGCAGCACAACTGTAGTCTGTCTTCCCTTGCTGCTCGCATGCTCCTGCCTTGCCTGTCCACAGCGTAGCACATGTGTCTCACGTTCATGTCCCCTTCCGCACCCATCTCGCATTGGTCTTGTTTTCTTGCAATGTTCCACAACAGGTCCCGGATGACATAGTGAAAGCAGCGAGGGATGCAGCAGAGGCAGCCATGGATGAGGACATGGATGACTGAGGTGCTGCTCAGTGCTCACAGAAAGGACCAGGCTGCAAGGGGGGCTGCATGGCCTTTAATGGGAGGTTGCAATGGGGTTGCAATGTATGACTGAGGGTGCTCAGTGCTTACAGAAAGTTGGTGTTGTTGGGTTTTGAGATTTTTCAACCAACCTGTAAGGGATGCTGCAGAGGTTGCAATGGGTGAAGACGTGGACGACTGAGGTGCTACTGGGCCATGGGGTGGGCTGGAGTTATGATATTTCATTGATTAGCTAGCCATGACTGCCACTCACGACTGTACAGATTGTGCTAGTGAGACTTGTGGCTGCGGTCACAGTAGCAGCTCACCGCTACATCAGAAATGGAATAATATTCTACTGTGCTCATGCCAGTGCCTGCATGCCTGCAGTGCAAGAGGGGTTTGCGTAGAGTGAGCATGGAGGCGGGCATGGAAGCAAGTCAGTGCCACCACCTCTGCAGCCAGGCGACAGGACCGTATCGCAGCAAGCAAAGGATAGTTGCAGGGAGGCACGGGCACGGACATAGCATCACAGCATCACAGCATCACAGCCAGCCGCGTTGCAGGCAATGCACTCTGGCCAGTGCTGCCATGTAATCCCCTGACCTGGCATGTCAGAGGAATGATGAGGTGAGAAGGTAAGGAGGTGAAGAGACGAATGGGAGAAGCGGAAAAGAGAAGGAAGAGAAGTGAGCAGGAAAGGAGGACCCGGAGGCAATTAAAGGGAGACACGGGCATTAGGGCCGGTCTCACGGCTAGTGTGTTCTCACGTAAAGAAATAAAAAACAAGCGAAAGAAGAAAACCCTGTTTACCTGAGCCCATAAGGGGATTGTGCAGCCTCGAGAATGTAACGCCTGCTCTGATCCTGGTCGCCCTGCAGCCCAGCATATTACAGGGGGCGCGAAAGCAATGTCGTGCGAATGAGTGCGATGCAGCAGGTGTGTGTATGCTATGCATGGAACAGTGTGTGGTCTAGTTTGAGATTTTACACCCCCAACGATCCCACGTCCCTCTCTCACCCCTCTACCCTGTATCGAGGGGACTCAAGCTGGTTTCAACTCGCTTCCATGGAACAGCGTAAGCATGCGCATGTGTGTGTGTGTGTGTGTGTGTGTGTGTGTGTGTATTCGTGTGTGTGCTACTGACATCTCAAGAGGGTCTCACCTCGCTCTCATGGAACAGACCAACATAGAGATTTGCATAGAACAGTGCAGATGGCCGCCCAAAGTCAGCCGCCGCTGCTGCCAGGATCTGAACATGCAGACAAAAGGGAGGCACGGGAGGAAGTAAGGGGACAGGCGTAAGGATGAGGCTTGGAGAGGAGGCTGGGGAAGGAGGCTAGGGGAATCACACAGTGGGGGCAGACTCGGTTAATGAATAAAGTTTCTGAGATGATCTGAGAGGCCTTACACGGCAGCTGGGAAAATAGGCCGTGAGTTTTGTATCCTCGTTATAGCCTACCTTCTTAGGGTCACCGCCCGTCTGAAAGACGTCCATGGCAGCGCGCATGACAGGCCGAGGGTCCTGCCCCACGAGCAGAAACTGCTGCCTCGCCTGCTGTGCGCCCACCACGCGCGCCTCACTCAAGAAACACCAGATGGCCTGCCACGCACGCAGCACAGGGGGCAAAGAGGAAACGTGGAGTGAGAATAGTTTTGAGCAGAAATGACATGCCGCAGAGGGCAGAGAAAGGGAGGTAAAGGAGAAAAGGGGAATAACGCTCTCTCTGCCTGTCTGGAAGGTGGCTCTCATTTGGAGCATATACAGTGAGCCTATGCCTGTAAAGGCCAAATGGAACATGAGTCACCGCACTGCACCTCACAACACCGCATCTCACCTGACCTCACTCTCACCACACCACAATGCACCGCACCTCCTCTGTGTCGTTGGGGTTCACCGCCACGTCCTTGCGAAACTGCTCCGCTGCTTCCTGGAATTTTCCAAGGTAGTAGAGTGAAAGGCCTCGCTGCCAAAGGTCTGATGGGGGAGAGAGGGAAGGTGCGGAGGAGGGGAGAGAGGGCAGGTAAGGAGGTGAGGGAGAGAAAGAAAGTAAGAGCCTGTAGAGGGGAAGGTGCGGAGTAGAGGGAGGGCAGGCAGGAGCAGGTCTATACAGGAGCAAAAAGATTTGGTAAGAGGAATGAGCAGGACGGGTGACTGGGACACGCATGGAGGGAGGAGAAGGATGAGCGAAGCAGAGAGGGAGAAGCAAGAAAGGGTACGTCCAGCTGTAGTGCTTCCTGCTACAGCCGGCACAGCACTCACAGCTGTAGCGCTCGGTCAAACTCCGCATCGGAGCGGCGCCTCAAACGGCAATCACAAGGCACTCAGACGCCTCAAACGGCAATCACAAGGCACTCAGACGCCTCAAACGGCAATCACAAGGCACTCAGACGCCTCAAACGGCAATCACAAGGCACTCAGACGCCTCAAACGGCAATCACAAGGCACTCAGACGCCTCAAACGGCAATCACAAGGCACTCAGACGCCTCAAACGGCAATCACAAGGCACTCAGAAGCCTCAAACGGCAATCACAAGGCACTCAGACGCCTCAAACGGCAATCACAAGGCACTCAGACGCCTCAAACGGCAATCACAAGGCACTCAGACGCCTCAAACGGCAATCACAAGGCACTCAGACGCCTCAAACGGCAATCACAAGGCACTCAGACGCCTCAAACGGCAATCACAAGGCACTCAGACGCCTCAAACGGCAATCACAAGGCACTCAGACGCCTCAAACGGCAATCACAAGGCACTCAGACGCCTCAAACGGCAATCACAAGGCACTCAGACGCCTCAAACGGCAATCACAAGGCACTCAGACGCCTCAAACGGCAATCACAAGGCACTCAGACGCCTCAAACGGCAATCACAAGGCACTCAGACGCCTCAAACGGCAATCACAAGGCACTCAGACGCCTCAAACGGCAATCACAAGGCACTCAGACGCCTCAAACGGCAATCACAAGGCGCTCAGACGCCTCAAACGGCAATCACAAGGCACTCAGACGCCTCAAACGGCAATTACAAAACACTCAGACGCCTCAAACGGCAATCACAAGGCACTCAGACGCCTCAAACGGCAATCACAAGGCGCTCAGACGCCTCAAACGGCAATCACAAGGCACTCAGACGCCTCAACAGGCACTCACATGGCTCCTGCGAGGGGTCCAGCTGTAGCGCTCTGTCAAACTCCACAACCGAGCCTTGCACGTCGTTCTGGTGGTGATGGCACGCCAGGTGTGGGGCATGGGGCGTGGGGGGCATGGAGCATGGGGCATGGGGAATAGTGTATCAGTCATGGCGCATTGGCGGGTGGGTTATGGTGATGACACGGCACGAGGCATGAGCCTTGCCCATCGCACTGCTACTCTAGGGGTGTTAGGGACCTCTCTCCCGCCCTAGGGGTGTTAGAGACCTCTCTCCCGCCCTCCCTCCGCCAGAGTCCACTCTCTCGCCCCTCCGATAATCTACCTCCACAAATAGCTCCATGCCACGTCGGACGGCCGCCCTCGCCGCCTCTCGATTTCCGCCGAATCCGCCCGCCATCGCGATGGTTGCCGCTCCGCCGATTGCGGCAGCAGCCACAGCTGCTAGAGACGCGCCGGGAGATTCTCCCCATTCGAGCATTCCGCCATTTGCGAGAATGTTTCGTTTACGTCGACTGCATGTGAAGCTATTACCGCCGAGAAGGTCTACATTGCTCGCTGGTCTGTTTTGCCATTTGCGGAGTGATTTTTCCCTCGAGAACTCTGACAATGCGCGGCAGATTTCTGTGGGAGGTTTCGTACTTTGATTGAATGCTTGAATTTCCATCGTGGCGGGAAACACGGCGCACATTGTGGCCATTGTCCTCGTTACAAGGTCGGCGTATTCGCAACGAACCAGCGATAGATTAGAGTATCCCTGATTGGAATCTGGTTCTGCTAGGGCGCAAATTTGCAGTTGTGGCTGTGTCCCCATACCCGTTTGGAGCTACTTCATCACAAAGTGAAAACGGGCCAAAGTATGTGTAAGCGCCTCATATGATTCAGTGAGCGTCAGAAATGTTTCCAGATTCGGAATATTTCGGTGGAAGTTGACCTGTGGTTTGTGTGCTGCTTGCGGGCAGAAACGCCAAATCTGAGTCGTCGAGGTAAGAAATGTAAACGGATCTGACGTCTATTATGACGACTTTCATAATCGGGCAGCCAACACACAGTCCAGCCATCACACACAACCAAAACGTGGCCCTTCGGGGTTCCTTCCGAAGCACCGCACAACCGACTATCTGGGTAGGGCGCGCTTCGCTGAGCCCCACTTCAGGCCAATCATGCATTTTTGTCGTGAGAAGGTAAGGCAGAAAGCCGCACCGCTAACGCTTGTGAAGGTTGGGCTGGGCCAGCAAACCAGACACTCACAGAACCAGATTGCACCAATAGGAGACGCGGTAACGCCCAACAAAGCGCACTCCTAGGTTTGGTGTCAGGTGCCCAAAGCCATCTGGCACGGTTTCGGGCGAGCCGAGCCTACGAGCAGGTCAACGCAGCGCAGCCAGCAAATCCAAGGCAAGTGCAGCTTTTCGTGCAGAAGAGGCGCAGTTACAGCATGCGCAGAGGGGCGCTTTCGTTTGGTGGTTACACCACCACCACCACCACTCTTTCCGAACCAGCGAGACGTGGTGGTTGCAGGAGGGGGATGGGAGGAGGGTGTGGGAAAGGGTTGCTCTGCTCGCGCTGAAATGCTATGTCCCTCCTGCCTTTCGGCGGTTGCTCTTTTCCAAAATGCGACACCTGTTTGTTCAGACCCATCCTCAATTTGAAGTCGGACGTGTCTTTTCCCCGAGATAGACAACAGCTTTAGATGGTTCACTAGGTCGCAAGTCAACTCGCCGCACGTCTGCGTTTGTTGTCGCGCGTCCGTTCCTGAATAATTGAGGCGAAGTTATAAGCAGCTTTTTAGCAGTCGTCCCGTCACCGTAGCTGGTAATGGTGTCTCCGCGAGAACAGGCCGGGTTCTCCCGGCGACTCGGAAGCGGCGCGGTCCTCCTGGCGGCCACAGTGGCGCTCCTCCTCTTGCCGTGTGCCGATGCCGCGCAGAAAGATACCTGGTCTCCGCGGACCTTCACGGCCGATCCTTTCCCCGTGCCTCCGCCAGACTGGCAAAACCTCCCCTTCCTGCGCCGCCAAGAGAGCGCTCGCCGCAGGCTTTTGAGCGGTGGTGGCGTGTCACGTCCTCATTGGATGCCTCCTAGCGAGTACACCCTTCCCTGGATGCTGGGGAATCGGAAGCCTCTCATTCCAACAGACCCATCGGATGGGGAAGCTGACGTGGCAGAGGCGGCGGCCACGTCACCCGGAAATGACGGGTGGCTTGGGGCTAACGGTGCAGGTGTTGCCTCTGCCGCTGCTGCTGGCGGTTCGGCGGGCGCGGGAGCAAGGGGGGGGCCGAGATACTCACTGGCGCAGCGAAAAGGCGTGTGCTCCCCGGTTACTCCCGCGAGTCCGCGCATCGTGGTTACCACCGAGGCTGACTTCGTGAAGCGCCTCAAGTATCCGCGAAAAACGACGGTTCTGATGACGCTAAAAGCGGACATAATGCTAAAGAAAGGCCTCGCTTTTGGCCCCTACTACTCGTGCACGATCCTGCAAGCGGACGTCACGGGCAACCGTACGATCTCGTTAGCCGGAGCCGATCAGCCAATCCTCCGAATCGTCGAGACTTTTAACGTGATTGTATGGGGAATCAACTTCTGGATGGGCGTTCTTCCAACTTCCCCTGCTTGCAAGGGGATACCGGAGCTCGGAGCGGGGGCGGTTTGCCCTACAATTCACGTGTACAAATCCTTCGGCATCCAAATTGCACAGGGTTACCTGTGGGGGCGATTGGACTTGTATCGCACGATGAATTCGCTAGTCGACGGGATGGCGATCACGGGCGAGTTCCCGTTCGCCAAAAGCCCGGGTTCCATCCGCGTCGCATTCAGCGGGGTCGGCACCCGGGCGATCAAGTCGGGCATCGTGCTTTCAAATAACGACATTTACGGTGAGTCGCCGGCCGTGCCTGCCACGTGCCCCTTCACACGCGTTGCCTCCTTCTGTAATATCGCCTCTTCATCTCCCTTTCCTCGCTCTTCTCCGATCCCTGAGGAGCCACAGCGTGGCAGCTTATACGCGCGCGCATGCGCATGCCCATTCTCCCTCCTAATCTTGCTCTCCTAACTCCACGTTCCCCCGCCGTTTGTGCGTTCTTCGCTCCCTCCCCTCCCCTTCCCTCCTCCTCCCTCCTCTCCCCTCCATTTCCATCTCCAATTTCATCCCCTCACCCGTTACCCCGTACCCCCATTCCCCGTGTTTCTGTTGCAGTCGTCAACACGCCCGTCTACTTGACCAACGGTGCCGTCGGCGTGCAGGTAACGTCTGACGGCTAGCAGTCAAATCTTACCACCTTACACTTGAATACAGTCACTATGATACCATGTGCTTTTTATTTCTCTCGTTATTACCGCACCATGCACAAGTGTCGTCTTCCCTCCCTCCCTCCCCTCCCCCTCTCTTATCCCCCCCTTCGGCCCACTTTCGTGCTCCAATTCAAGTGTCCTGGACTTGGCGCCTCACCACCTCTCTTCCACTCCTCTCCACTCCTCACCGCTCCTCGCCACCCCTCGCCACCCCTGTGCAGGTCGTGAACAACTTCTTGCACCAGTACACGGGGAGCGGCGTGCAGTGCGGGACGCACGTGAACAACGCGGGGAGCTGCATGATGACGTTTATCGGGCGCAACTGGTTCTTCCCCAACGTCACCATCACCGCCAAGACCGACATCTCGAATATCCGCTTCACCACGCACTGGATCAGCCCCGGTGCGCGCACTCGCCCCCCTGTACCCACCAGAGTGACTCGTCTCTCTCCCTCTCTCTCGCGCACAAGGCTCGGGTTGCACGCCTTCGCACGCACCGTCACATGCACATGCCATATCGGTTGGCCGCTTTCAACATTAGCTGCGTGATGACGTTCATAGGCCGCAACTGGTTCTTATTCCCCAAAGTCACCGTCACCGCCAAGACCGCCATCGCCAACATCCGCTTCCCTGTGATTCTCTGAATACACCGCATGCTCGCACCCATACCCACCCCTCTTGCTCACCTCAGCCCCTACTTGCTCCCCCCACCCCGCTTGTTCCCATCAGGCAATGCGGCGTCATGCAACTACATGCTGGGTGGCAACAGCTGCTTCAACCTAGAGGCTGACACCACCGGTGTTGTCGTCCTGGGGGGCGCGTGCATGGGTGCTTTTAACGGGGTCAACATTGAGAATGGCAAAGAGTACGTTTTTTGTTGTTTGTATATTGGTTGCGTCTTCAGCTCTAAGAATGGTCGATTGAAAATATCGCTGGACAGACTTTCTCGTGTTTGTTTCAAACTTTTTTCCTCCTTTTTTATGCATTGACTATTCTTTTTTTTTACAAAAACAGGAACCGGATACAGTACGTTTGGGTGAAGGACTACACTGCCGTCCCGGGGTCAGCGACGTGTCCCACAGTCACAACCATCAACTGCAACACGCCCACGGGCAAGCTGTGGGAGAGCAAGCGGATCAAGTACTACAACTCCCCGATCATTAACAAGGTACTTGCCATGAATAGTTCTTAGTATCCTCAACCACATACCCTGTGCAGTTGTTGATACCCTGTTTCTTGCATATGTAGCCCGAGAGCTTCCCCTTCTCACTTGTGTCTCCCCCCCCTTCCCCTCGTCTTCCACACCCTTGCGAACCATCACTTCCAGCGCTGGCCCTTCCTGAGCAACATCTGCAAGGACGCAAGCATTGGCACGGTGCCCTGCAATGTCCCCACAGCCGGGTCCCTCAACGCACGGCAAACCGGCAAGTGCAGCGGCCTCCCGACCAGTAACATCCTTGATCTCGCCCTGCTGGACGGCAGCAAATTCCCGCTGAGCTTTCAGGGCTGCGAAAAGACCCCTTCAGTGCCTACAGTGAACAAATTCTCGAGCATCCGGTACACTTCTTCCAATGTTCCGGGCCTGCAGTTTGTGAATTTTACGATTGGGAGCCTGGAGGTGAAGCCGACGTCTCCTATATTCAAGCAATGGCCCCGGTTCATGAACTGCAAATTGGACTCGCTTGGGTTGAAGTCTCGGCCAGCCCGGGCATACTTGGGATTCTACAACGTACCTGTTCCGCTTGGATTCCCTCAGTTGCTGAAGATGACAAGTGATCACTTGTAGAAGGGGCTGGGCAATGGATACTGTTTGTCGTTGTAATAGTCTGGACGTCCTAGATAACATATTCAGTAGTGATAGGTGAAGCACCTCATAAAATTGTTGAAGAGTAGGACAATGTACTGTAGATTGAAATGCGAAATCGCAACCTCATTCTGCCAGATCTGAACGAACATCAGTCATGGGCATGTTTTCGTGCGCACGTCCCCCTTCCTCATCGGCATGACACAAATGTGCGAATTTTGTAAAAATGTCGCGAAATCCAAAAACAGCATCGCGGCTCGAATTTTCGGGGGCGAATTTCACCGACAATGATGAGTCAACTGCGGTTGCCAATTCCAAGCTCCAGCTTCCAACGTTTACTTCTCACTCCAAACCAGCTCCTTCGAGCTTTGCTAACCACGTCATATGCTGTCGCCTCGATACACACCCATACTCAAGGTCACATTCAGGCCTGTAGCGCTTCGCCCTGCATTCAACTACCGTACCAGCCTTTTATCTATGTCGCGTCTGACCAGTATTTCATAACTTCAAGTTCCGAGCCAAGTTCGCCGCGCTGCAGCTGGATATCGTTCTCGCCTCTTGAGATTTCTTCCTGAGGCACCACGTGAACCGCAAGCGCCAGAATGGGCCGGTTTGGCCCGGCTGCGCTGATCGCATGCGTGTCGCTGCTCATCCTTCTCGCGGCACCAGCGGTGAAGCCTGATAAAGATTCTCCACGTGAACCACTAGCTATCGAGGACGGTAAGCTCTCCTATGTATACAACTTCGACGGTTCTAAGGGCTATTGTGTTCCGTTTTCTGTTCGCTGCTGTAAATCACTGCTGTAACCCGTGTAACAACACTTCGTTTTCGCGCTTCCGCTCCCCGCATTGACCCTAACCTTCCGTATTCTCTCGGCTGCGTCGCATTTCCGCAGGCGACCGGGACGCATGGCCGCATTCCTCGCCTCTATCGCTCATAGAGGATTTATTCCCAACATCGCCTGCGCTTTCCTCTCCCTACCGCCTCCTCAAATCCACCCCGGCCCCCACGAAGTCCTCCGGCCGCGCAAGCTCCCCCGCCCGCGCAAGCTCCGCGCCAGCCTCCGACAAGAAGGGCAGCGGCAAGAAACTGCAGCAGTCGGGAAAATCGGCGTCAGAGGGCGCCACGTCAGCAGGAGCCGGAACAGCCCTCTCGTCGTCCGCTTCTGGGAAGGGGAAGCGGGGAAAACGGGGGAAGCGGGGGAAGGGTGGGAAAAAGGGGAAAGCGGGGGGTGCGGCGAAAGCAAGTGAGGCGAGCAGTTCGCTGCAGAGCGGAAAGAAAAAGGCGGGGAAGAAAGGAAAGAAGACGGCTGTTTCATCGGGCAAAACGGGCAAAGCTGGGTCGTCTGGCGAGAGGAAGAAGGGTGGGCACAAGTGGGCTCGCGAAGGCACAACGGGGTCTGCTGGTGAGAGGACGAAGGGCGGACATAAGTGGGCTCGCGAGGGCACGAAGAAAACCTCTGTGAAGAAGTCTGAGGCAAAGACGGCGAACGCGCCACTAGCGAAGAAGGCCGCGACGACTTCGCCAGCGTCGGGTAGCTCTGGAGGGTCCAAGCGCGGACGAAGCAAGTCTGGAAAGGGAAAGAAGAGACGCACCCCCGCTGCGGCACCAGCTGACTCCGGCTCAAAGTCCGGAGGGGGCAAGAGGAAGCCAACGTCGGGCAAGTCCGGCTCGCGTGGGGGATCCGCACCTCCCGCCACAACTTCCGCGCGTTCGCACAAGAAGGGCAAGACGACGAAACACAGCCAGGAAGTGGGCTCTGGCATTGAAGGGAAAGGGTCATCGAATTCCGCTAAGCCAACGAAGCCGCCTGCGTCTCCCTCGGGAGGAAGCACGTCGAGCCCAGCGAAAGCGCCCAAAGGCTCTGACTCAGATGCCTCCAAGGCTAGCAAAGCGCCGAAGCCGTCCAGCGGCCCAACTAGCAGCTCAAAGCCCAGCAAGGATAAGAACTCGGATTCGGCGAAGGCTGATTCGGGTTCGGAGAAATCAGGCTCGGATGCAAAACCTTCTCCTCCCTCTTCTCCCGCCAAGCCAAGCACGGGGAAGAAGAAAAAGCCACCCCCGCCAGCAGACACGAGTGAGGGTGAACCTGCCAGCTCGCCTCCTGCGGCTCCTGTGCCGAAGATGATATGTGAGAAACACAAGGGGCAGCAGCTGATGGTGATGGACGGTAACCTCTTCTTCACGGGGAATGTGGAGAAGTGCGAGGGTTCTTGTATCAAGGATTCCTCCTGCCTCATGTACACCTTCTCGGGACTCAGCTGTCAACTCTTCACGGCTAATATGACTGCCAGGCCTGTCAAGGCGTGCTTTTCGCGTAAGTGTCAGTGGGGGAAGTGCAGAGACACGGAGGGAGATGGTAGCGAAGAGGACAGTAGCGGAGATGGCAATTCTGGTGGGGACACTGGTGGTGCAGATGAGAGTGGGGGAGGTGATTATGGGGGTGATTCCAGTGGAGGGGACTCTACTGGGGATGACAGCACCAGTGACTCAGGAGATGATTCCAGCTCGGATGGAGCGACCATTGACTACGGGCGATGATCCAGGTTAGGGTTATACCATTGACCACGGTTTCTATACTTCAGTTTAGGTACAACCAGCTAACATTCCAGAATGCAAGAATTTTACATTATGCTATTTTTTAAATGGCATTTGTTCTGCCAGACCATCAGTGTTTGTTCAAGATCTTGAAAGCTGGCGTGGACAAAACCATTCAACCTCTACCACGTGGAAACGTCGCCCGCATACGGACCAGTAGTGCTGCTCATTTTCGCCCGCATATGCAAGCCGCCCCCCCATCCCACAGTGGCTTCTTGACTTTCGCAATGGAGCATTCCTCCTCTCCGCCCCTCAAGCGAGCATGGCGCTTGCGCACCTCTTGTGAACCCTTCCGCACCCCCCCTCCGCGTAGTTGACCAAAACGGGCCAGTAGCGTCGCATCCTTTTCCGATTGGGTACGGGCACTCGTCAAATCCAGCTGCTCCAGCATTTCCCTCCTGCCGCCGACGTCCAGCCTTGTTGTGATCTCCCGTTGGCGATAAAATTGGTCGACCATTCTGTTACACGACGAAGTATCGCAAACGGTGACAATGTGGTACCATTACAGCTGGCGAGATCCCAAATGTGGTTACAGTCGCTCCTGATCGAACACTGATGTCATCACTTGTCCAGGATAATGGTCCAAGCGCGGTCCGCGATCCTGCATCTAGGGGGGCTCGTCTGGGGGTGGCGGGGGAGGGGGGAGGGGAGTGAAGTGGGCTGGGTGTGTGAAGGGAAACGAAAGGACGCTTCAGTTTGCTCATAGTGAGACTAGAGCATTTGCTGCGATTCAATATCCCGAAGTGCTACCAGTTTTAGTTTGTAGTAGCCGCAACAGGCTGCGATTTCCTTTCTCAACGTGCCAGCCCAATTAGGTTCGTGCCGCAGCCTCCATGGGGGACATGGAGCTGCCCGAGAATTACTTCAACCATTTGCTCGAATCGAAGATTGGGTTGAGAAGGGCAGACGGGTCCGATTCGAATGGCCGCCGATATGATGGTATTAAATCGGCAGCTTATGGTCAGAATGGCTCTCTTCGGGGTCGAAGCGATAACTTCCCAGAGGTGAGATGGATAATGTGTCATATGCCATCTCCCCACAGTATATCATGTGATTTTCATTTCACATTGCTATGCGGTTATGGCTCCTTTTCCCGGAATCTTCAGGCTACCGAGGATCAGATTAGAGCTATTGTGGACGGGTTTAACGACGTGAATGTGCTTACGGCGAATGGGCTATGCCTGGGTAACGAAAAGTTTCTGGTCATCCAAGGTGTTCCTGGCGTTATCATTCGTGGAAGAAACAAGCAAGACGAGGTGGGTACAACCAACTTGATTCACCGTCCCTTCAATGGTTCTTGCATCGGTTCTACTATTTCTGTTTTGTTTTTTAAGACACACTGACGTCGTTGCTATTCCCGCAGAACCGGAAAGTTGGTGGTTGCTGCATCCATAAAACGTCCGCTAATAATATTCTGATCGCCACCTTCGAGGAGCCTGTCCTTGCGGGCGACGTGAATATGCTTGTTGCTGAAGCAGCTCGAGAAATCAACAACTCTGGATTCTAATCAAACGAGTATGTTCATGCTGGGTGCTGCTACTGGAAAACTATAAATGCTTCTGTTGTATCTGCTGATATAATTTTGTTGTGAGTTCCTGTATCTCAGCATCTCAGAAACCATTGAGAAGTAGTATTGATCTGTTTGTGATTCATTGAGAGCTTGGCTGTGTTTCATTCTTCGAAATATGTGCATTTGCCTGCCATCCAGATCTAAAACATAATATTATGTAAACAGGCACTCTTGTCTCTCACGATACGCACGAAAGCTACCTTCATCCACGGGCACTCCCCCCCCCACCCCTCACCCCCTCCTCCCCCGTTTGTTAAAGGGGTAGGGACTGCTGCGCCTGTAGAGGTAGACTCTAGTCAATAGAGACATTGAGGTGAAGGAGTGTGGCAAGGTCAACAGTAGGTTAGGTTAGGTCCCTCGCTCTTACCCCTCCTGCATCCCTAGCCGCCCCTTGTTCCCTCACGGCCCCCTCTACCGGCCCACCCTTTAGCGGCCTCCCTCTAGCCCAACTCTAGCCCCCCCCCCCCCCTCCCCCCCGCCCCCCCCTCTCCTCCAAACCCCCGTCCTCTAGCGCCCCGCCGCAAACCCGGTCGTGGCTTCGTCATGTCCCGGACGCGGCCCCATTACGCCCTCATCGTGGCCCCGAAGTCGCGGCCCGTCGTGGCTCCGTCATGGCCCTCCCGCCTTCACGGCCCCGTCGCGGCCCCGTCGCTCCCCACCCTCTCCCCCCTCCCCCCCCTGTCAAATGTAATTCTATGCTTGTAGGCTACAGTGAGTAGCACAATAGGGAGTACAGTTGTTAGGGTTGCATATTTGTACTCTCACACTTTCTAGTTTCCACCATTCAGTTGCATTCCTATTCTGAGATGGTATCAGGAGTAAGTTGAATCCTCGTTCGTTTTTAGCTAGCCTCCGCGCCCTACGCGCCCTCCGTGCTCCCGCGCCCTCCGCGCCCTCCGCGCCCTCCGCGCCCTCCGCGCCCTCCTCGCGCCTAGCCTGCGCCCTCCCGCGCAGTCCAGTCTGTCGCGCGCCCTCTCCCACCGTTGCGCGCCCTCCAAAACCGTCATGCGCCCTCCTTAGACCGCCGCGCGCCCTCCCTCACCGTCGCGCGCCCTCCTCAACCGTCGCGCGCCCTCCTTAGACCGTCGCGTGCCCTCCCCTCCGCTTGTCGTGCGCCCTCCTCCGCCAACGCTTCCCGCACACCTGCATGCGCTTCCCGCACACCAGCGTGCGCTTACCGCACACCTGCGTGCACTTACCGCATCACTTTGTGTGCGCTTCCCGCACACCTGCGTGCACTTACCGCATCACTCTGTGTGCGCTTCCCGCACACCTGCGTGCGCTTCCCGCACACCTGCGTGCACTTACCGCACACCTGTGTGCGCTTTCCGCACACCTGCGTACACTTACCGCATCACTCTGTGCGCTTACTTCATCTCTCTCCCCTTCACCTGTGCACCGGTCCCACGCCATTCCTACTTCACTTGGCTCCCGGCTCAGCGGCTGGCAGCCGCTCTTCCCTCCGGTAGCGCCACCTAGGTTCGGTTAGAGCCCCGCCCCACGACTATTTTCTCGCCGACTGTCTCTCGTCGTTTTCCCCGCTGGCGTCCCTAGCTCTCCGTAGTTTTCCTCTTCGTTCTTAGCTTCGCCTCCGCCGTGCTCCAGTCGCCTCTAGCATGGGCTCCGCTATGGAGGCCCGTCGCCTCCGTTTCGATGCTGAGGGACGCCCGATCGAGTTCGGTACCTGGCAGCGCCAGACCACACGTTTCCTCACCAGCCAGCGTCAGGACGGCGCCACTCTGTGGGCCCACTCGTCGGGTGCTCTCGCGGCACCCCCGTCCCCCGCCGCCCTGCCGACCGCCCCGGAGAGACTCCTACGGCCCAGGCGGACTACGACCGTCGGGTCCTGGCTCGGGACGTGTGGCTCTCTCGTGACGCGGCCGCCGCCCTCACGCTATCGGAGCTTCTCCCCCCGACTGAGGCCGCTCACTTTGACCAGGTGGAGACAGCCAAGGGGGTTTGGGATGCTATTGTGGCTCGCTATTCCACCCCCTCCTCCGCCTCCCTCAGTCGCCTCCTCATGCCGTTCGTGTTTCCCGACCTAGGCTCGTTTGCGACTGTTTCCGACCTAGTGACTCACCTCCGCTCGCTTGAAGTCGGTTTTCGTTCGGCCTGTACCGACGCACAGCTCCTTGTTGCTCCCCCCCCCATGTGGCTCACTGTGCACTGGTTAGTCACCCGCCTCCCTGACCGCCTTGCCACTGCCCGCGACGCGCTTCTTCAGAAGCACCCCACAGAACTCACTATAGACCTCCTTCAGACTGCTCTCGGGACCATCGAGAGCAGCCTCCTCACCGTTGCCTCCGCCACTGATGCGGTGGCCCCCCGTCTCTTTGTGGGGTGTGCCGCCCCTCAGCTTCCCACTTTCACCGCTACCCGCGCTTCTGCTGCTGTGTCGGTCTCTGAGGACACCGCTGCCATTTCTGCCGCAGGCTAGCAGAAACGGGGCAAGAGTGGCAAGAAGGGCGGGAAGGGGGGAGGTGGGGGCGGAGGAGGTGGCGGTGGAGGGGGCGGTGGAGGTGGGAGCGGCGGTGGTGGTGGAGGCGGCGGCGGCGGCGGCGGCGGTGGTGCACCAGGGGGAGGGGGCCTAGGAAGAGGCGCAGGACAGACAGGTCCACCCACAGGTGGTGGCCCGACCGGTGGGGGTGCTGCCCCCCAGCAGCAGCAGCCACAGCAGCACCAGCCATAGCAGGGACAGCAGCAGCAGCAGGGACAGCAGCAGCAGCAGCAGCAGGCACCGCAGCAGTTCCGGCAGTGGGGGCCCCCGCTGCAGTGGGGTCCGCAGCAGCACTGGGGTCCCCCGCCGCAGTGGGGTCCGGGAGGCCCTGGAAGCACCGGCCGCAGCAGCAGCTCTTCCAGCTGGGCCCCTCGCCCCCCTCGCCGTGACGCTGGCCCCTGCACCCACTGGTGCCTCACCGGGCCGGGCAGCCCCTGTCTCTGTGGTCGCGACGACCACTCTGCCGCGCGGTGCTTCCGCCGCCTCGACGACCTCTACCGGGCTCGTTGGGGCCCCCTGGCGGTCACGCCTCGCTGGTCTCGTCTGTTAACCCGTAAGATTGATGTCTTTGATATGTCCATGGACGATGCGCGTCAGCATGCTTTGTATGATGATGCTGACTTTAGTGCTGAGGGATCTGTGTGCTCGCGTGTTCGTAGTTTAGCCTGCTTGCCTCCTGCTAGTGTAGCCTTGTGCCTGTCTAGCTTAGGTGCTTGTGTTGCTGCTCTAGGTGCTTGTGTAGCGACTGGGTCAGGTGACCCTCCGGCTGAGGCCTCTCTGTCGTTCACGCTGGACTCGGGCGCGTCTCAGTGCTTCTTCCGCGACCACACAACCCTTACGCCACTCCTCACTCCTGTCTCAGTGGCTCTGGCTGAT